TTTGCTGCTGCAAGCCCTGCAACTGGGTCACTGGATCGCTGGAACCACCTAGACCTAGCTAAGCAACGTGCGTTGGCTGGATGGGATGCCCACCTATCCACTCTCTGTGCCGAGTTGCAGGCCTGGAGACACAGAAGTATAGAGAAACACTCGAAAGGGCCTGGGTACGGGTTTAGAGCAAGAGGAGTGCTACCTACCTTGCCTTATTTGACCCGACTGCATTCACAGTAAGTAGCTTGCAGATGTTCCCGTACAAGAGAGGGGAGCCTAGAGAAAGAGGGTGCAGCACCGCTGGGTCGAGCTGCTGCAAGCCGCCTGTAATATTAAACGGAAGCGGTCAAGGGCCCGATGGATGCCCTATGCCGAAACAGCAGGCACCATCCACCAATGGCAAGCATGTACAAGTACCTACGGTACCTCGACGAGGCACACGACCACACCTTATCGAGGCGGCATTGGTTGTCACTTCTGCACTCTGCGAGTTGTTGTGACCGGGGGGGCAGCGGGATGGCGGCCATTGGGCGGTTTCGTCTGGGTGACTGGCGGATCCCATTCGTCGGGAATCGCCCGCACGTGAGTGGATAATGGGGGGCGCCAATCCGGCGGCGTTGGCGCCTCTGCCACTGGTGGGGGGTTGTCTCTGACTATTTTTTCCCTCTCCCTCTCGCCCTCTTGAGTCGGGAGTCTCACTCTGAAGGCAAGCACGCAAGGTAGGGTACCGTACCTTGGCTTACTAGTTACAACTCTCCACTCTCTCTTCCGCCTCCTTTTCAGCTGACTTTGTTACCTCGCCCACTCACCGGTTGTACTTTACCTTATTCTAGGGGTAATATCCGTATCTCGCAATTGGATTCGAGCTGTCAAAGCACAATTAATTACCTTCTGCAACATAGATGCTCATCTCAACTCTCTACGATTACCCGCGCAAAAGGCACTTTAGGTAAAGTAAGGCAAGCGGGTCGCGGGTGGCCCCATTCGCATCATCATCCATGAACGCCTTCCAACCACTCTAACCTTCTCCAGCGTCCCTTGATGGCAAAGAACCTGGAACTCCCCGGCCACAAAGTGGATGCCCCTCATTGTCCTTGACGACAAGTCCTTAGTTGGCACTTTATTCCTCATTTGCGTCGGGTTACATTGAGCCGCACTGCTATCTTCTGAATCAAAACAAGACAACTGACCCGGGCGAGAAATGACTTGCCAACAAGCCCGTATCCACAGTCAAAGGGAGAGAGACAACAGAGACCCAGAGACTCAAATCTGAGGCCCGGGAAAAAGTCTCAGTCACCGCTTCTTGTTCCTCTTCTTCGTTTTCCCTTCTGCATCATGGCCACCTTACTGTATCCGCTTCTTAGTCATGTAGGACATGAAGGTACTGCCAAATATGCAGGGCGCGAATTTTCGGGCAAAGTGCCAGCCTCCTCGACCGCTAAACAGGGTCAGCTCGCTGCAGCCCAAGCTGCCAACAAGTATCACTACATGTCTGGGTACATCCGTCTGACCTGGGCCCATCCATGTCTGCCTCGGTGAGCAGGCCTCGGCGGCGGGGTGGAGCGGTCGGGACCCACCGGGTTCCGCTCACGTTCTCTTATCGCCTTATCGATTGTGGTCCAGGAACAAAAAAAAAAAAACTTCCGGGCCCAAGCGGCCAAGGGTCTCAATGCGAGATTCTCACGGTGGTTTCCAGTAACATCTCGAATCACTCTCCGTCATTATTGGAGCGCAACCAGTCCTTCGAGATCATAGGGCTCACAATCTTTCACAATGGCGACCACCGAACCAGAGAAGCGGTCCAAGAAGGCCAAGGCCAAGGCCGAACCTGAAGCTGAAGCCGAAGTCGAAGATGCGCCAACACAATCCCCCGAGTCCTCCAAGAAGCGCAAATCCACTGCCGCCGCTGAGGAGATCGAAGTCGACCTCGAGGCCCCCGAACCCCCCTCCAAGCGCGCCAAGCGTGCCCTGAAGAAGGGGAAGAAGCTCCCCGTTAAGCTCGACAGCGATGACGAGAGGGAAGCCAAGAAGAAGGAGGAGAAGGACCAGGCCAAGGCCGCCGCCCGCTCCGAGCACGGCGTATGGATCGGCAACCTGCCCTTCTTCGTCACCCCTGACGAGTTGCGCAAGTGGCTGATCGATAACTCGGGCGAGATGATCACCGAGGAGTCCATCACGAGATTACACATGCCCACGACGAAGCAGGCCGGCAAGGACAAGCCTTCCAACAAGGGTTTCGCCTACGTCGACTTCAACGATGTCGCGCCCAAGGTCGCTGCCATTGCGCTTACCGAGGCCGAGCTTAGCCGTCGTAAGCTTCTTATTAAGGACTCCAAGTCCTTCGAGGGGCGGCCGAAGAAGGAAGAGGAGACTGCTGCCGCCGGTGGCGCTGGTGCGGCGGCCGCCAAAGAGGAGGTTCCTAAGAGCAGCAAAATCTTCATTGGCAACCTGAGCTTCAAGACGACCGACGACGACGTGTGGCAGCACTTTGAAAAGTGCGGGCAGATCGACTGGGTCAAGGTCGCCACCTTTGAGGATACCGGCAAGTGCAAGGGCTACGGCTGGGTTAAGTTCCGCGAGCCCGAGTCCGCCGGCTGGGCTGTCAAGGGATTCGTCAAGATCAAGGAGGAAATCGAGACGGAAGACGACTTTGTCGCCTCCAAAGACAAGGGCGGCGACGACGAGATGGCTGAGGGCGAAGAAGACAAGAAGACGGAAGAGAAGAAGTTCAAGCTGAGAAAATGGTGGGTCAACAAGCTGCTCGGTCGCATGCTAAAGATTGAGCTCGCCGAGGACGACCAGACGAGGTACAAGAAGCGATTCGGCAAGGACGCGCCCAAGAGGCAGGAGCAAAAGGCCAGGGGAGATGGCGAGGAGGGCGGCGAGGACGCAACGGAGGAGAGGAAGCCGAGGGCGCCCCGGCCCCCGAAGACGGAGAAGCCCAAGGCTCCGGCGGGCGAGCTCAAGGCGCAGGACGATCTCATGGTTGCGCGTTTGACGGGTGCGGCGGCGAAACATACCGGTACCAAGATTACGTTTTAGCGAATAAATTCACACTTATCGTTTCGTGGCAGCATCACTTCTTGCATGCCATTCATCGCGACTACAGGCTGAGCCTCTAGGGGGGATCTGCCTGCCGGTGCCAGCCAGCAAGAGAGCTCACACATGACCAACTACCTGATGGATGACCTTTCAGCTTCACTACCTTAAGCACATCAAAACAGGGTCTGATTCGTTGCAGCTCATGTCTAGACCGGGCAGAAAAGAAGCCGGCTTCATGACCCACGTACTATTGGGCGATCACTAGATCGGGTCAGCCACTATACTCGGCTCCAGCTCGAATCTCTCTTCGAACAATGCTATACCTGCCACAACCCTGGGACGAGCGACCACAGCTCCATGGCCACGAAGGAAGAGACGCAGAACAAATGAGTATCGCAGCCCCGTCATGTTTCCATTTTTCATCATAGTCAGACTCTACAAACTTATTGAAACACTGCTAGACGAGTGACGACCCTTAAGTAATGGACATAGAAAGTCTTGTTGATCGCCTGGCCAGAAGAAATGCGCTCCTCATTCACCTTCTTTGTTTCTACCGACGATTAAATCCCCCACGCCCTCACGGCTTTACCATCAATGCCTTCATCGTCAACGGAGCTACACAGCCCGTGCCGGCACCATACTTCCCCATACTTTTTGGTAGCTGGCGTGCCATGGCCTGTTTCATATTTTACAATTTATTTGTCGTCTATCATACAATCCTCTCCTCTCTCTGGTCAAGTTTCAGTGTGGTCATTATCTCCATCATACTTATCCAGGTCATTGCCTTGGTTTTTAGAGCGCTTGGGTTAGGAAGCGGTACTTTCGCTATTGGATCGTTACTTTCCAGAGTCGGTCATTATCTTGTGAGCCCAGTCCCTACCTGTTCCACTCCCCCAAATACTCCCCAACCGCTGGCTCATTCATCCGATAAGGCTATAAGTTGTCTAGTCTTGATGTCGAAAAAAGCTTCGTTCTGACCTTCTATCTGGTCGTACTTCTAGCTCACATACTGCCCGTTCGTCATCCGTCGACGGCGCTTCTCGCAAAACTATGACGGAGCCTGGATATTGAAGCACTCCGGGCACTACGTGCCCATTTTAATCGGACGGTCCGATTGCGTCCGAATACCCCTTCCATGTCCGGACGAACCTGGTGTGGATAACCATCAGATGTGGAAACACCTTTCTTTCTTCTATTGCTTGTCTAGGATTGAAGGCAGATTCTCCCAGGTCCTGCCCCCGAAGGCGCTGGTGAGATTTGAGATCGTAGAGGTAAGAAAGAAGGGCATGTAGTGAACAGCTACTTGACCAAGCATATGATGCGGTCGACAACACTTTCTAGATAGCTCACCAACACCGCGTTCCCTCTTCCGTAGATCATGGACGGTACTCATAAAGCGCCCTTGGTCGCTATCTTTGACGTGCCCTAACGAACCTTGAGACTGATTCGTTTTGTGAAAGAATATTCCTCTTACCGACGACGGAAGAAGTGGGTGGCTCATATCGACCTGGGAGTATACCTAGAAGCATACCTATCTACGCCCAGGTCTCTTATAGTAGCAGGTGGAGGCCTTCTCCATTTGTTCTACTACAGTGTGTTTCAAGGCGTAGTTCCTGCTGTGGAGGAGATCTTGAAGATGAACCCCGACTACGTCCACGCAGAGAGTCGGAATGGTAGCACCGCACTTCAAATCGCTGCATTGCATGGTCATAAGGGTATTGTGCAAATTCTCATCAACAAGGAAGCAAACTTGAATGCACTAGGTGGATCTCATGACAGTGCCCTTCATGGCCATTGCGTGAAGCGGCCATGAAGATGTTGTGAAAATTCTCCTTGACAATGGAGTAGACCTGCATCCACAGAATGCATCGGGCAGTACCACTCCCGTGGCAGCCTCAACCAATCGTCACAAAGCCATTGTACAGCTTCTCATTGAGAGGGGAGCAGACTTAAACCCACAGGTCAGAATGCCATGTGAAACCGCTCTAAGTGGCGCTGTTTCAAATGGTCATTTTGATGTGACGGTAATCCTTCTACAGGCAGGAGCGGTCGTAAGCTTGTCGTATGTTGGCGCCGATGTTCTAGCTAGGGCCATGGCTCGTGGGTTTGGAGCCGCTGTCGAGTTGCTTCTTAGCAAAAGTATCCAAGTTGGCGAGTGGGCCCTGGAAGAGGCATTCAAGGGCATCTCGCCCAGAATCAGCGACATGCTACTCGACAAGATTTCAGATGTGGACGCAGTTGCATATTTTAGCAACGCTCTTCTTCCAGCCTCTCAAGAAGGGCACTACGATCTTACAAAGGCCTTGTTAGAGAGAGGGGCAAAGACAAATGTCACGGATGCCTCTGGAATGAGTGCATTGAGCCTTGCGGCTGGAAACGGACATGAAAGCGTCTTCAAATTGCTCCTTCACCACGAAGCGCTGAATTTCATCGATGTCAACTACAAGTGTCACCCTCTCTATGCTGCATCTCGTGCAGGCCATAGCAAGATCATTCAGCTGTTGCCTCTGGACGACATTGGTTTAGATATCATCTACGAAAGTGCCGTTGTAGCACTACAATTCGGTAGCTTCGATGCGGTCGAGCTGCTTCTCAAGCGTTTCAATCCCTGTCAACTCGGCATACAGTATAATGTTCTTGTAGAGGCTACAAGAGCTGCAGTTCGCCGGGGAAATCATCGTTTAGTAAAGCTACTGCTTCAGTATGGAGTAGACGCAAATACGATGGGAAGCAACGGTAGCAGCTTGCTTCACAACATGTTTATACCAGAGCGTGCACCGCTTGGTGAAAAGTCCGTGAGAATAGGATTTAGCCGCAGGATGGCAATGGCTGACCTTCTACTTCAATATGGTGCGAGAGGTAGTACGCCAAGTCCCGACGCTTTTGGTCATGTGAAGCAGCAGTACGTTGAAATGGTGCATGCTCTTCAATCCAAGGTAATGTTCAGAGAAAGGGCTGGGGGGAGGGATTTCATTCCATACCAAGTATCCCTTGAGACACTGGAGGACGGAGAAATCAGGCTACACGTATCTCGCTAAGATACACGGTAACAAGATGGACCACGTACGAGAAACCTGTTTAGAACATCAATCGCCCTTTTCGCTCTTTGAAAACACTAGAGCACAATCATATAAAACTTTGTTTGGTAGAAAAATGCAAAAACATCAACCAAACAACCAATGGTTGTGTCAGGGCCGTCAGCTTTTTCAAAGTTTCAAGCTTTATAGAAGAAATCCACAGGCATAGAAACATAAGGGATTCGATACATTTTCACCGATACTGGGTCTTGCCGTCTTGACAATGTGTTATGAGCTCTACAGCACGACTCACTTCCGTATTGATGACAGAGAGGCATGTTGCCTTCTCTCACCATGGCATGATAATCGATGCGGCCAAAAACAACTGCTCTATATGGGGTCTCTGGATATCAAAGCCGTTTTCCTGTTTGTTCCTTATTCTGCGTAGTAACGCAATACAAGGACCAAATTACGTTTTATAGCCTTCCTGTTAGGTATCTCAAAGCCATCTTATCGAGAGCCAGTAGCACTAGAAGCACTAGAAGATGATAACTACAGTAAACGAAGTGAAGGGAAGCAAAGGAGTGTTGAACACCTGTGCCAGCATACGTGGAGAAGTGTTGAAACAACCCAACTGTAAAAATGAAACACAACTCCTCAATCATGCGGCGTTGAAGCCATGATGTCCAACGACGTGTTGAGACGTCAATTCGTGTTCTTGCACTAGCAATCCGCGATTCTCTCTTCTCGAAAAACATTGGGTCTTCCCACTTACTTCATCAATAGTCAGTCCCTCGACTAATGATCTCCTTGTTGTTCTCGCGCAGTAAGATGGTCTGCGTCTGTTAGTCTCCTCAATCACTTCTCATCATGGCCTCATGTTGAGGATTTGTAACTTACATGCTCAAACTGCGCAGACTGAGATCCCTTGATATCCGCAAGAGGTGCATACGACTCAAGGATGCCATGAGATTCCAGTGATTTAAGCTGTAAAAGGAACCGAGGCGTCAGTCAACCACCTTCTCTCTCTCAGGACCACAACCTCAATTTGACTTGATAAAAACTTACACCAGCCAAGTACCGGTCCAGACCAAGACGGTCAAGGTACCGACGGCAAAAGACGATGCTTCCGAACTGCTCCTTGATCGTCTTATACAGACGATTTGCAGAGGCGAAAGGCAACTTGACCTGAGCAGGAGCGTCGTAATCCAGCTTATATCCATAAATACCGACCTACTCATCGCCGTCAGTCTCCTGCACATAGCTCTTACACCGAGAACACGCGGTATAATCCCACTGTAGACACTTGGAAAGTAATCTACAGAAAAGGGGGAAAACTCACATCATCATACAACTTTCCACGCCCCGTCGTTCCAAACGTCTCAATCGCAAAGATCTCCCCCTCCTCCATCTTGGTCTGATCGTTGTTCTTGATAAACGGAATCGACTTGCCCGCATGAATCTGGTACCGCGCGATATCATGCGCGCAGATATTCCGCACCGGCTTGACTGGGTACGTCTTGCCGCCAATCTCAACCTCGTAGCTCTCCATCGTCTCCTGGATCGCGGCGCTGACGTCGCAGATGCGGACGTCGATGCCAGCAGTCTGTAACAGTCACATATCAGCTTTCTTTCCTCGCCCGAAAGTAGAGTAGTAGGGGAGGAAAATTGACCTTGATCCCACTCTCCGTAGCATCCCGAACCCCAGCCAACAAACTATCCCAAACCGGATCAAAACTCATCGTGAACGCACTATCCACAATCCACCCATTCACATGCACCCCAAAATCAACCTTCATCACATCCTCATACTTCAACACCACATCCTTTTGTCCGGGATTCGGCGTATAATGCGCAACCTCATGGTTAAGACAAAGGCCCGTAGGGAACCCCATCCCAGCCTTCAACGCATCCCCCGCCACCAACCCCTGATTCCCCAGCAAACTCCGCACCCCGTCCTCGATCCCCGTAGCGATCTCGAGGAGGGTCTGCTTGCCGGGCTTCACCGTCTCTTGAACCCACTGCCGAACCTGCCGATGAACTTCGGCGGCTTTACGGTAGTCGTTGAGGAGGCTCGGGTCCTCAAGGTGCGGACAGGATTGGTATCGCACCTCCGCTGCCGTCGTGCGTGCGGTGTTGACGCCAGTATCCGCATCCGTGTCCCGGGCCTTGGTGTAAGCCTGCGCCTCACCAGCCGGGTACGAGCCCGAAGAAAAAAGCTCGCTCAGCGGCACCCTCGGAGGGTCAGATTGCTTCATAGCAGTCGCCCCGGCAGAAGCCTTCTTCTTCTTCTTTCTAGGCTTTCGCTTCTTCTTCTTGGGTCCATTGTCGTTGTCATCATTGCCATTGTCTGCTACTTCGTTCAGCGATCCGGAGCCAGCGACAACTTCATCTTCGTCATCGTCGCCGTCGTCATCGCCTCCGTCGCCGAGGCTGCCGTCCCCGTCGCGGGAGAGGTGCACGCCGCACGGCTCTCCGCCGGAGGAAATGCCGGACGAAGTGGACCCGCCTGAACGACATCAATTAGCAATCACCGGTAAATGAAGACCGAAAAAAAGAAGCCACAGGCTTAAGATAATTTACCATTGCCTCCGGGAATCTGATCTTCGGGTGTCTTGGAACCCATTCCGACATGAAGCCTACGAGTCGCGAATGCGTGGTTGAGTAGAGGTCTGCTCCAGTCGTCAAAACTGGTGGTGGCGGTGGTATAAGTCAGTGAGAAATGAGATCGGGAGGGGGTAAAGAGAGATTCAAACGCAAGAGCTCTTTTATTGCTGCAAGATTCGTTGGGTATTGGAAATTTCCTTGACGCTCGTCAAGCGAAGGGCGTCGGACGGATTTTAATCCACTCAACATGAACGGGAGTGTGGCGTGAGATTTCTCACAAGGTGAGAAGGTGAAGCCGAACGGGATGGCAAGACTAAACGACGCGGGCACCATTTCCCGAGACAGCCACGGATCGGCCTTCCCCAAACACGGTTGTCGCTAAAATAAGACTTCAAGATCAAATAACCATCAAGTCATTTTAGGTAACACTTTCCAACCGAGATCTTACCTGAAATGATCACAGACAAAACCATGGAGGCGGCAAATCTTGAATATGAAGAAATGGAATTCCGGCTGTCTACAGCATTATCAACCCATCGTGTCCGACCCCGTAGCCCAAGCCGTGCTGCCCAATTCATTCAAACGAAACCATTCCACGCTCAAAGCGTAACCCGTTACCATTATATAGTACAATTACATAGACTCCGTATAAACATCACCTAGTCATTCGTACGCCGTATCAGTTTCGCCTAGTAGTGACGATGACGCCTGGAGCGACCGGCGCCTATGTCGATGCGGCTCATTTCCTGCATCAAAGCCCACTCATTATCGCCATTCGCGCCGCTCATGATGGGCAAAGGAACCTTGGCCGGGATCGGGGGCGCGCCACCATATCCACCTCCAGGAGAGTTACCATACTGCGGTGCATGGTTCTCGCTGGGGTAGTCCCATGTGCTTGCCCTAGGAAGACGCGGCGGCGTAAAGTCGCTACCGTGGTCTTGGTAGTTGTGTGACGAGATAGGGGCCAGAGGGCTAGAACCCGCCGGCGATGTCGAAGGCATTGCAGACATGCGTTGTGTCTTCTTCTGCAAGCGGTTTCGACCTCCACTCGGCGGGGTACCCGGGACGTGGTATGGATCAGAGCCGTATGTGACCGGTGATGCTTGAGACTGAGGTCGACCTGCAATGCGCAATTGCCGACGGCCAGTCGGCGGCATTGCCTGAGTAGCGGCCGGTGACGCTCGTGAGCGGACAGAAGCCGTAGCTGGGGTTTTGGGCCCCTTGGGCTCGGGTTCCGGCGCCCATGTGTCCATAGGCAGGTGATCTGAAGGGTCAATCTCACGTCCATCGTGGGTGATAATCTTCTCATCGGGATCCGGCCGTGAGACGTTGCTTCCGGTAGCTGAAAGCGACGGATTAAGAGCATCGTACGAATCTGGCCCAAATGGGATGCCGGACAGTCTCCGATGATCAGACAGAGGCGGCGCGGGACTAACAGACTTCCGCTTGATCGTGTGATGAGGGTTGGGAGAAGGTCCCCGCGACCTCATGTGCTGTGGGGGCGGTTGAGGCGAAGCTCCTCTTCTATCCATTGACATGTTCATGGGATTGGGCGATACGCCCCTCCTGGTGCCGTGGGGGTTTGGCGACACGCCTCTTGCCATCATCGGGTTAGGAGACGCACCCCGACCTCTCATAGGATTGGGCGATACACCCCGTCCCCGGTTCATATCAGGCTGTGGAGCACCATACGCCACAGAAGAGCGGTGGTTGTAACCTGGTGGAACATATGATTGATTCGAGTAGCTTCCATCGTAACCGACTGGCTCACTATGTTGTCTTCCACGGGTAGGGGTGGTCATGCTCTGATCGGTGTAGCGCCGTTGTTGTTGACGTCTCTCCTCATATATGCGTTCTGAGATATCCTGAGAGACACTGTGATCGACGCCTGGCACTAGAGAAGATGGCACGGCGGGCATGCCGTGAGCTGTGACTTGCGTTCCCCCCAATTCGGACCTCTGCGAGGTGTACTGGTTCTGGCTTCGTGAATGCGAGTGATAAGACGATCCGTCCATGGGACTTGGGGCGAAGTCACGCGAGGCGATAGGGGAAGCTTGTTGATGGCGAACCATCTCGTCACCCCGATAGGGCTGCGGTGAAGTACTGTAGTGGCCGGGAGAGACATTGCCCCTGCCAGCCAGAACCAGCTCGTCGCCTCTTGGTTGATAATCTTGCTGGTAGTCTGGTTGCGGCGATGTGCTATAGTGGCCAGGAGAAACAGCGCCTCTTCCGGCAAACACCAACTCGTCGCCTCTCGGCTGAAACTCGGGTCGTGGGGAGGTGCTATAGCGTCCACCTTGTCCCATCTCGTCCCCTCGGCCATAGCTTGGCTGCGGTGAGTGGCCGCGCTGGCGAGACGAGCTCGCGCTTCCCCTTCCGCTAATGTTCAACGGCGCCGGACTGGGAACCTGATCGTATCCCTGATCGTATCCCATTTCGTCATACTGCGGCGTATGGGAGTTTCGGCGCCGAGTCATCTCGGTCGACTGATGATGCTGCTGTTGCGGTGGCGGCTGGATCTGATCCTGACGGTAACTGGGCTCATCGTACTGGGGTGCGCGAGAAATTCTGCGTTGAGCATTACTCGCGGCGGTGTTGGGCGATTCCGGTACATCTTCCACTGTCGGTTGCATGGATCTATACTCTGCGTGGGCATCATATGAGTGATGTCTCGGCGGCGTTGCTTCGTGATGACGCTCTTCGGGAGCCGGCAGCGCGTTTGTTACCGCAGGTGCGGAATCGAAGCCACGGTACGTAGGTCTTCCGGGGTAGGCTGCCGTAGAAACGGACGCCCGATGGGCCTCGTTTCTGAGGACATCCTGCCTCATAGCATTAGCTGGCTTGGGAGGCGTGTCATATGCGCCCCTCACGACCATGTCTTGTGAGTTTCCGCTGTTGTGCCGGCTTCTGTGAGCGGGCGGAGGTGGTGGGCGATCATCCTCAGCAGGCGAAGCATGGCGCTGATCTTCCAAGTAGAGCATATCATGCGGCGGCTCGGAGCCTTGACGGTAGTGAGCCTGATTGACAATTTCCTGGGATGAGTATCTCGGGCTGTAGTCTCTCTCGTCATGGTGGGAGCTGGGGCTGTCGTAGCGCTCATGTCTTGGCGTGTGTTGTGTTGCAACTTCCGCAGGCGGCAAGGCAGCTTGGGGTGATTGCGCATGCAAGTCTTGTTGGCTAGACCAAGCGTCTGGAGTAGGGCTGGGGTTGTACTCGATAGTTTGCAAAGGCGATTGCGTAGGTATCTGAGCAGGCTGTTGCTGTTTGGGACCCTTGGGCATTGGCCGCGACCCCGAGAGACTGAGCTCTGAAGCTGTTGGCGAAGGAGCGCTCATTTCTTTGGGTCCTCTGGGACCTCCGGCTCGAGGCGGGGTTGGTGCCAGATCCGGGGCTGGGCCGGCGGGAGCTTCGCCCGTGAAGGGATCGGATGGCAGCGGTCGTCGCTTGATCTGCTTTCGGGGAATAGTACCGCCATAATTGTCGGTCGGCTCTGCGTCGACTGGCCTGGGCTTCGCAACAGGCTTCTCGGGTTTGGGCCGTTGATCGTAGTATGTAATCTCCATGCGCACCTCGCCGGCGTACTTGCCCTTGAACGCCAGGTTGCGCCAGATGTCGTTCTGGCCTCCACCTGGTACGATGATGTCTCTGAGGTCAATCCATGTCTCTCCGATGAGATCCGTCTTCTTGTCGTCGTGAAATACGGACACCTTGAGCTGGTAGTAATCTGGTGAATCGTGGACGGCGAAACGAAGCTCTTGGTCCCTAAGAAGGCAGTGTTAGTAGGTGGTCAATTGTTGATAGGGCGGAGTACGGAAGAAGGCAAATGTGGTTACCATCTGGGGGTCTGGCCTCCTCGAATATCTGTTGTGGTCCTCTTGGCTTCCTTGCCGAGACGAGCGGCGCAGTAGGGGTCTTGCTTTCCAATGGTCTTGCGGTTGGGCAAGTTCTTTGCGCGGTCGACAATAGCGACTAGAGTTCCGATCAAGGGACCGTCGACGGTGGGGTCGGCGAAGATTCCGGCCGTGTGCATCCCATTGAGGGGGTGGGCTTTGGATTTGGCTGCCGCCATGGCTGCGGTGTTTTGGCGGTTGCTGTTTGCTGCGCTGTTGTAAGAAGTGGTTTGTTTACAAGTTCAAATCCGCTGTAATGATGTGAAGTCGAGAAAAAGGCAATGGATCAGGGCTGTCGATGAGCCACAGAAGCGAGAGAGAATAGCTTGTCTGGAAGCTATTTACATGGGAGTCGAGGGGCCTTTGGAGACGGGTATCAAAACAATCGAGGTCGAGGAAAGCAGATGTGACGGTGGAGCGCACCGGGAGCAACACGATGAACAAAAGATGAAGATCTGGATGACGGATAACGAGAAGGAAAGGAAAGCGAGGACGTAGTCAAACGTGAATCAACGCTTCAGCCGAGGAATGAATGACAGCGGCAGCGGATGTGGTGGAGGAGGAGGAGAAAGGAAGTGGAAGCGTGAGAGAGAGAGAGAGAGTATGTGTGAGATGAAAAGACACAGAGAGTGTGGTGGTGGTGGTGGTGGTGGTGGGAGCGACACGGCCAGAGCAGAGCAGTGCGGTGCGACGTTGGCGAGTGATGAATGATGTCGCTCCAGGATTGTTTTTGGCGGCGGGCGACATGGACATGCAAAAAGACCATGTCAATTGGAGGGCAGGTGGGGGGGGATTGTCGAACCAAGGTACCTCGCCTTACAATATTATGGTGAAGATACCTGGGTGAAACCTTTTCGTCCTGGGCTTAGCTTGGGACCTTGGGTACCTAGACCTCTTACAGCCCTGGACCTGTCGAGTTTCCAGGTATGAGCTGCTAACCTTCCCGTTTTCTGAACTGCTGGGATGTTAACCGTCCAACCTCAGCTCTCCAAAGTTTTACTATGTACGCCCTGCGTTTGGCCGGTTCGGCTAGGCTTAACCTGATGTAAGGTATCCGTCAATAGGTTCTCAAGTTCCGTATCCGTACCTTCAGGTTGCGAATAGCAAGCGATTACCAGGCTGGATTGACTGCGCCAAGGCACTCCCATCGGCCAGAAAAACCAGAGGTGGACCGCACTGTGCGTGCAGGGGCCGTCCCAGGGCCGCGCGTGTGGTGGCTGGGCGAATGAGGGGCGACGTGCTCCCCACCTGTGCTCCACCGCCAACCTGGATTGGGGAATATGTTGTGGCTGGTCAGGCTGGGGGGGGAAAGATGCCACCAAAATGCTGCAACCGCTTGCAACTGTTTCTCACCATGACAGGTTTTTTCCCCCACCATCTCAGGTACGAAAGTACTCCAGGAGTCCAGAGCTCAGAATCCAGGCACCATGAACCAAACAAACGCCAGAAACGGGCTTGCCGGCACCCGGTCTGAGACGACGGATCAAGGAAACCGTCATTGTTTTTTTTTTTCGGGGTTCAACATGTCAAGTGGGGATGGCAGCGGACCGAGTGACATTTGACTGATGCCTGGGAGTCTACAGAGTACGGAGCACCCAGGTACGGATGCCTACCAGACGAATGCAGATGAATGCAGAACCAACAAATCATGCCACTCATGGTTCGGCACTCCATCTTAGGCCGTATCACTCGACGAGAAATCCGGGAGGCTGGTTATGTCTACAGACGTCCAGGCCATGACTTTTCCCCATCGCTCTCATCTCGAAGATTGGCAGGGCTTTCAATACCAGGAACCCCCAGGACATGAAGAGGTTGTGCTCGACTGCTACAGGGTTCATGTGCCGTAGCACAGGGGTACGCGAGCTGAATAGCAAGGGTTCAAGATTCCGAAAAGGCGCCCCTCCCAAACCTTTTTTTTCTCATCTTGCCGTCATTTCACGGTTCTTACCGCCGGCCATCTCGCCTCGCTTGACGACGAGCCATGTCAAAGATGCTACCCGAGCCCCCATCAAGTGCTTCCCGTGTCTGCTCCGCTGGCTCTCGACAGGGGGACTCGGGAGGGGCTTAAAGTGAGAGAAAGAGGAGAGGCCAATATGGCATTCTCGAACTGTGCCACTCGGATTACTCTATTTCTCACGGAATATCGAGGATTGGGTCCAAACCCGTGACTCGCTCCATCGCCCGTGGGCACAGTATGGGGGAAAAAAAAATACGCACAGAAAAGACCACAGACTGATGCAGACGACGTGGTCAAAAAAGTTGAAACATGAGATTGAGACCGTTGCATATCTCTGCGCTGTCACTGCACCGGTTGCGGGATATCAGATGGTTCTCCAAGTGAACAGGTGGTTGGTGTCTGAACTAAGGCAGCTTGACCTCCAAGTCTGACGTCTCTGAGCTATCATTGCCACCGCTAATCTCCTCACCAGTCTGTCCTCGGCATTTTCGAATTTCATTTGAAGTCCAACAGCATCCTTCACACGCGCGGAGTTGAACGTAACTCAACCCGTGTCTTCGGTTCCAAAAGCACTCTAGAGTCTACGGATACGCGAGAAGTTCTGCTGCGGACCTCTCTCAGACAGGCCCTCTCCAGCTTTAGCCATGGCCCGCAGCTGCAAGCAGGGTACATGCACATCATCCCGGACTGAGCCTCACTGGCTGACGCGCTCAATGGGCCCCAACTCGCCAAAACGCCGCCCCAATGAGAGATTCACAACGGGATTAAAGGCGAAACAAGCAGGGCCCGTCAACGTGAAGCATTCCCCAGAAGAGCCCGAAACCGCCAATCAGAGATATCCGACTTTCGCGTTCACGACATCATCTCTGGCTTCTTGCGGAGTACGGCTCTAAAGCTCCCTCCGCCAAGAGCTGGACGATGACGACTCCCGTCCTCGCCCCCTCCCCGCGAAGACCAAAATAGAAGCACGAGAACATCAAAAGAACCACAGCGGATCGATCGGCCCGTCGCTCATCTTTTAAGCTTTAAACAAATAAAGAAGAATTCGCGATCCCATCAAATTGGACAGATCACCCTTCACAGTGGGGTCCGTTCGCTAGATTAGAATGATCGATGCAGCTTCTTCTTCAAGAAATCCCCTTCGGCATATCACTCCTCCGCATCGATTTGAATGCGTTCGGGAGACGCTGCAACGTATTTACTCGTACTTACATAATCCTCCGTGTAGGATCGCGGGATTGCGTACATCATTACGACTCTCCGCAAAAGTTGATCCAGACGTTCTAGACGCTCGTCCATCCACGCAATGGTATGTACAATGCAATGACGATGAGTCCCCTTCGCCCCTCCCCGTCCCCGGCCGCTGAAAATCATCAAGATCCATCCTCGGACAGCGAGGCATATTCCAGTCAGAGCAGTAAGTTAAGATGCATAATACGTAAGCCTGTCTCAGCCCCAAAAACCACAGACTTGTACTCCGTACTCCGTACATATCGAACGTCTCTCTCAATCTTCCAGAGCCGCCACACAAAAACCAGCCATGTTTCGTTCCTAGCTTTTCCAGACGTTTGGTTCCTTCGCGCTGTCCTCGGGCCAACGGTCAATGGGTCAAGCTTGCCTAGCGCAGTGAAACGAAAAAGGGAACAAAGGGCACTGCTTGACATTGCACAGTGTCCGTGTTTTAGTAGGCCTTTTCTTTTGCTTCTCTTGGAACAATGGAAGCCGCTAATGTAGGTGGTTCGTCTGGTCTTCCTTTTTTTTTCCTTCTTCCTTTTTGGGGGGTGTTCAAAGTTTCTGGTGCAGCTGCCAAGTCGTCTCACTTTTCCATAGCAACCGACCTGAACTAGTGACGTTTTCTCCTGCTGCCCGCATCGTTGCTGTGGAAGAAGTATTTGATGCGTCGACGGTTTTGAAGCCATCATCACCACAAGTTACACCATGCGATTCAGATGCCTTTATCGAGTGCATTTCCCCTTCCTGATTGTATTCTGATTCTCCCTACAACCTCTATCCACCAGCCTTAGCATATGACTCGACTTTCCGTTGCGACGGCAATTTCGTCCGCGGAGGAGCAAGGTTCTAAATTACCACAGCTAGCGGCCGAGTCCACGGAGAATCCACCTCTGCCCGATCACACGGCTCATCGCACCCGAAGCCCAGAACACGGCGCAAGGGTTCTCCGTGGCGCTGATATGCTTACCGTATTCCTTGGCCCGGGTCCGATGCGGAGCAGGAAGCGAGACGAAAGAAGAAGGAATGCCTCGCACCGTGGAATTCGGCTGATGGCGAAGTCTAGAGGGGCACATTTCTCCCCATCTTTCACGTCATGCACGTTCCGATCCACGATTCGTGCATCTCGTCCAAGATTTCCCCCTTCCCGAGTCTCTAGTGATGACAGTCCGCACGTATCCATTTACCCATGTCCATTTTCGTTGCTGCCCAGAAAAAGATCAATGTACTCACGCACTGTCAAGATGGAAGTCTGGGGCAAGCTTTCATTCACTCCAAAGCCCAAAAGTGGATTCATCGATCTGACTGGGCATCACCGAGGGGAGGTTGGGACCACTTTGTAAACAAAGTTTTCCAACACATCAGAGGCTATTTGGAGTATGGACTAATACCACACTACCTAACCGAACAGCACTCTTGTAACCCTAGTGGACGTTCCCCGACTTTGTCTCTGTACGGAGTATGGTGTACAACCCTACTACGGTGTACACCCCGAAGAGACATCTTGGGCTGGTCCGTCGAGTTAGGCGGCTTCGATGACGCGCTGAGCTTGGCGGAGGGATGTTGCTTGTAGCCTTAACTCAGCTCAACTTCACGGAGTACCTGATAACGATATTTCCGGGCAAGCTTGGGGATAGTTGGGCATCAATCCAATTGCACAGAAGGCATTGAGGGGTCTTGGGCAGTATCATGAACACGTTACAACACATTTCACCATGACAGGTTTGGAACACAAAAGATTGGGCATATTCGCCATGCCACTCAGCGGACTCAATTTTGGCCCTGATCCAGTTTCCCCGTGTCTAAAGACAGTGTCGTAAAGCCAACTTCAAGAGGCTAGACAATTATTCTCCCAGATGATTCCCGATCAAATGAACGCTCCGCCCGCATACCTCCAGCAAGGGCAAATGTGAACGAGGACAAGTTCCGCATCCGATCCGTACATGCCGTTCCAATGGGCATGCGAGATGCCTTACAGTAAATTTCAAACATAGTAAATTCCAAATGACGCCTCTCAATCCTTCCACTCCAAAAGCTTGCCAGCTTCCAAAACGCCAACCATATCGCCCTGATCCAAAACGGCCAAGAGGGAATCCGAGGTGCAGACGTACTCGCCGTCATCCGCGGCACCTTGCATACTTCTCACAAAGTCCACGGCACGACGTATCGTCGTCCCGGAGGAGATGGACAGCATCTCCGCCCTCGGCACCATCAGCTGGGGGATGTCTCTGAGACAACGTGCAAAGTCCATCGTTGCCAACTTTCTGATGCGACTCGGCGATGCGACATCATTCCCAACCCGGACCCAGCCCGACGGCGAGTCGTACGCGGCCCGGAAGAGGTCCGCGCCGACGCTGGTGTCCGCACAGAGATGTTCCGAGTCATCAATGTCGACCCAGGGAATGGCCAAGTCCAGGATTGTCTGAGGTTTCCGGAACGCGGCGCCGATCGCACCCCCCGGATGGTTCTTGGAAAACACCTGCGCGACGCTCGGGTGCAGCTCCTGCGCGGCGGCAATGGCAAGCGCGTCGCCGACGGCCAAGGCAACCGTTGTGGACGTTGTCGGAGCCGAGACACCAAACGACGATGTCTCACTTTCGTGGACTGGTGCTGGAAGAAGAATCGTATCCGGTCGGAGTTTGATAAGCTCGCACGTGTCAGGTCTCGTATGTCCGGTGAGGATGACTAATGATGACGGCTTCTCCAAGTGTGGTAATAGGCTGAAAAGTTCGGAAGTCTTTCCGGAGAATGTGATGAAGAGAAGAATATCGTGCTTCTGGATAATGCCCAAATCGCCATGGAGAGCATCAATTGGGTTCAGGAACACGGATGTGAGTGAAAGGCTGTTGAAAGTAGCAACGAGCTTGTTCGCAATGTGACCGGACTTTCCAACACCGGTGATGATGAGCTTCCCCTTCTCACCCTTGTGCCGTGTGATTGCCGCAACTGTTCTGTTGAAGCCGTCCCGGGCGACGGGGTCTGTCTCGTATAAGTTTGCGACTGACCGAAGTGCTGCGGCTTCTGTCTTGAGAACGTGTGTCGCGGCGTGAAGTCTGTCCTGGATTTTGGCAGAGATGTCATCGTTTTCGGGGAGGTCGTCGGGCGATCCAAGGCTGAGTTCTTCCAATTCCTCCAAAAAGTCATCTTCTGGGGGTGAGACTGGTGGTGAAGGAGGCGAGGGAGGCGGCATTGAGTCGCAGTGGTTTGCGCCGAGGACAAACACTGCGCTGGTTTGCACCGGCCGGTGCTCCATGTGGTGGCGTTGATCTCCCATTCTGATATGTCTTATTCGTGAGTGGTGAACTTCACTGTGAAATGCGCTTCGTGTATGGGCGCAAAATATCTCTATCGTCGCTCAAGGAACAAATCGTCAACTTCGTTATCGTTATCGATCAATGAGGACCAGGTTCCGCCGTGGTCGAGAGTTGTGCGATAAGCTCTTGCTTCGCGTTCCTAGGTCCAGAGAAAAGATGGACACTTCTGTGTATGAGGAGTACCGGAGCTGGGCTTGAATCACCTAAAATTGAGTCGCGGGGAGCAGCAAGATTCAAGAGCAAGGTTGTGACAGGACTCCATGACGTTCAAGATTCGCAGCTCGGGGGATAATGGGATTTTGTCCGAAGCGCGCGGTCGAGTAAAAGAGGAAGAAAACAAAATGGACTACGTAAGTTATTGTAGAGAGACAGAGGACCCTGCGCTGAAGCGAGGTGACCTTCCCAAACTCACCTTAATTGCTGTCCCCTCCATTCGGGGCTACCCTTGACTTAGCTTCAGGCGTGGTGGGTAGCTCGCCCCGATCCGGTTCCTTGACTGGCCGATAAACCCAACTTTGGTGCGGCATGTCGCGCGTTGGAGGGATGGCTCTGCATGCCCTGCCTCTGGCGTGATCGAACGAAGCGCGGTGAATGGTTCCCGAGAAAGCATGGGTTGGTAATCAGATCCGGGAAGAATACCTAGGCTGGCTAGCCAGGGACGACACAAGCCTTCTTCCATAGGATGAGGATTGTGGACGTAGATGGCGCTCCCACCGCTTCCGGGCAATTGAGTCAGAGCAGACAGACCGAACAAAGATACGGGCGATAAAGAGGCTTTGCCCCAAGCGCGATAGGAGGTCGGCATCACAAGCAATCCGAGCCTGGTCCTTTTGGTGGGGTTCCGCGAGTCTATGATCCCTCGATGTTTCTCAAGCATGGATTTTGTATATCGATGCGGCCTAGCCTCGCGATGATGCGTACTTTTGACACATGTCAGAATCGACTATTCCCTGAGTATCAAGCTCCGAGTAAATTTTTTGTTGTGAATTCCCGCTTGACCGCTTCAGCTGGCTATTGCAGCTGCCTGGCATTGCCGCAAAACATTCTAGAATACGCCGTTCTGCTATTGTTGAGATCGCGGATCGGATTTCAGCGGAGATTTCGGTCGAACTTTTCCTAGAGTAAACAGATCGCCCAGGGCACTGACAGTCAACACCCTGGCCCCAAGCAATTGACAAGACCGCAAAAGGCCCGGTCCCCGCTTGATGAATGGAGCAGTGATCCGCTCTCGATGCAGAGTATTTTTTGACGGTTGCCGTGACTGTACAGTTGCGAGTTCCTCAGTTCTCAGTCAATTTGAGCCACAAAAGTCTCTCAAGAGGCGTACATCATCAGTTCAACGTTGCTGCCGGTGATCAGCGTACTCTCAGTTAAGACTTGGCGAATTGTCAAGCAAGCAACATTTGGCCAATCAAGGTGCCCATAAGCAACACGGTTCTCCCAATCCGAGTGTGCGGCAATTGAGGGTAGGTACAACAATAAACAACGATCGTTGGTGCACATGGCTTCAGGGCCAACCATAAAGCAGCATCAGGTCTGCGCATCGTCAGGGAGAATTAATGTTCTGGATGGACCATGGCGTCTTGGGTAAATGAGGGTTGCAGGTGCTGTGCTTTTTCGCGAGAATGTTTGATGAAAAGCATTTTGAGTCAACTCAAGAGCCCAAAGGTTTGGTGGAGCGTAGAAAACGAGAGCAATTCAAAGCTGTCGCTCATTGTAGTCGCTTTCGCAATCGTTCATTCCTTGCGATTATGCAGCTTGGCGCGGCTGTCATCGTGGCCCTGAGCCTCACTGCCCATGCTTCCCCGCGGCACGGGTACGGAGTACCTTTGGACTATCACTGTACCCCGGGCCAACGAACCGGCGATATTGTGTGGCCCGGAGACATACGGCCTCACCGAGGTGAGATCAGCGGCCGACACGGCTTGCCAGCACGTGGAGGCTGGGACAACGGCCGGCAACTCGCGCTGTCCGCATACGTACCGAAAACAGGAAAGGCTTGACTTCCATGGCGTCGACGACCCTTTTGTCGAATTTCCGATGGAGACAAGCGGTGTTGACAAAGTCGAAAGGGGGTGGGCAATCTGATTTGAGTTCTCGGGAGTCTGGCATTTCAACGACGATCGGCGATCTGGCGTGGACTCAATTTCTGGTGCTTGCACAGGTTAGGCGTCTTGTGCCAAGGCAGCTTAGCGGCAGGACTACCACACTCCAATACCTCACGGTCGTTATCGGAGCAGGGCGAAATTGCGAATTATTCCGTGAGGCTGGGATTGAGCTGATGGAAAGAAGGTAAATAGGTAAGTCCGGGGCCGACATAGTTGTTGTCGACGTAAATGTCCTTCGACAAGCCAAGTCTTCCATTCGGAGCCGCAAGCAACGATCCTTTTGTGGTGCGAGCAACCGACGTTGAAGATGTGTCGCTAGATATCGAGCGGGTGCAGATGACGGTCTTGGTGTTTATTACCCCCCGTGCCTCCGAACCCCCACGATCCAGGCGTCTGACAGAGCTGGGGTTTCACAGGCGGTTAGCACGGCAGGCCTGGTTGGTTTAGGCAGTCGCATAAGAAGGCTACATTGCCTCAATCTCGTCGTCTTGAACATCTGTTCTGAACTTTTGAATCCAACGACATTCGGATAGTGACTCACGGGCCCATCTGTCTTCCTGACAGCGTGTTCCTCCCGGAGTTGCTGGTGGGAAAGAGGGGAGGCTGCGACGAAGCTGGACTGTAGCAAAGAGCGATAGCTTGAGCTTTCATCAGATGGCGATCCGTGCAGGGTCGCAGCGGTGAAGACCAAGGTGTCGCTAAGGTGAGGCAAAGCAAGATGAGATGGTGCTTTGTCCATCACTAACAATATCGGGTCGACACTAAGCCAGCGATGCCACCCAAGCAATGGAATCTTTGCTGGTCAGAAACACGGCGGTTGCAGTAGTGGGGAGTGGGCGGTCTACTATGTAGCAGCAAGCAGCAAGCAGTGGCAGTGAAGCACTGCAAGAGGATGGGATGGGAGAGACGGGGGGCGGGATGGTGTGGCAGGTGTCCCCGTGACATGCATGTTCGTTGTAACTCTTAGCTGCAGCTGCAACTGCCTGTAGCTGTTTTCCTGCTGTCGAGGAAAGGTACTTCTAACTCGTATCATCTTGTACGACAAGATATGTATCTTTTCTACCTACGTAACTGGTGTTGCAAGCTTGCCCACGGCTTCCCGAATCAGTCAAGTAGCGTCATAACGACGACCGGTCTGGCCACCACCAATCGCTGATAGACAACCCCCCCAGCTGCCAGCTTTCCCATCTCAGATCCAGTTGTTCCTTCCAAGGCAATTTGGCCATCTGCAATTCTTGCCTCACCCATCTTCTTTTCTTCCCCAGGCAGAAAGGAGGGAAATAGAAGACAACAACGCCCTTGCTACACTTCCGCAGTGACCTGTTTCTATACAGCTGTCAATTCGCAAAGATGACCAGAGTCTCCGTCTACAGCGCCGCCCTCGTGGCCTTTGTCGCTGGTAAGTCTTTGCCTTGCGCCCGCCCCCCGAGAACCCAAAAGCAGAGGGATCCACCCAGCATCGTCATCGCTGTTTTTGTGAGCGCGTCTCAGCTGGGAGGCCTGCGACGGCACGCAGCTATGGTAGACGGAGGGGAACAACACCAACAAATCCCGCGAGACAATGAAGGAGATTGGACTATGCTGACATGCAAATTTAGCGACGGCGATGATTATTGCGTCTATTACGCTCCCCCACTGGGTCACCTACACCGTGACGACCGCCGAAGGCAAGGAATACTCAAAACACATCGGTCTCCATCGATCATGTTCCAGTGGGTTCAACGAGCCATGCCAGGTGTTTCCGACCGAGGAGCTGTGTAGCGCAAATGGCGAACGTTATTTCTGTTCAATGTGGCGCTCTGTTGGCTTCCTGGCTTCCTTCTCGACCATCCTGCACCTCGCGTCCATCGTCACGTTCCTTGTCATCATGGGCGGTGGCAAATACAAGCGCGAAACCGGCTGGACAGTTCTCGGCGGGCTTCTGGTATTTGTCGCGGCTATCGAGTTCACGCTGATGGGCATTGTGGTAAGTGATCTGCTTAATGCGCTTGACACCCAATAAGGCTAAGTACCATTCTTCACAGGCATACCTTTACGACAACGACGAGCAGTTCCAGGTTCCTGGCTGGGGGCTGGACTCCTCTTGGATCCTGTGTACCGTGAGCGCTTCAATCTCGATTCTGTGTGCCGCTGGATTGGCCATCTCCGCCTTTGTGCTCCCGCCAGAGGAGGGCTACGAGTTCCTTAACGATCCCATGCCGTAATCGACATGTTCATCGACCAAACTTTGAGTTTAGAACCAGCTTCCGAATCGTGGCGCATACAGAAAACCGGCGTCTTGATTTGGCTTCATGGGGGTGCATATTCTTTTCTTCCCGTTAGCTTACATGATGAAGGAGTTTTCACATTTGCAATTTTGAAGCGGCTTAAGATGACGAGATGAGTGGGATGCATCTGGTATATGCGCCAAATAATCTAGGTTTACAACACAGAATACACGACTTTTACCCTTTATGAATGTTTGGTCATGCCGAGAGCATAGAACCGAATGTTGAAAAGTGACGCAGTGAGGCGACGTAGATAAGCGTGGACTTAGGAGTTCGGGACCCGCCGCATCCCCGCATTCACATATCCATCTCTCCCGCCGTCCAATATCAAACGGTGCGCCACTGCGAAACTCAAATAAGCCCTTGCGATTTCGTCAAACCTCACAGTAAACGACAGATTTCTTTCAAGAACTCTCACCCGGGCCCATCAAAAAAGCTAAATCGTCCTGAATCTTATCAAGACAATCTTTACCCTTCTTCCTTATCAACCCAAATTACGACTCATCACCATGACGGTCCCCGCTCAAGACGAGGGTCTCACCCCGGAGCAACTCGAATCTTTCCACCGCGACGGCTACCTCGTCATCCCCGGCGCCCTATCCCCGGAGACCGTCTCCGGCCTTCTCGCCGAGACCCACTCCCTACTGGACAACTTCTCCCTCGCCGACCACCCTATGACGCGCTTCTCCACCGGCGAGAAGGCAGACCACGTCGGCGACGACTACTTCCTCTCCTCGGGCGACAAGGTTCGCTTCTTCTTCGAGGAGGACGCTTTCGACGACGAGGGCAACCTCGTGAAACCCAAAGCCCGTGCCATCAACAAGATTGGCCATTACCTGCACGTCCTCTCCCCGCCCTTTGCCGCCATCTCGGATCCCGCGTCTTCTACCACTGGCAGTGCTGGCAGTGGCCCCGTCCGGGGTAAGCCGGCCGCCGTGGCCCGCAGCCTCGGGTTCCGGGACCCGCGGTGCCTGCAGAGCATGATCATTTGCAAGCAACCCGAGATCGGCGGCGCCGTGCCCCCGCACCAGGATTCGACCTTCTTGTACACGGACCCGCCGTCCGCCGTGGGCTTCTGGTACGCCCTCGAGGACGCGACGTTCGAGAACGGGTGTCTTTCGTTCTTGCCTGGCTCGCATCGCTGGGCACCCGTGTCGAGCAGGCTCGTGCGCAAGGCCGGGGACGCGGGGACAGAGATGGTGGATAACGAGGGCCCGCGGTTCCCGCCTGGTGATGTGTACGGCGCCGAGAAGGCGAGCGAGCAGGAGAAGGCTGGGGAGGGGAAGTATGTGCCTGGGGAGGTCAAGGCTGGGGATCTGGTGTTGATTCACGGCAACTTGCTGCACAAGAGCGAGAAGAATTTGAGTCAGAAGGGGCGCATCATTTACACGTTTCACGTCATTGAGGGGGAGGGGAACAAGTATGACGAGAGGAACTGGTTGCAGCCGCCCAAGGCTGGGTTCACCAGGTTGTATTCTTCTTAGGTGGAGGTAGGAACTCGTGGGTATCCCTTTGATGTAGACTCAAGTCTGCTCCTAATGAAACAAATAGATCAAACAATCCTCTATATCCTGACATCGGGACGTTGTACTGAGTAGTGAGGGGGGGGTAAAAGTAGAGACATGAGGATAGACGCCAGACAGAGCTATGCTACTATTTCTTCGACCCTGTCCGCTTCTTAGGGGCTTCCTCCTCTTCCTCGCTATCGTCCTCGCTGCTGTCGTCTTCCTCTTCCGACGATGATGATGACTCGCTGGAAGACTCGGCTTCCCGCTGAGCGGCTTGGCGCTGTACCTCACTCGCGTTGTCCGATTCATCATCGGAGTCGCTATCACTGTCCGAATCCGAAGAGTTTGAATCAGATGATTCCTCAGAGCTCGAATCGTCAACGTTGGTACGTCTCTTGCGACGACGAGGGGCCTTTTCCTTCGTTGTGCCGTCGTTGAGCTTGACCCGCTTGTCAGCAGACTCCTCCTCCTGAGCCACAGCCGCCTGGGCAGGAGGGGCCGTCTCCTCGGTATCAATGGTCATGGCATCGCTATCCTCGCTGTCAGACAGCTCCTCCAATATCGTCTCGGCACGCATGCGCTTAATGACCCTCTGGGTGATGGCGACGTCCGTGGACTTGGACACGAAGCCGGCCTCGTCGAAGCGCTTCCTCTTGGAGCCGGAGCCATTGCCGAGCTGCATGAGGCCAGCCAGTACCTTTTCGTACTCTGACTGCTTCCCGTCCATGTCCGGCGTGCCTACGGGGAAGGCAGCCTTGCCCTGCTCGGCGTCCTCCTTCTTCACTTCAGCCGCCGTCTCTAGCAGCCGCGACCGCGTGAAGCCCTTGAGGTCTTGGATGTACTCGTAAAAGGTGCCAATGTCGCTCGACGGGATCGCGTCGGAGTGGAAGACCCGCTTCATCAGGATCGTTTGGTGGTTCTTGTTGAACTTCCACGTCTGGCGTGAGGACTTCCAGTTCTTGAGGTACTCAAGGGAGGGCTTGATGTCGGCGGTCGGCTGCTGGGTCGCTGGCTTGGAGTTCTTCTTCTTGTTCCTCTTGGGATCGGCCGCGGTGGTGAAGGTGTTCTTCTTGACGTCGTCGGCAAAGGTCACGGACTTTTGCTTCCTCAAGGTCGGAGTTGCATTGCTGTCGCCGTCGGTGCGGGTCCGTTTGAAGGGGGAATTGGAGTTGTACGCAGGGGGAGGAGTAGGCTGATCGAGACGTTTCCTTTTGGCGGCGGCGGCGGCGGCCGGCGAGGCGTAGGCGGCGTTGACGACGGGGCCGCTGGCGTCCCGGTCGTGGTGTTGTTGCCCGTTGGGCTTCGATCCCTCGGCAGGAGCAGGGCCGCCAATCTCTGCGCCGGATGCGGGCTGCTTGAGCTTGAGGCCCAATCGTTTCCAGGCCGGGACGTTTGGTGCGGAGGACATGACGGGCAGCGGGCACACCCTCTTTTTTTTTCTCTTCCTTTCGGCTTTGTCTATCGGATTTTCCTCTGAAGGGAGGGGAGGGGTTGCTGCTGCTGTTGCTACTCCTGCTGCTTCTTCGGGCCGCTGCTGGATCGGAATTTGCGTTTCTGCGCGTTTGGCCTGACGAGACAAGCAAGAAATGCAGAACTGGGCCGCTTTGATGTTTTCCACGTGCGATTGGCTTATTCGATTGGAATGCTGTGGCCTCGTATACCGCAGTCCTATTGGGCGCAATGGGTGGTGCTTGACACTTGAAAAGAGAGTATCGGGAATGGTCCCAGTACTTTTTTTTTTCTGGCTCTGAATACCGCCCTCCCAAATTTTTGGCAGCAGAGATGCGTTGTCGTTCCCACTGGGCAGGGGTGCCCCGCTGCTCCCCAGTCAATTGATGTACGTATCGGAAAGTGCCGCTTCAGTGTTAGACTCAGCACGTGTGACCTGAGGTGAGCAGCCAGAGCTGCCTTATGTAAGCTTTGCGTCGTGGGATAGTTGTTGCCTTAGAGAATGACCCCCAATGCAAGGCATCCACTCAGCCTTCCAGCCCAGGCCCTGGAGCTTCCCGGTGCCGTTGCCTCGCCTGCTCCAGGCAAGCTCCTGCAAACGCGTCGACGTCCAAGAGCTCCGCTAGAGCTCAACCCCATCTTCATTGACGACACCCACCTCCACCTTCTACCCATCAACGACTCTTCCAAGCTATTGACGACCGACCACGACTTTCTTCGACGTAATTTGATCAACGTAAACACAGCAATACCGCCAAGATGTCGGGTACGTCCGTCCTACAACAGCTAACCTCAACCCATGCGAATGCCCACCATAGCTAACATGTCTTCCCTCAATCAGGTGGCTCAGCTTACGACCGACACATCACGATCTTCTCCGAGCAGGGAAGATTGTACCAAGTCGGTATGTACAGTCTTCTTTCCAGCGAACCGATTGCCCCTCCCTGTGGTGATGCCGTCATGCGGGGCTCGAAACAACCTGGCCTGGAAGTAGTGGACAGGGCTGACGATACGACATCGAATAGAATATGCCTTCAAGGCAATCACAGCCGCCAACATCATGTCGATAGGCGTCAGAGGCAAGGACTGCGCCGTTGTCCTGTCTCAGAAGAAAGTCCCTGTAGGTCGAGAATCAGCTGAGTTACCAGTAGAGGGAGAGCGACTGACCCAGTTACAAGGATAAACTCATCGACCCCGCCTCCGTCTCCCATCTCTTCCAGCTCTCCCCATCTGTTGGATGCGTGATCACGGGCTCCATCGCCGATGCCCGCGCCTTCTCCCAGCGTGCCCAGGGCGAGGCAGCAGAGTTTCGCTACAAGTACGGCTACGAAATGCCCGCCGATGCGTTGGCGAAGAGGCTGGCCAACATCAGCCAGGTCTACACACAAAGAGTAAGCAGCATACAAACTTCGAGGTGGCTGTGTGAACAGAGACTGACGGGTGGTCTAGGCCTACATGCGCCCTTACGGCGTTGCAACGACGCTCATCTCATTGGACTCTGAGTTCGGACCTCAGCTGTTCAAGTGCGATCCCGCCGGATACTACATTGGCTACAAGGGTACTGCGGCCGGTCCCAAGCAGCAGGAGGCTCTCAACCACCTGGAGAAGAAGCTGCGCAACAAGGAGGCCGCCCCTGGTGACTGGACGGAAGTTGTTGAGCTCGCTATCACGACGCTCAGCACTGTCCTGAGCATGGACTTCAAGAAGGGTGAGATCGAGATCGGCATTGTTGGGGGACCTCGTGCGGACGGCAAGGAAGGTACGGATTCCGGCTTCCGGATCCTGACTGAAGATGAGATCGACGAGCGGTTACAGGCGATTGCGGAGAAGGACTGAGGTGGAGAAAACACATTCCGGCCGGTGGAGGCTGGGGATAGTTGGTGCAGCGGATGCTCAGTCCAAAGTGACACTGATTCGTTGACAGGCCAGATCACGCATGAGCTTCGCGGGATATTGCAGATGAGAATCAAGCTTAAAGTCCCACGAACCGAGATCCCCGCACACGATTGTACTACTAGCCAGCCTACCAATCACTATAGATCAAGACATTTGGAAGATGCTGTCATGATCAATCCCATGATTATCGATGCGAGCCCTATGATTTGTGGCTTGGCTGAGTGTTGATCGAGTAGGCATGTGGGAAAGTCATGGCTTGCCCGAGGCCAGCGGATATCGTGATTCACGGAGTTTGCGCCGGACATTACTTGGACGAGACATGAGACAGCAGAAAATATGGGCGCTCATCTAGCCCAGTCAGACTGGAGGAGCAATATCGAAGAACGGGCGTCGAATACTCCCATGAGGCTGTCAAAGTGTCGTGAAACGGTCTCATAGGGCGGCCAGTGGTATTAAGTGAGTCGAGCTTCTAAAAAAGCAAAAATTTGCATATGGGAAATGATGTTGATAGTAGCAGGTTGGACCATTAGGAGCGTCTGATTGCTCAGCGACCCGAAGTCAGAAATGCTGTGCAAATGCAAGGCCGTATTTCCTTTATTGGGGGCTGCAGAGTTCACGAGGCCGAGACAAGGGTGACGGTTCTCGAGGAAGATGGCGTCCCGAGTCAGAGCTGGAGATATCAGCCCCCAAAGGCTCCCGACCAGTCCTTTTCACAGCAATCGAGTGCCGTAAGGAAAACACCTCCCGAGTCTCCCAGTCAGCCTTCTGCTAAGTCGCAAAGGGTAACGGGGACGGGGGCCTAATGCGGGTGACGGTTTTACGATACTGGTTCAGCTGGAATAAAACGTGCCAAACGTGCCAGTCGTCGGCGAACGTCACAGTTTCGACAGTTGATTGGTTGTTATCCCCGTTAAGCCACGAAGTTGTGGAGCAGCACTACATGCAAAGCTCCAGCCCGTTTCCTATTCCGGCCGCCAAGTCTGGTGTGGATGCAGCTGAGGATCCACAAGCCTTACCTTATTCCGCATCCCTGCTACCGACCTGTCCGTTCTACCGGAGAAAAGACTCACTTTGCGATGGGCTGGATGTAGGCTCTTTGGGGTGTTTTGGTGGTTTTTTTTCTTCGTCATCCTAACTTGTCTTCCCCCCCGGCCTGCGGACGAAGACCATGTGTTCCATCCCACCGTCCCAGATCTTCCCACCCTCTCCCCGGCAGGTCTCACATCCCATGCAGCCTTGTCCGGGCCATGGTGAATGGCTGCAGCCATGATTTCCCATGCTGACCTGCCCGCATTACACGCCAGACTATCGTCAACTATGATAGCCGTCCAGGGCCGGAACGTGGTCTTACAGGCTTTCAAGATGCAAGTTGGCATCATTCCAAGGCCTCCTGGACAGGTGAAAAATATTTCTCTGTCGCATCATCTTGCCGGGAACCGGGGGTATGCCACCAGCTTGGCTAGGGTCTCCGTCTAGCTTTGAGCTTGCAAAGCCATCCCAACTGCCAGGACCCCGGCGTGTATTTTCCGATTCGTCAGCTAGCCCTATCAGCAAACTGGGGGACCGTGGGTGTCAATCCAGACAAACCAAGGGTTCATTGGACACAACCCTCTCAATGAGCTCATGCATCCCTATGGGGCTCCCTCCGCTCGAAGGACACGGGCATGGGTTCATTCGTGGTTCATTCATGGTTCCTGACGGGAGCCAGGCTTGACCTTGATTCGGACTATGCTCCGTAAACTTTCGCGGTTGAATTCTCGTGTCCTTGGGAGGCCGTCCAGAACATACAAAAGGAAAAGAGCGTGGCGTTCGAAGTTTGATGTCGATCATCATGCTCCATCCAGTGTTTCATGGTCTTCGAAAGTAATAGCCTCTCGTTCGCTGATCTGGCACTAATCTTTCTATCTAATCTTTCACTTTACTCGGTCCGTTTCCTTAACGTCGGATTTCCTTGGAGTACTGAGAGCACTAATATACCCTACGTGCTATCACAATGGACGGATGTGAGTTATCATACGGCAGAGACCTCAATCAGATGTACTCCAGATGGCAGTGGCTCTCTTGTTGCGCTTGGAACTAATACATTTGTCAGTGAACGACTACCGAACGACGAGAGTAGCCGAAGTCCTTTCCGATTTCCGCACGTTGCAGTACTACATCGCGGCAGCACCCACAGATCCCAATAACATGGAGGACTATTATACAGAAGGCTGGGCGGCGTTGCGCCAATGCTCCCTTGACGGGCAGCACATTCTCAACTGCGCCGCCGACACCAGCGTCCCCCAAGCAAGCGGCGGGACCCTTGAGCAGGAGAAAGCGGAGCTGAGGCAGTGAGGACATCTCTCTCTGACTTCAACTTGGGCTCGCGAGCTGACTTTGGCATTGCAGATGTTTGCTTGACGCATTTTCGAGGAGACACGAGTGTCAAAAGATCTACCTGCGACAAGCTGCTGCGCAGCGATGGGTCACAAACAGGGATGGAATTCTACAGGGCGCGCGACCGAACTCGAGGAACCAGTCGCATCTGAGAGCGTGTGATCAACAGCTACGAGCTGTAAGTCTATGATACATCGAGAGCGCTGGGAATACGGTGGGGGGCACGTTGGACTGATACGATGACTCTAGGAGCTCGCTACCATCACCGACGAGGCGATCTACAACGAACTGCTGGCATCCGATGCCACAATGGGCCGCTGGACGGCCGAGGACCCGAGCCAGCGAGGCGTGCAGCGTTGGCTCCGCGCACGTCGACCATAAGAGTTTCCGTCACGATATCCATGAGACGAACCAAGATAACTGGGATGTTCGATGATTCAAGACAAAAAAAGTAATGTTTCTTCTGACGACATCGGGGATGGGAATTTTTTGGCATAAACGGCGCATGGAGGATACCACTTACGAAGCGAGCGTTTCGATAATGTCTTTTTCTTTTTCTTGTTCTTTTTCTCTGGTGGCCTGCATTATTACTAGGTTTCACGAGCGAGCTGGACGCGCTTAAACGGGAAGAAGGTCCAGGTAGACCAAATGACTATAGAGAGGAAGTTTCCGAGGGGCGGAGAGATGAGTAGTAGATCTTGAACGGTAGAAGTTTAGATGACTGAAGCTGCCTGGAGCAGGCACGTTGTTCGCTTTTACTGTATATATATTTATTTACACACCTTCTACATGGGCTCAAATGCCAAATATGATATCGTGCATTATGCACCTTGAACGAGACATCAGGATTCACAGGTCTCATGCATGCTCCGTATCTCTTCTCGAAAGCGCCCCCAAACCATTGAGGCTCAATTCAGTACTTCGTCTTGCTATGCACGCATAACGCTATTCCTGAAAGAGATAGCACCATGCCGACCAAGGTTTCTGCAGCAGGTTAGCATCATAGCCAATGGATGGGGTTTCTCGGTCTTTGAAAGCACACTTACCTCGACTAATGACCTTCTTCTCAACCCACCAGTCTCCAATGACAGTGAAGAGGAACGCCAGGGTATTGACGATGGGGACCGTCAAACTCAATTCTAGCACATTTGCCGTCATTGACACAGACCTCTTTTCTTCCGCATTCTCTCCACTCCAAAGGAGAGGGTATGGATGGAAAGGGAAATTGAAGAGGAGACTCACCAGCTTGTCCAATAAGTAGGAAGAACCAAACGCTCCCGGTCAAGTTAATCAGCAGCGGCACGGCATACCGCGGGTTCCGCAACAGGTCGACGACGCCGAAGAAGGCGCCGTACACCCGACTCCGGACCCAGCTGTTCTTGACGGCGTCGGTGTCGAGAACCGGGTGCGGGGGCGGGTTGTGGTCCTTTGCGGCGCGGCGGATGAATGGGGTGGTGAAGCCCCACGCCAGGCCGACTAGGAGGAAGCCGGCGACATAGTTGATGGCTGCCGGTTGGGATTCGGGGGCGTCCGGTGATGTCATTTTGGAGGGGTTGGCCGGCGGTGATTTAGGGGTTTGATGCGCGGGTGTGTGTGTGTGAGTGATGTTTTGTTTCTCAGCCTCGTTTCGATATTTGGAGTGAGGTGTGGTTACATCAGCTGAGGCTCCATTAAACGCTGATTGTAAGAATTGACGGGAAAAAGATGATTTGGGGGTGTTTGCGACGGGATGCCGACGGTCCGGCGAGGACGGGGAATTGAGACGGGATGGAGTGTAGTCGGATTGGGGATGGGCAGGGGGCCCGAGCGAAGCCTCAGCTCAGCCACGCGGCAGGGTGGGTACTTTGCCACTGACAGCCGCACTTGGGGTGCTGATTGGTCGGTGAGTCCGGTCTGACATGGACACCGCGGCGGCACTAGCCGAGCGGCTGACTTCACCGACTTCAACATCTCTTTTGGCGCGGCGGTAGTCTTCTTTGCCGATAACGTCACCTGAAAGATGAAGCATCACCGAAAACAGACATCATCGCGAATATGGTGAAGAGGCCTCTGACGATACGGCACAGCACCATCGGGTTTCCTGCAATGGCTTGAGATCCCCTTCAATTACCCATGGATCCAATCATGCACCTGGAAGGTTTAGGGGATTTGGCGACACCAAGTCCAGCTCAAACGGGTCGGTCTACCCTGCAAGTGTGATTGTGCAGATGGGAATTCTGATGCCAGACCAACCTGTCTCACTTGTCAACAGACGCGAGGCATTAGTCGAGCATTGACTGACTACCCGAAGCCAGCGGGTTGTGGGCAACATCACCCGACGGTCGACATATCTGCTAGGCATAGGAGGCACGTGTATCCATTCACGTCTCAATCGCCGTTAGAACCACGCTGCTTCTCTATGATTATGCAAGGCAACGAATCCCGTCCTGCGACTGATGGACCGATGACACTAAAACTATCGATACGTGATGTCAAGGGTCATGACTCCTGAAGTATGCACAAGCAGTTGAAAATCTCGTGTTTCCAAGCGGCGCACAGCGAGGATTCGAATGATTGGTATCTAGTGAATACCGACGACGGCCTTCTTTTCATATGGCTGGCTGGACACACTGATACTTTGAACTTATTGGACCCGGCTCATTCATGAGCGGGTGACGAGTCGCCCAACGTAAGTGACAAGTGTCTAACAAGCAATGAGATGATTGAAGACGGTAACGATAAAGCAGTCGACGGGGCCCACGATTCTACATATCTATCAACCATCCTCTCTGACATTTCCCTACAGTTTCCTTCCCCTGGCGATCATTACGCAAAAGTCGTTCCATATCCCCTCATTCCCTCCGGACAAGAAGCTCCTGTCGCGGGGAGTCTGTGCTCTCCGCAGTATGCATATTTTTGCGTCTTGGCCCGGCTTAGCTCGCCCAGTCATTGACATCACCAAACAAAGCCGATGATTCATCACCTTCTGGCCCTTATTCACAGCCGCATTATCAGGCTACCAGCGGCACCACCACCGTGATGCGCCTAGCGTGCAGGCGAAGCTTTGTTACCTTGTGATGGGATTGTTCAAAACGCACCAATTTTGTAAAAACACAGACTTCACGCAAGATGAGGTCAAGATCAGCTTCCCCCACAGTACACAGGCCACACACAGCCGAATAGGTAGCCCCCGCCCGCGCACCTGGACCCTTGCGCGGTCTAGAAGCGGTCTTTGATGTTGTTTGCTTTGGGCTAACACCTGGAGGCTGGGAAGCTTGGCAAGGTTTGGGGCATGGCCCGGTACCTTGCATTCCTTTCCCGGATTGCCATGTCAGATTCCAATGTTTTTGGCGGGGATCTGACAATTGGATGAGCTCTTTGGCGGGGTTAGTTACCCAGTACATCAGTATCTCGTCCCATCGTGTCATTGTCACCGGGTCGGGCGATTCACGTCAAGGTTCGTCAATATGGAGCTCATCGTGCCTTCGTATTAGGCAACGCAGCAATTGGGCATCGGCATCCTCATGACAAGGTCCAGTAGATACCAATTGACTGAAGTGCCGGTGAGGTTGAATACCTCGATGCAATAGTGCACCGAGCATTAAGCATTTCTTTCTTCTTCGGCCTGAATAATGACGATGGTCTTTGGTCATGACGGCAAGGTTAGGCGTCCGAGAGAACGCAGCCTAGATCAGATCGATCTACGAGCCTCCCCAAAGCAGTATAGCTGTTTGAGCCTCGAGGAAGCAAACAACGATTCCACATTCGATCCATGTTTGCTTTGAGGTTTTTCTCAAAGCACCGAGCTCCTGCAACCACGAGCCGCATCTCCAATGCCCACTCTTCCCCAACCTATTGGCAGAGAAACCTCCCCGGAGTGTTTGCTACGCTGCTCCCCTCCCCTATACCGTTTCCCCGCTATCATCATCGGTCGATCTGACTTCATCCCACCTTATCGACCGGAAGTGTACCTACCTATCTAGATGGAGGGGCGGCGGTGGTGGGCGGACGGGCATGAACCGAATTCCCCTAGTGCCGTCCGTCCTTTTGCCCCCCTCGACCCCGCGTCTCCCGTTAATTGAGAAGTGTAACGTCGTAGGGGATTGTAGGGCTGTCACTGCGATTCACTTAACCAGTACCACCAGCCATGTTAACCACACGAAGCTCGTCCTTCCCCCTTCTAGGCTGATACCTCGAGGCTGTCACAGTAGCTTGCTACTTAGCCCGATCTATCATCTCTCTTCCCGCCCCTCCTCCACACTTTCGCCCGGCGCCCGGCGCCCCATCCTAAGGTACCCCTTTCCACAAAGTGTGCCTCTTTACGGAAAGTAATGTCTAAACCTCCCTCCAGGCACGCAAAGTACGACCGCTTGGGCGTAGTTGAATAAGAAACATGCAAAATCATTCAAGCCACGACGCACCGACCCGTGCCATCTCGATCTCGCTCATGCTGCTGAGACGACTCCTTCCTCCATAAACATACCTAGAAGGAAACAAAACCAAGGACGTCATGACTGTTTATCTCATGGCGAATGATCAAAAGGGATTGACTATCAAAAGTGTACGAGGAAAGAGCTCCCGGGACTAAGACCATACAGTTCAGACCGCTCGGTGGTTGGCCCGGTAGCCCTGCCGTAGCTCGGATGAGTTGATTCCACGTCGTGCTTCTTCCTACCAGGTAAAACTGTCATGCAAGAGGGGGTCGAGGTAAGTATCTTTTCACAAGCTCTGTGTAATGGTTTCTTGGGTTTAATGGGCATTTCGTGTGAAGTCGATGTGAAAACGCCATGTACATGAGGAGGGGGAATCGATGATGGCATGAATTACGTCGAAGCTACCGCTTCTCCCACTTGCGGATACCACCGCAAGCTCTCCGATGGCGGTCTGGGGAATGGGCTTGAAGCTTTGCTTTGTTTGGTCTGTTTGTCGACCTGCAGCTCAAACTCGACTAGGTCACGAGGTTCCTTACCGATGAGTCCAGAAGATGTATAAGAAGGAGAGAATCCAACACCTCTCGAACATGTTCTTTCGCCTCCCATCATCACAACAATAAGCAATCACCAATCTCAATACCTACAATCAGCTCGACAGCAAACCAATAAATTCTCCCAAACCCACCAAGGAACCCCCAACCTTCAATATGCCTACCGAAGCTCAGATCGCCGGCGGCCACAAGGCCAACATCAATAACCCCAACACCTCGGAGGAGTCCAAGCAGAACTCCAAGAAGATTCTCGACAACGAGTTCAACGGCGGCGACGTCGCTAAGGCTGGCGACGATGAGCAGAAGAACCCTGGCAACGTTGCTGGTGGTCTCAAGGCGTGAGTCTTTAATCCTCCCAAAAGGCTGAATTGTCATAACTAACAAACTCGCCTATAGCACTTTGAAGAATCCCAACGTCTCTGATGAGGCTAAGGAGTCTGCTAAGGAGCGTCTTGACAACATGTAATCCTTGATTCATGATCCGATACCCACCCTATCGCTTGGAATGGAGCCGGCTAGCGAGTATGACAAAGTCCAGCGTTGTATCTTAGTCAATAAGTCTGGCGCATGCAGGCGATAATGTGAACATTGTCGAACTCACTTCGATTTTCTTTCATAGCTGTGATGATGTGTCATAATGAAGGTGTCTCCAACTAACATTCAACCGAGCTCTGAACCCTATGTGCCAAACCACAAAAGATCGATAGTACTTCTATCGAATTGTACTCAAACCGGGAATATGTACACCTATCCAACCAACAGCTATCCAAGTATCATAAAGAGTTGCACGCACGGATTATTGTGGTTCGTGTAATTAATATTGGACTCTCGATATTGACGGAGTTATGTTGGATATATCATGGATGCAATAGTAAATATGTCAGCCCCAACTTCCTTTCCTAGAATGTTATCACTGGAAGTAGATAGGTGACGAGTACTTTCGTACCTTATCAGGCCAAACGTGAAACAGTCACGCCAGCAGACCCTTCCAAGTAGATACCCAATAAACATTTCGTTTTACACTCTCAAGTACAGTCAAATTACAAGTCTATAGCTCTATGTATGTCCAGGTATCTAATACAATCACATGCCCGGAGCTGAAAACTCAACACCCTTGAACCCGAACGCCCTCTTGGCGCTCAAATACAACTCAAAGGCCCCAAGCTTAAACTCCACCCTCAAGAATCCGATCCACGCGGACAAGAGGCGCAGGGTATTCGGCGGCCACAGCAGCGAGCCCCGCCGCTTCAGGTCCTCGAGCTGCTCCTCAAAGACGGTCCGCGTGCAGTACCGCGCGAGGATCATGAAGGAGCGGATAGGACCTTGGCGGGTGTGCAGGTTTTCGTCGAGGCTGCGGGTGAGGTCGTTGGTCTTGAGGATGAGGAGGATGATGCGCGGGACCTGGCCGAGGAGCTGGACGAGGTCGACGATGAGGCCCTCCTGCAGCGCGTCGCCCATCTCCTTCTTCTCGTCGTCCGTGCGGGTCTGGAGAACGGAGCCCTCGCTGTTGAGGACGCTCCAGTCGCGACCTGTGATGGCGGAGGCGAAAAGGGGGAACTGCTCGTCGTTGATGTTGGCCACTTCCTTGGCGTACTTTCGCATGCGCTTCATGTCCCCGTCGATGACGGCGAGCCACATCTTGGCGTAGGAGCGCTGCAAGTCGCGGGGAATTTCGCGGTAAAGGCCGTGGTCGTAGAGGATGATGTCAAAGTTGTGCCCGCCACGGAGGCCGCGTCGGGACTCGTTCTTCCGGATGGCCAGATTGCCGCCGTGGGGATCGCAGTGCAAGGGTGCATCGTGGCCGAAGATCATCTCATTAAAAACTCGCGCCAGACAGGCGGAAACTTCATCTCGGTCGATACCGTTGGCATCGAGGTACTCGAGGTCGTCCAATCGGTGTCCTGATACCCGCTCCATTACCAGAATCCGCTCCTTTGACCACAGAACGCCGGGAACGACGAGAGGGTGCTCGGGCAGCTTGGCGAAATGTTCCCTCGTCCGATTAGCGTTATGCTCTTCTTCTCTGAAATCCAATTCCTTCGGGAGCGAGATATCCATTTCCTTGGAGAGCCATTCTAAATCGTATTCCGGGAAGAAGCGCTTGAGCGTGGAAAACGTGAATCGTGTCAAGGCGAGGTCGAGTCGGGACCACTGAGCGAGTCCTGGGTGTTGTACCTTGACAGCCACAGGCATTCCCGTATCTTTTACTGTCGCGGTGTGTACTTGAGCCAGAGATGCGGCACCGATCGGGACTGTAGAGAATTCGGAGAAGTAGTCCCAAAGCTCTTTGCCCGTGTCTTGGCGGAACATTTCCTCAATTGACTCGAAGGACGATACGGGGCACTTGTCTTGTAGCGGGATAAAGGTGTTGGTCCACTCTTGCGGTAGGAGGTAGTTCATCGCACTCTGCCGGCATGTTAGTCTCCAGAGCTCGGAGAAACCCAGGCGTAAAGGGGGTCTCACCAGATGCTGACCTAACTTGATGAAGATTCCACCGTTCTTCTCAAGGACCTTCAATGTTCGATCGGCGCATCGCTGGTGACAGTCTTTCAAGATCTTGTTTGCTAGTTCGGAGTCGTCAATCGTTTCTTTCTGGTTGAGAGTCGTTCGGTAGCTGCAAGTAGGTGTATTAGCAAAGGCCGGACTGTGACACAGACCTGCTTCTCCGAGAAGGGTTATCCGTACTCATTAATGCACACTGCAAGCGCAGCCGCAACACGGCCTGCCCGCTCTGCCGCATCGTAGCCGTACTTGACATCGTCGCCGAACGCAAGGACACCCGCCGTCGCGGCGCCACCGCCCGAGGCAAGTAGCCACACGCGACCACCTTTCTTACCACTTCCGGTCTTCGGTGCGGCCCTGCTAATCGCGGCGTTCGTGGTTGTGGGGGAGAATGCGCGTGCGGTATTGCCAAATCGTTGCTGGTGCTGATGTTGTGCCCGGCTAGACTGCTGCGCCAACGGGCCTCCACGACAGTTGGAGCATGTCCATGGCCGTCGAGTGACAAGCCGGCGCAATGGGAGCGAGAAGGCGGTAAAGACTTTCATCTGGACGCTGGCCGACTGCCGCCGACGATAAGACAAACAGGAGAACTGTCTGCGCCGACACTCATTCTACGAGTTTATGTTGAGATTCGGTGTATGCTTTTGCATGCAAAGAGGCGTGTCTCGATATGGACTTCCCAACAGTCGCTACAGATAGTGGAGTCGTTTTCAAGGGATCGAGCTGCTTTGGGGGCGGTCCAGAGCTAATTAGTCGAATGTCATGTCGTCAGTCAACTTTGCTGGACTTTTTTTCTCTTCCCTCTATCTTCCTGGCTCTGCGCCTGCGCCTGCTATATGGTTGGGGCCCGGGGGGACGGTGGCACTCTAGACGGTCGTTTTCATTCGTCGAGCGCCACGTTTGTACCTCGGGGTCCGTTCGGAAACCGCCGGGATAGAGGTTCAGCCCCAAAAAAACCGTAATTAACTGCTTCTGCATGATCCGTCACCGGACCGGGAAGAAGACCCTTCGAAAAGTGGATTTCACGTGTCATCCATCCAAGCCACATGTATTGTGGCGCAAAACATCTCTAGTTCAACCGCGTTCTGGTCGCGTTCAATGACACCTGCCGCGCCGTAATCCAATTAAGCAACCTGCAAGAGGCGACAGCTACAACTACAGCTTCAGCACCAGAGCCCATTACCTACTTCGAAGACAGCACGGTCACCACACCACTTTGCACCCAAGCATCACCCACTTTCTCACGGCGTGGGCTCTATGCAACAAGACAAGACACCAGAAGTTAGGCAAACCTCCGAAATGTTTTCTGTCGCTGGACCCGTACCCATCTTCAGCGACCGGACATGGGATTTCAGGCCCGCGGTCCCCTCGCCTCTTTCTTCGTCGCCCATCCGCGCGTCATCACCACTTTCGCCCATCAATGACAACACCGTACGACACACACAATCATCGCCTATCCCTCAACCAAAGTTCAAGTATGCATCAAGAGCTACGAGACCGAATCCGATAGTCCGGAAACGCGAAGAGGCACAGGAGAGCAGGCGGCAGCAGTTCCTCCAAAACGTGAGGCAGCGCGCGGACGACCGTCAATACCAGCGACGAGATATGGAGGGCACTGTACGTGAAGGCGATGTTATTGAATCTTGATCTAGCATACTGACGTATTCGACAGCTTCTCAAGTCTGATTGGGATCGCGACATGCGGCAACGGCATTATGCTAAGCAAATGGAAGGCAACGCGATATTCTCCGAAGCAGATATTGAGGACGCGGCATCGGTCCTTCAAGAGCGCGCGCAACGCATCCCCGATGATGCTGACGACATGATGGTTGATGCCATTGCCCAGGAGGAGCAGGACGAGCTCGATGCGTTACTGCTGTCCTACGATCAGTCATCTGACGCGCAGCCCGAATCTGGCTCCTCACAAACGATGCAATCAGACCCCTATGGCCTGTCGGACGACGAGGATTATGGTTCATTATTCATGAATTTGGTATCACAGGAAAGCAGTCAGCAAGACGCGTCCTCACAGGATGTGGACATGTCTTGAAAACATGGCGTTGATTGCTGCTGGTCTATCTGCATTGTGGCGTTTATTCGAGACTATTTGGCTTTGGGGATCTGGGGGTTGCTTTTTGGAGTTCGGCATTAAACGGCGGTCGGATTACGCCATGAATGGCTCCTGTGTAGATGCAGACTCACGGGGCAAGGCATCGGTTGTGCAAGAACAGAATTAACGGGACGTCCATCGAGATGTCCAATTATTGAGGATTACAGCCCTCGTCTCCATTGAAGGCTTCTTGCGCTGATGGCATGTCACCAACTAGATCGGATGGGGGTGAGCCAGCAGCTTGCATCTGTCTACTGTTAGCGCGTGAAAACCCATGTTCGAACGGGGTTCATACCTTCTGCATCCTGTCCACAATGTATTCCCTGTCCGCCGCGTTGGAATCGGCATATGACTTTTCCTCAAACTTGGCCACGATTTCCTTGACCAGTCCTTGTTGCTCCTCGTACCGTTTGAGATCCTCTGCCGGGGTCTTTTCCCGATTCTTTGCCAACCATTCGGGAAACTTGTCGTTGAGCTCCTTCATGGGCTCATACAAGATTTCTTTGTTGGTGAGCTGCTCCATCATGCCCATGAGCATCTTTGAGAACTCCTCCTCGTTGCCACCACCGCCTTCGAGATTGCCTTCCCCGAGTTGCTTCATCATCTCCGCGAGGAAGTCTTCGGTCGAGGACTCTGCCGCAGCAGCAGTCGCCTGCTGTCCGGATGCTTGCATGCGCTCCATGGTTTTCTTAATGGTCTCCTGAAAAGAACCGTCGGCAATGGGGTCCGAGACGGGAGCTTTGCTTGAAGATGAAGCTGAGGCTGGCGGTGGTGGCGCTTTTGCTCCGGTCGTGCTTTCGGGAGTGGTTTCCGTTTCTTGGGCAGCTGCACTTATCTGTTTGAAAACGTTGTCGAACTGCGCCTGCATTTCGGGCTGTGGAAAACAGTCAGCGTTCGGATCGTTGTCGACATGCCTCAAAAGTCTCCTACATTCTTTTCAAATTCCCCAATCAAGTCAGCCATGCCAGCTTGGAGCTGCTTTGCAAAATCGTCGGAAGATAGCATCTCTTCGAGTGTCTTGTCCTCAGAATCATCTTCTACAGCTGCCGCGGGTCTCCCTGGGCCAGCCGCAGTGGTCTTCGCAGCTGGCGTAATAGGTGGTGCTGCTTTCTTTGGTTCCACATTCACGGCGGCAAAGTCGTCGAGCATATCTAGCAGAGTCAGTATAATCCAAGCCGCCGCAGAGGGCTCTGAATGACTTGCGTACCATCCAGGTCATCCAAATCGTCTTCATCGGGGTCTGGAACATCCTCAACGACAGCCGTAGGCTTCGTCTCTTCCACTGGCGGCACCGTGGGTTTTGCCTCGGCAGTGTTGGCGGCGCCGGCTGCGCTACCGTCCTTCTCCATCTTCGCAAAAACAAAAAACTTCAGCTGCGATGTCCAAGTATGATGCGTGTAACAGGAAATAGAAGTCGCTTGGGTGGTATCAGTCTCGATAAACGTAAGAACAGGCGCCCTGGTCAAAGCAACGCTATATGCGGTCGTGGCAAAGGTGTTGCACGGTACGCGGTCAGATGTAGGCGACAGGATCTAGAACCTCGGGGTGCTGCAGGTGATAGACAACCTCACAAGGGCTGGGATTATCGCCTTTGTACGTGCAGAAAGGTGGACTGTCAGATGAAAGCCGAGGAATCGGCCTGAAGCTCCAAGGTTGTCTTGCATCTGGGCAGGTCCAGTAGCCCCACGTCAGATTCCCAGCACCCCGCGCCGCCGGACAAACGTGGTTTAGGGCGGGGTCCACTCTCCCATTTGTCCATTGGGCGACCGCTACGCGCCCCTGCCGCCCCTCTCCATTTTCCACAGGTCCCGACGGCCCTGAGCTCCTGCGGAAGGTACCGCGGCTTCTCACGTTTGCCAGGTCTCGCACCTTCCGTTGGTCGATCCAAGCCGGTACGTACCTCTACTCCGAAAATCTTCCGCCTTCCAACGCGGCGCACCCAGTGAGGCAAGTGCAAGGCGCCTTACCTCAGGTAACTCGTTGACGACTTCCCACTCGCTGCGGCTTTGCCTCAGCACACCGAACCATCTTTGGAATACAGCCAGCCTTAACATTTTTCTCTTCTACATCGACCGGCGTGAACATTCTACGACACCTCCGCCATCCGAACGCACCGAGCCCTCAATCACGGCACGATACGAAGGCTGAATCGTCCCGATTGTGTACACCCGCAACCGCAACCTTGCGAAACGCGAGCCAGACGTCGCACACGACCTTGGACACAGACATTCTCAGTGACTATTATACATCGCCACAATGTCGCTTTGCCAGAACAGACTTCAGGAGGAGCGGTATACTGCCCCAACTGCTCTCTATCGTCCTACATGTGTCTAACAATTCTGGCCATACTATAGCAAGCAGTGGCGCAAGGACCACCCTTTCGGTTTCTTCGCGAAGCCTCAGCGCAATGCCGCAAGTGGAACACTCGATCTGAAGGTTTGGGAGTGCGGTATTCCTGGCAAGGAGAAGACAATCTGGGAGGGCGGCCTGTTCAAGTTGACAATCACATTCCCCGAAGGTGAGTTACTCGGAGTAATGGCAGTGGAGTGAAAGTCGTTTGCTGATGATTCTGCGCAAAACAGAGTACCCGACGAAGCCACCCAAGTGTAAGTTGCAAAGCATCCCTAAGCTCGCCCATACACGTCAAGCTGACAGAACCATGCGCAGGTAAATTTGTCCCTCCGCTGTTCCATCCTAACGTCTACCCCTCCGGCACCGTTTGCCTGTCGATCTTGAATGAGGAAGAGGCGTGGAAGCCCGCAATTACGGTGAAGCAGATCCTGCTCGGTATCCAGAATCTGCTCGACGACCCCAACCCCGAGTCTCCCGCTCAGGCTGAAGCCTACAGTCTCTTCAAGAAGGACAAGACGGAATACGAGAAGCGCATCAAGCGCGTCGTGAGAGAGAACCCGGCGCCTTAGATGCAACGGCAACTATGTGTGAATAGATTTACGAGATCACAGCGTCATGCGCATAGGCAGGACTTCGGAGTTACGGGAATACCATACGGTCTGCTTCTCTGCTTTCGATCTGTTCGATGGCAATGCAATGAGGATATTGTGACGGAAGCAAACAAGTGGGCAATCGACCCCCAGCCCAGCTGTTGATCTGGTGAATAGGTTATTTGTGTGTGAGACGCATCGATTGAGTGCTTGGAAAGATGAGTAGAAATGATATGCGAGTCGACTATACGAGCCCGGCACGCTGGTTATGATGACTCTTCTGGCGGTGATTTGAGACCCCACCAGTCCGTGGTGGGAGGCTCATTTATTACCCGTCGAAAGCCGCCGGCTCTTGTGTCACTGTCGGAGGAGCGCGCCTCCACAATAGCTTGCTTGGCCTGAGACCCGGAACCCTGACAACGGTGACGAGTAAGTCGGGGGGTGGAAGAGTCAGGGCTCAATGGGAGCGGGCGTATTACCAAACAGTGAAAGACACGGGCTGCCGAAAGCCTCCAGTAGAAGACATCATCCCGAGCACAGTGAGGTAAGTATGCCCAGCAGCATCAAGACCTGCAGCTTCGCAAATAAAAGGCGTCTCCGTGGCACCATATGTGGGCTGTCGTGAAAGAACAGATTAACAGCAGCAGCAAACAGCAAACGGCAGAACCACACCGACTCGTTGCTCTTCGTTCTCGTTGGTGGCTGGGCACGATGCAGTTTCTTATCAGTCGGTAAGGTTAGGTAATTGGCAGACTGGTGAACTCTGACTGGCCAGTCCGTCAATGGGTGCGAGAGCCGAGATCGGCCCAGGGGACCAGCTATGTTACACTAGTGCAGCGCAGCAGATTAGCGTATCGTGCAGATGCAGCCAGTCATTGTGGTTCCGCAGCGGCGGACTTGCAATTTTGGCACACTTTGACAACCCTTGGGGATACTTTGGCACAGAGTCGTAGACGGCCCTGACGTTTCCGACCCTTATCGAAGCACCGGCTACGGCCTCCGACAATCCAAGGTTGGTAAAGTACCAGGTGTCAGGGCTGGGCTTCCGTCGGATGAGCCAGGTGCTGGGGGGATGCCATTGAGGTGTATCAGTAGCGCGGTCCAATGCTTCCAAGTACCTACTCTCTGGGGCCGTTACGGCAAAAGGAAAGGGTAACTAAGGTCGGAAAGAAATAACGACAAAATAAAAAAACTGGGTGAAGCGCAAGAAGAGTCATAATTCTTTCACTCCCACCCCTTCACCCGGTTGCTCCCACCTCTTGCTCCGTATTTATTCTCCTGAGACACGTCTTTCGCCTCTTCCAACCTTTTCTGAGTTGTAGAGTTCATCCCATACACATACACAACACACAGCCGTAGCTTCGAGAGACTGCAATCATGTGTGGTATCTTCGCCTGTCACCGGTAAGCCCACCTGCGAGATCGTCCCTATTTCGGCGCGGATGGAGGGGCAACGCGAGCTCCCCTCCAAAAAAATAATTAACCCCGCCATGATGCCTCTGGAAAATGCGACTGACTGTTGTGCGCGCGCAGTCATCCCGACGTACAAAAGTTCAAGCCTACGGCTTTGAAGCTTGCAAAGGCGTGAGTTTTCAATCATTCATACTCGAGGCGCATCAATTGACCCCCGATTCGCAGCATCCGTCACCGTGGCCCCGATTGGAGTGAGTTCTGAGTCACCGCGATGCGCGACTTCGACACGAGCCAAGCAGACAACTGACCAATCTCCCTCGCACAGGCGGAAGCGTCATTTCCAACAAGACGAGTAGGTTATACTTGATCATGACTATTAGTATACCATCGATTGACCATCAATTGCAGTTCTGTGCCATGAGCGTCTTAGCATCGTCGGCGTCGGTAAGATTCACCTTTACCTGGCCACAACTTCCATGGCTAATCACCATAGCAGAGTCCGGTGCCCAGCCCCTTACCAACGAGGATGAGAGCATCGTCCTCGCCGTTAACGGTGAAATCTACAACCACCGTCTGATCCGCAAGTCCCTCAAGCACAAATACCACTTCAAGACCGGCTCCGATTGCGAGGTTGTCATCCCTCTGGTAAGTCAATATCGATCTTCGACTTGATATATCCATATTGGCAGGCATGGAGATCTGACGTATCACAGTACATGGAGTATGGCCTCGATGCCCCGAAGCACCTCGACGGCATGTTCTCCTTTGTTTTGTACGATAAGAAGCAGGACCGCACAATCGCCGCCCGCGACCCCATCGGCATCACCACCCTCTACTACGGCTGGTCCTCAAAAGAGCCCGACGCGGTCTACTTTGCCTCCGAGCTGAAGTGCCTGCACAGTGTCTGCGACAAGGTCGAGGCCTTCCCCCCTGGTCACATCTACGACTCTGCCACTGGCAAGACCACAAGATACTTCGAGCCTACCTGGTGGGACGCCGCAAAGGTCCCCGAGACCCCTCTCGACCTTAAGTTGATCCGCGAGAAGCTCGAAAAGTCAGTCAGAAAAAGGCTCATGGCTGAGGTACCATACGGTGTCCTGTTGTCCGGTGGTCTGGATTCCAGTTTGGTCGCGGCCATTGCCCAAAGGGAGACTTTGCGGTTGAAGCAGGCTGCCCTCGATGCCAATGGTGGCGCGCTTCCCATGACGGAGAACCCCGATACTGGCGATGGCATGGTCGGTATCGACGACGATAACAAGCTGTCGACTGTCACATATCTTCCCCAGCTCAACTCCTTCTCTATCGGTCTCCCAGGATCGCCCGATAACAAGGCTGCCCTCGAGGTCGCCAAGTTCCTCGGCACCAAGCACCATGTCATGACCTTCACGATTGAGGACGGCCTGAACGCTCTGTCCGACGTCATCTACCACCTCGAGACATACGATGTCACCACGATCCGTGCCTCCACACCGATGTACCTCCTTTCCCGTAAGATCAAGGCCATGGGCATCAAGATGGTTCTCAGTGGTGAGGGAAGTGACGAGATCTTCGGAGGCTACCTTTACTTCCACGCCGCTCCCGACAAGAAGGCATTCCACGAGGAGACTGTTCGCCGTGTCAAGAACTTGCATCTTGCTGACTGCCTGCGTGCCAACAAGTCCACCTCCGCTTGGGGTCTTGAGGCGCGTGTGCCCTTCTTGGACAAGGAGGTGAATAGAGTGCAAAACCCGTAATACCTTGACTCCGCTGACACTTTGTTTTCTGTAGTTCCTCGAGGCCTGCATGAACATCGACCCCTCAGAGAAGATGATCACCAAGGAGAAGATGGAGAAGTACATCCTCCGTAAGGCGTTTGATACCTCTGACGAGCCCGGCGCCGAGCCGTACCTCCCGGACAACATTCTGTGGAGACAAAAGGAGCAGTTCTCCGATGGTGTCGGATACGGATGGATCGACGGGCTCAAGGACAACGCCGAGCTCCACGTTACGGACGAGATGATGAAGAACCCCAAGCCGGAATGGGGCACCGACATTCCGGACACCAAGGAGGCGTAAGCATCGTCCAAGATTTATCCCTTGTCTGTTGCTATGAACGATCAGGCGCCGCTGACACGCGATTTTGACAGATACTGGTACCGCCTCATGTTCGACGAGCACTTCCCGCCGCATTGCGCCTCGACCGTTATGCGCTGGACCCCCACATGGTCCAAGCAGACGGATCCCAGTGGCAGGTGAGTCACAAGACAACCCCCCTCTCCCCAATTCCCCAGTGAAAATGAATTGGCCTAGTCAGTTTGCTGACCCGCTGCATGACAGAGCTATTGCCGTCCACGAGCAAAAGTACGAGACTGCCGCATAAAGTGGTAATTTGGAGGAAAGACAACCTGTATCCTAGCACTTCACGTCAATGCGGGCGGGTAAAGGTAGAGGCGTCCTGGTTTGTTGGATTATGTAGACACTCAACAAGTTTAGAGTCTCAAAAATGGGAATGGAAGTTGCAATTACTGTCTGCCGTTGCGCCTTCATGAATGTTCGCTTGGTTTGTGGTTGCGATGAAGACTCTGGTGATGGCGCAAGGGTTTCCGACCATTTCCCTTTCCTCTGTAATCCCCTCCGTAGGTAGGTATCTAAGGTAGGTCTTGGTCCGCCAGGGGTTGGTTCCCGGAGCTTACGAGAGAAAGCAACATCCCAGACTCCCAAAGCCTTCCCCAACTTCGATTGACTTCTTCCATACAAGAGTCCACTTTGTGTGCAACAATGATTGAGTGTGATTGCCCGGGAATGTCAACTTAGTGGCCAGTGCCGGGCACTGGTCAAATTGGCATCCACCGTGGCTCAGTTAGTCACATATGTGAAGAGTGAAAGTGATGGACAAAAGAATCGGTAGTGAGAAGGCGAGGTGACACCATGGAGTCATTTGGGTTACACCACGAAGACAGGTGTACGGGAAGAAAAATGAGCGACGGTGCAAACAGAGACAAAAGCAACCGGAAGAAGCAGGAACCACGGAGAACAACCCTATGCCTGCGTGTTCTCTCACGCTGACGGTAAGAATCTCACGCCTGCCGTTCTTGCTACCTACATTCCGTCCCAGACTCGTTCTTCCACTTTCTTTTCATTTCACCATCACGCTCACTCAATCACACACAACAGAGTACAACAACCAAAGGGCAAAGACGAAAAATCGCATTGAGTACCTGAGCCTTGCGTAGCCCGCACTGCTGGCAATCGACATCCACTCTCTCAGTGCTTTATTACTCTACCTTATTGCGATCCCCTGTCCTCCAGAGTCCCATCTGAGCTCTCCAGCCGACAACAATCCCAACAAACCAATAACAGATCCCCCACGTGCAGCCAAAAGCGTCCTAGTGCGGCCCCGTCACAGCAAAGCTCCTCCGGACCGAATTGCGCCGGGAATCCCCGTCAACCAATTGATGCAACCAAAACATTTTCTCGAACAGCTTCCGCCCCAGCAGACCATCTCCTGAAAGGACACCTGCAGCCCGCCTCTTTTTGCCCGTCGCATCTCGTCAACCGCTTTCCCATTGTCTACTCAATTTTCTCCCCAAAGTCCTTCTCCCCGTCAAAAATTAGCAATCATGTCTGTTCCTAACTTCGGAGACATCGCCAAGTCGGCCAACGACGTATGCGCTTTCCCTCCCCTCTCTCCCTCTATGTTTTTTTTTTCCCGGGTAATCGCGGACGGGGGAAAATCGAGCTCTAGGCTTCTTCCCCCGGCCGAGGTCATCCTCGACGGAGAAACCACTCAGCTGACATTGGCCTTCAATAGCTCCTCAACAAGGACTTCTACCACCTCTCTGCCACCACCTTCGAGCTCAAGAGCAACACCCCCAACAATGTTGCCTTCAAGGTCACCGGCAAGACCTCCCACGAGAAGAGCACCGCTGGAGCTGTAAGTCGCGCCCTAACATTCACCGCCTGATGATGCATTAGGCGTCCCATAAATAAACAAACATGGCCTTCGACTAACATCGTCTTCCTCCAATTCAGATTGAGGGCAAATACTCCGACAAGGCTACCGGTACAGCAACCACCACCCATCGTTTAAAGCGCTTGAATCTCAGCTTGGGTCGAATATATGGACGGCCTTACGGCAGTCCTGTCTCATTCGCAGCCAACATATCGCCGGGATTTGCACATTTGCTAATGTTCTACAATCGCGCAGGCCTGACCCTCACCCAGACATGGAACACCGCTGCCGCCCTTGACACCAAGGTCGAGCTTGCCGACAGCCTCGCCAAGGGCCTGAAGGCTGAGGGTGTCTTCTCCTTCCTGCCGTCCGCCGGCGAGAAGGCCGCCGCCAAGAAGGGCGCTAAGTTCAACCTCACCTTCAAGCAGAGCAACTTCCACAGCCGCGCTTTCTTCGATCTCCTCAAGGGTCCCACCGCCAACATCGATGCCGTTGTCGGCCACGAGGGATTCCTCGCTGGTGCCTCTGCCGGCTACGACGTCAACAAGGCCTCCGTCACCGGCTACGCCGCCGCTGTGGGCTTCCAGGCCCCCACCTACTCTGCTGCCATCACTGCCAGCGACAACCTCAGCGTCTTCGCTGCCTCCTACTACCACAAGGTCAACTCCCAGGTTGAGGCCGGTGCCAAGGCTACCTGGAACTCCAAGGCCGGCAACAACGTTGGCCTCGAGGTCGCCAGCAAGTACCGCATTGACCCCGTCTCCTTCGCCAAGGTGCGTAACTTTCTCTCTCCCCCAATATCTCTTCTAGAACCGTTGCTCATCAATCTCCGCGTACAGTTCAAGGTCAACAACAACGGTGTCGCTGCTCTCGGCTACAACGTCCTCCTCCGCGAGGGTGTTACCCTTGGTCTTGGTGCCTCCTTTGATACCCAGAAGCTCGACCAGGCTACCCACAAGCTCGGTGCCAGCTTCACCTTCGAGGGCTAAGTCTTTGTTCAACACATGTATTCTTGACGAGGAAAATTCTTTCAGCCCCTTTCTCCGGCCGTGTAGCGGACCCAATGCTCTTCTGGTTTCATTTGGAGGCTCCTGTCTGGTGTAGATTAGTTCGGGGAGTAATTGAGTTTGGTCGACCGGAATTCCTTGGTTTCTTCGCATTCGATTGTTTCGTGGTGATCTGAAGAAGGCTTTTATCGTGCGATTTATGTCTATCCTGGTAGATGTCTACTGATTGCTGCCCAAGCTCTATTGCCTGAACTCTATCATTTAGCATCTTTTTTCTTCCGGCGCAACCCGCCGGTTGCAACAAAGGGTATGAAAAAGGAAAAGAACAAGATCCCGCTGACCACCAAAAACGCTCCCACAGACGTCTCTTGCGGTCCGACCGGGACCTGCGTGCCCATGATCCTATGCGACCGCCGTGAATCCTGATTCTGCTGCGTCCTAGTATGCGTATGCGAATCAAAGTGCCGCGGCGCGGCAGACCTCGTGTGTCCGTACGGATCCGACCCGGGACCCATGCCAGGCTGCTCCTTCTCTGCGCCGGTGCCGGTGGTATTCTCGTGGGCCTCCCTCCTCTTCGCGGACTGCGCGCCCCAGCCGCCGGACCTGTAGAAGCTCGGGGGCGGGCCGCGGAAGGTTGTGCGTCGGCGGGAGAGGCCCGATGCGGGGCGGCCGCCCGCGGGACCCGAGCTGCTGTGGTAGGAGCCGCGTCTGTGGCCTGCGGCGTGGTGGCTGTTGTGGGAGGAGGAGGGGAGGGAGCGGTCGTAGGATGCGCGTTTGGCGGGGGTGCCAAGGACGGAGTAGGCTTCTGCTATTGCGTGGAATTTGCGGGATGCGTTTGGGTCGTCGCGGTTGTGGTCTGGGTGGTGGGTTTTGGAGAGGGCATAGAAGGATCTGGGAGGGGAGGTTGAGTTAGCTGTTTGTCGATCTCGGGTTGGAATGGGATTGGTGAGAGCAGATGGACATAGCAAGCATTGGGTATAGGCTGAGGCGGGGGAGTGTTTCTGTAGCTTAGACATGTGCCTATGTGAAGGCGACTGTAGAACTATAGCTTCCACAGCCAATTGGGGGGCGGGTAGGTAGGTAGGTAGGGACATGGCACGCACTTCTTAATGTCAGATGGAGAGGCATCGTGAGCAACCTTCAAGGTCTCGTAGTGGTTCGTAGAAGCGACGTCATCTCGAAGCGCACGCGATGTCGTGAACGTCCGACGCGGGAACCGAGCTCGGTAGCATATCTGCCCTGGCAGGGCGGGATGATTCGCTGATGTCTTCGTTATCGTCCTCGTCGAGAATGCGCCGGCGCGGCGGAGGGAACGGGCCGCTGCGGGTTGAAGCAGCCGGGGGAGGAGCATGCCGGGCTCAAGCCCGGGCGTTTTCGATGTGCTTGTCTCTCCGTGACGAATCGACTACGAGATTCAATTCAAGGCAAGAGGAAACCCTAGTGATGGGGGAGCTGGGGGGGCTTTATTCGGGAGAGGTGGTAGGATATGATGTCGTGGAAGGAGTGTAGGGAAAGTGAGCGTAAATTCGGGATCTGGGCCTCTCTCGCTTCGTTCGTTCGCGTGCGCCCGGGACGGAAGTAGTGACGAAATCGATGGTCGCTTCTGCTCTTGTCGGTCGGTAGATCGGAGCTTGGTTGTACCTACCCCTGCGCCTCTGGGGTTATGGCACTGATTACATAAGGCAATGAAGGGTCCTGTTGTCTACAGTGACGGAGAAGCAGAATCACAGAACAACAACACTCGCGCTTGTGAAGTGATTGCTGTAAGGTGATACTTACATCCTCGTCACTCCAAGAATGATGAGTATCTTAAAGGATGGTCTCTCATTCTGAGGGAAACTTTGGTATCATTGCTGCGGTGTGGGGTCTTAACGAGTCCTCGGTCTCATAACGCTAGTAAGTGACCCCTCTCAGCATAAATCTCTCAACTTGCACGTATGAACGATTCGAACAGCTTGCGAGCACATGGGTCGCATTTGAGCATAACAAAGCTGCTAGCTGATGCGTTCCCAAGTGAGTACCGACATTCTGCATTATGATTATGACGAGAGTTGTTCTCCACGGCGGCTTATCAAGTTGTTCTCGGCATACGCCCCGTGACGGGATCAGTCGCGTCACCTCGCTGAGGGCCTGTCCGCGCTGCTCTATGATGATTGATTAGGGGCGGCAGTGACTGTTTTGCCTACCAATTTCAATATTCACTCGTCTCGTTCCTTGCCATTTCCCTCTGCTCATCTCGAAGATGATTCGCAGTCTAGGCTTGTGGTTGGCACCTTTGTAGCGGTATGACGACCGCATAGGAGGAAGAGGACATAAATCTACACTGGAAGGTGCCAAGCAGTCTGACACTTAATGTCGGACACCGAGTTTCCTCAATGGTTCTGCCTTGAAATCAGCAGCAATCCTGCTGTTATTTTTCCATCACTACAGTGAACCTGCATCGCCTTGCCAGATGTTAACTATGTCTCCATGGCGGTATCATATGCCAGTCTTACCCCTGTCTCGTTACATATATTGAACGATGGTACTATCTCCTGCCATCTGGGCCACCGTTCGTTGTTCTGCCCGGAGAGGCTACATGTGCCTCCCGACCTCCTCCAGGGCTCGAGATTCCCGTTGCTTAACCATCTTCTGAACCTGCTTACGCTGAGAGGCACCGCCGTGTGCTGACCGCTGCTCGAGGAAGCGTGGGTATCACGGGCCTATTAGTTCCTCGTAGGTAGATTGCTGAAAACGTCAGGCTCCGAAGGCAAGAATTAGGGGATGGAGAAGAGGAGATGGGAGAAGGACGAGCTGTCCCCTTATATGTTACCATGAAAGCTCAAAGACACAAGGTCCTGTATTTCAGCCTGTGCCGGTACTTCTTTATCGAAACATACACCCTCCAACGAGACTGGAATTTGACTCCAGACAGTAAGTAATTTACCCAGTAGAACGTGTTTCTACAGATTGGCAAATGTAGAGACTTGACGACATGTGAAAACGCTCAAAGGCTTGAATGCTACTTTTTCTTCTATAAAAATACATGCGAATCAACTTCCACGCACATGTCGGTGTGTGTGAGCAATTGACGCTTCATTACACTATACATGGAATGTGGATGTGCTGACATGGATATCAGTCTTTCGTATGATCCCTTTTCGACTCGACGAGTCGTCGTCGTCGGTCTCATGTTCCCTGGCACCCGAACGTGAGGTACCCCGTTTGGCTGATGCATGATACGTTCTGTCGTTGCCGCTGAGTGAGCCAAGCTTGATACCTGGGCCAGCACTGCCGAGGGCGTCTCCGCTCTGAAAAAGGATTCCGGTCAGTCATAATTTACAGCATATACCAGAGTCACATTGTGGCTTACCTCGCCGGTGATCTTGTAGTTCCCATCGTGAGATGAGCCGTAGTAGAACTTGAACAGTTTTCGGAGAGGGGGTAGAGACGACCCAATGATCCCCAAACTACACTCAAGGTTGGAAGTAATGCTGATGACTCCAAGGTGATCTGTAGGATAGACGTGACGTGTAAGCTAATGTTCCAAGAAGGGCAGAGGTATTGAGAGACGATGACTCACAGGCAATCTCAGTAGGATATTTGGTAGTGTCGTAGTACTTGAGGTAGGGCATGCGGATGCAAGTAGCAATACTAGCAAAGATTCCGAGGCCGAGAATGGCTATGACAGACACCTTCTTACGGCGAGACATCTGAAGTCCTGCCACGATGAAGAATGGAACAATAGCACACGTCCAGTCCGTCAACATCTGAATCGCAGAGACGATATAGCTGACAGTCTGCAAGCTGATCTTCTTTTGGCACGATCCCCTATCAAACGAGGTTAGTAGACGAAAGAAAAGGGGCAACCCGATTTCGAGCAAAAGGTTGTTGCCCAATCATAATACCGATGCCATCGCCTAGAAAGACTTACAATGCAGGATTCCATGTTGCTGCAAGCGGGGTGCAGTTTGCAAAGACAAAGATCAAAGCCAAGATGGCTACAACCACCATCACGGACATATTGAGTATCATGCAGATGACCACTCGCTTCCGTCTATCCAGGCGTATACATGTGAACCCAATAGCGCACTTGATGATAGTTGACGAGATGAAATATAGCACTTCCCAGTAGGTCTGGTACTCGGAGGCACGAATCAAATATAGTTGCGATGGGAGGTCGGCATCGTGGAACCCAACGCCATAGCGTGACGCGAGGACGGCGAAAACCACTGTTGGTATGAAAGGAAGCTATCACGCTGCTGGTTAGCGAGTTTTTTGAGTGTGTTATACATAGTAGTATAAGTTTACATCAATAGTGGAAGAGGGCAAGGGGAGTGTTAAAGCTGGAGAGACTCACAGTTCCTATCACTGCCAAATAATCTTCTACGCCCCAGAGCCGTGATGAAGCCCCTGATAAACCAGCGCGAACATAGATTCGAAGCGAAACGACGATGACGCTGATGATGCCCAAGATAATGGCGACGAACTCTACGGCAGGCGCCAGGCCCTTGGGGGCAAGGGGCTCAAGCTGGTAGGCAAAGGCCTGGATCTGCTCCCCCGTCATAGAGGCCGCCATCTTGGGCGTAGGTCGGTCGAACCTATGGACTTCGCTTCGCAAAGCGGTCGTGCTATTTCGCTTCTTTGTCGCGGACCCGAGATACTAAAGAGGGGAGGGAAGCGAGTCTCGAGACGAACTTCGATCTAGACTCTAGACTGGAGACATCGGAGGTATTCAAAAGCGAAGTGGGATACCGGGAACATGCTGCCTGCCACATGGGAAGGGAGGCATTTTACTACAGACCGCGGTTCCTGGATTTGACTGACAGCTGGGTGCTGTGGGGGAGCTCCGACGTAACGTGCCCCCTGGTCAACGTCTGGTCTCATTCCCATGTCTTTTTTCCTATGGCTAGGTGGAGGATCTGGCTCCTTGAACGTCCCAGAAGAGGCAGATTTTCATAGTCAACCCCACAAACGGGACGTCAATAAGAGCTCGTTAAGGCTTCAATATGTAAAGACCAAGGCAGGTTGTCCATTTTCAATACGTCTACCTGGCCCTTGGGTTTCGGCGAGTCAGCAAAAGCCACACTTTGGTCAAGAACAGCCCTGCTTCGTGGGGCGAGCTGTCAGTTTCCGTCGAGGGCCTCGCGGCACCCATGGCGACGAAACTTCTTTCAAGTTTCCGCCATGGAAAAGACATGGCAGGGCATCGCGCACGCGAGACGTCTGTGTCCTCGGCTCATTGATACCTCCTCTCAGTCAAGGTATGTAGGTTTTCGCCAACAGCTCTAGCTGCAGTAGCTGAGTTCAGTCGTTAGGAGGATTGATGCAACCCAACCAGTTTTCGTGGTGCAGTACGAGATCGCCCCTGCCCGCGATCAACCGTCTCGTTACCGGTTTTGACGTGGTGGCCGCTGCGGACGCTTGTGCCGCGGGTTAGAGCAATCTCTTTTCGTCCCGGGCCTAGAACCGGGGGTTCGTTGGCGTTTTGATAGGACCCGGGGGAGGGGATCCGGAGGCAGGGGTGCGGTAGCGAACTCCACAGACTGATGATATCCAGCCAGTCAAAGGACGATGATCAACAGCACGGCACGTTGAAATAAATGAATCTAGCCGTACCATAGGCTGCAGTTTTCGTAAAACGTTCAGGACCCTGTCTAGGAAATACCACCTAGCACCACGTACTAGTCACTGACTCGACCTCAATGCGACTTCGGCCAAAATCTGGATGGTGGTTTTGTGCTCTGGGATAATGGCGAAACCCTACTGTAGAGGCTGGTGCTATGCCCAGTTCATCTGGGCTGATCTTCTTTTGGACCTTCATTATCACATTGTAACCCTGGTATGAAGTTCGTTCCTCTGGGAGTATTATGCACAACTCTGATGATACCATAATGCTGTGGGTAAATACCGTGATACACCAACATGATAATGGCCCACACGCTTCCCACGGGAACGGTCTACCAATACTTAATCCGTTGAAGGTATCCATCTGTGCAGCCGTTAACGCAATACCCAAGATTGCCATTGGCAGAAGATCCAGGATGTCCATACCCGGCCAGGCCAGCCAATTTGTTTGACACCTGATTGTTTACCAATGCGTCGGGCTTGGCCACATCACGGATAAAAACCCCGGTCTGAAAAAGCCGCCAATTGATCTAGGTTAGCCGTTGCACCAACAAATCACTCCATGCGGAGCTTCCTGCTGAAGAATGATGCACTGGGGTTGGAAGCCATCCAGGGGTCTTATCAACTGGCCACTCAGAAGCTTGAGATATTTCATCCATTCTCCGGAGATGTGCGAATTCCCACTACTAACTTTTGGAAGCTTCCCCCTCTCGTGATCACACTCTTCACTTCCTGTTTGCACAGACAACTCCTTTAGACCCGAGTCATCGAGCGTACTTGGCCATCATGCTGGGCACGATTCTTGCCTTTGTGGCGCTGTTAGCCCTCTACTTTATCGGCAGCGCCATCTACAACGTCACTCTCCATCCGCTGGCCGATGTGCCGGGCCCCAAGATCTGCGCCATTACTCGCATTCCCTACTGGCGTGTCGCATTGAAAGGCGACGACATAGAATGGATGAAAAGCTTGCACGAAAATTTTGGCCCTGTCGTTCGTTTTGGTCCCACGGACTTGAGTTACACGGCCGGAGAGGCTTGGAATGATATTCACGGGCCCAAGGTGACAGAGAAAGCCCAAGAGTTTTCAGTCCAACCTGTCAATGGTATGCGATAATACTCCAGAAGCTTCGCTGCAGATATTTGACTGAAAGCACATAAACTGGCTCTAAAGACTAATACCTGCAGGTGTCCCAAGTATGCTCACGGCGAACACGGAAGACCACTCTCGTGTTCGCCGCCTCTTCTCACCTGCGTTCTCGGAACGTGCGTTGAGGCAACAGGAGCCTCTATTCCGGAAGTACGTGGATCTTCTCATGTATAAGATAAGCGAGGTTGGCAAGGAGGGAGGAAAGCCCGTGGAAATGACCCAATTGCTCAACTTTGCGACATTCGACGTCATGGCCGAACTCTGTTTCGGTCAGCCCCTCGGTTTGCTGGCAAAGAACGAATACAGCCCCTGGGTCAGGTCAATCTTCGAGTCACTCAAGATGTTGCCCATTGTCTCCATCATCAACTACTACCCCATCCTGACCGCCATATTCAACCGCTTCGAGCCGAAGTCCGTCGTGGAGCAGCGCATCACTCACTGCAAGCACTCCGAAGACCGCGTCAACCAACGACTACAGGATGGCTCTGACCAGCCTGATGTCTGGAACTTGGTTTTAGCGGCCAAGGAAGGCAAAGGTCTTTCCCTTGAGGAGATGCATTCAAACTCTGAGATTTTCATGCTTGCCGGCTCGGAGACGACAGGTAAGCATATCTGATCACTTGAAACTGTGATATGAAGCTAAATGAATGCACTAGCTACACTCCTCAGCGGTTGCCTCTACAATCTGCTCATCCACCCGGAGAAAATGAAGACGCTCCTCGAAGAGATCCGAGGCAACTTCACAAAGCTGGACGAACTAACGTTCGAGCGCCTTCAGGAGCTGAAGTACATGAACGCCTGTCTGAAGGAAGCGCTGCGCGTCTACCCTCCAGTGCCCATCGGTAGTCCCAGAGTGGTGCTCCCTGGTGGACAACAGATTCTTGGCAAATGGGTTCCCGCCGACACGCGCGTGTCAGTTCACCACTGGTCAACATACAAATCTGAGTCCAACTTCAAGAACGCCGAAACTTTTACCCCGGAAAGGTGGCTCAAAACGGACCCCACCTATGCAGGGGACGCTCTGGAAGCTCACCAGCCGTTCGGCTTCGGACCGCGAAACTGCCTGGGCCAGAACATGGCAATGCACGAGATGAGACTGATCCTGGCTACCCTCCTCTTCTCGTACGACCTCGAACTATGTGAGGAAAGCCGGGATTGGAAGAACCAAAAGGCTTTCGCGCTGTGGATCAAGAATCCGTTGATGATTCGGGCCAAGCCTTTGGTTGCACAAACTAGAATGAAAATCTGAAAGGCGCACGTTACCTTCGAGAAGAGATCGTACTTACTAATATAAGTTGCTATCGATATTAAATACTGGGCCAATCGGAGCGTTCGTTGAGTGATGACATTTCCTAATGTGGCTCTGAGACATGCGAGGAATCTAGCCGGCGGGATTGCTCACGAGAGCGGGAGATCGACATTTTAGAGCGTGTTAGTCGAAGCACGTCCTCGGACACATTTCGTCGACTTTCGAGCTCAACTACATTTACTAATAAGGCCCCCTTTCCCCCGATTCCTTTGTCACCTTTGTAGCAATTATCTACCTTCAAAAATACAAACAACAGTTATTGCCTCGAGACCAAGGTCAAAAATAATCCAAAAAATCACTCGCAGAAGACTCCGCATTTGTATCGCCAAAACCACTGTGTCAACCTAGACGATGACGGCAGTATCCGCTAAATGTCTTCAAATCTCATCCTCCCTAACGTATTCATACTACTTTGCCAAGGCTACAAATATTGCACTCCCAACTCTTCTCTTCTTGCACGGATTTCCGTCAACTGCCATCGACTTCCGCCAGCAGCTAGAGCATTTCGCTTCCCAGGGCCATGGCGTCCTCGCACCTGATCTTCTTGGCTACGGTGGAACCTCCAAGCCAAAAGATCCACGAGAATACATGTGGCGCGCAATGAGCGCGCATATCAAAGCCATTTTGAATGCTGAGGAAATCGACGCGGTGGTAGGCGTAGGCCACGATCTGGGTTCATGGTTTCTGAGCAGACTGTACCACCTTTACCCGTCCCAGTTTAGGGGGTTGGTTTTCCTAGACGTCGGCTACTCTGTGCCGGGAGAGAAGTTTGACGTCGATATGATCAACCGTATGACGAAGGAGATGACGGGTGAAGAGAGATTCCGGTACTGGGATCTTTTCACGGATGACGAGGGTGTGGCACTCATGGATCGGAATGTCGAATCCGTAGTGTCTCTCATGCATGCTTCACCCGAAGTAATGGCTGCTAATCTTGGACCCCCAGGCAAGGCTAGAGACTGGGTTTCTTCTGCGAGGATTGCACCAGCACATTCTTTTGGCGACGCCGACGCTCAAGAAAGCAGCTACTTCCGGGAAAAGGTCGCCACATTCAAGGAAGGGGGGTGGAAAGGCCCGACAAACTGGTACAAGGCGCTACGAGACAACTTGTCATTTGAAGATGAGAAGGACATGGCCAAGGAACTTGAAGTACCGGTGTTGCTAGTTGGCTGTGGACGAGACGAAATGACGGTAGCCTCATTCCAGGATCAGGTGACGAGGCCGTGGGCAAAGGCCGGGTATGACTTTGAGGTGCTCGAGACAGGACACTGGGTTATGCTTGAGGATGCAGACAGTCTTACGCGTTTGTTGCAAGGTTTCATCAGCCGTTTTGGGTGAGGAAACGTGTGGTTCATTGTGGATATGAGCTATCTAACTCGGTTCCAATCGGTTTGTCCCCTATAACTCAAATATGCAAACCTGCAGCCTGCTGTACTGATCAATCGATCTCAAAGTAATCATCTTATATATATGTTGCATACACTATTCAAAATTGAGAAACGAATAAAAGAAATCAAGCACATCTTCAATAGGAAATAAGAGGCTGTAATAGGACACATGCAACGACTCAAGCTTCATTCAGACAAGAACAGGAAAGAAATCAAGGAAAACAGACAAAGAAGTCAGTAGGCCTGATTTAGCAGCTGCTGTATAGATGGCTCGAACATAGCATGGACACCTATGTTGATAAATTGCTGCACATTCTGTTGAGAAAGTACTGGCGTGTTGGTGTCGTCAGCGATGAACGATGTAGTTGCGGTGGGGGGAGTAACATGATCTCGCCATGCTACCTGAACCCTTGGATTAAGGGTTCGTCTTTGCAACTGGTACTCCAGGATAGTCCAAACATGGGAGATTGAGTATCATTACTAAGGCGGTTGACTGTCACAACTGCCTGTAGTGTTCAAGACCGCGTATCCTCACAATCTGGAATGATCAGAATGATAGGGATTCGGCGACTCAACTACATGGTCTAGTTTGGAGACCTTCTAAAACTCAATTTCATCAGCTGCCGATAGCAGTACCTCATACCGAGTATGCAGACTACCACAATTGAATCACCTCCTATCTAGGGAAACAACATACCGCCCGGGCATAGAAGCTTCTCTGGTTCATCGCCTGCCCACATCTAGCAATTGAACCATGAGTAGGGTCTTTGACACAAACAAACTCAACCATCCCGTCACACGAAAATCTACCTCCATTGTCGTTCCCAGAATACTTGCAATTCTTACGGCCATGTGCCGACTTCAAAGCTTTGATACTAACTAGCCAAGGCCTCTCTGTCAAAGAACAGCTTGGCGCCGCTTCTCCAGGACGGTCAGCCTTGCATACTTTGAATGTTGAGTCTTCTCCATCTCTCTACACCATCACCCACCCTTTTTGCGGGGCGATAGGCGATCTCGAACATGATAGCGACTCCCTCTGTGGGTTTTGAAGGGAGGTGGAGGCGGAGGTGGCGATCATTTTGAAGTTTGAGTGCTTTGCGGCGGCTTGCCTATGGTTTTAGAAGAAGCTGGTGCAGTCGGGTCCTTCGACCAGGAATAAGACCATAGCTTGGGAAGGCTCTGATATCTTACTTTGGGTGACAGTGACGGAATAAAAGACACCCTTGTGGGTTGCTGTCAGATTGACGGTGCACGACGAAGTTGAAGAAGGCGATGAAGTGGGTTTGGAAGTCGATTTGCGAGATTTGCTTTTGCCTCTATCTGTCGGATTGGAAGTCCAATTCGACCTCGAGGCAAGGGGCCCGCGCAGGGGCCACTTACAGACCGTACTTACGAGATCCACGGTCTGCCCAACCTCCGGTTGGAACCTCCCTTTTACACCTTACGCAGAAGTTAAATGTATATCGATTTTGACCTCTTCGTCACCCACGGTTCGAACCAATCCCTGTGATAGGAACACCAACATTATCGTTGTCCTTACCGTCGTCTTCATCGTCTCCCCCATCATCACGATCATAGTCCCTATTATCTGAATGGCAATTGCCGATTTTGAACTACACGATTTGGATACAGAATTTTGGAATCTTGACTTGAATGTTGGGAAGATTTGGTGCGTTGGCAGGTAGACAGCCAAAGCATGCGATAGGAGGCCCAGAATAGGGGAAGATGACTCATCGTAATCAGCATCAGAAAGATAGCAATGTGAAGGGGCGTACTGACATGGAACAACTGTGGGAGAGTCACTGCCGGAAGAAGTAGTGGTTGTGAAGAACGGCGTGGTACGCGTAATACTGCTGAGAGTAATGACAGGAATCAGGAGTGCGCCAGTCGGTAGTTCTGTAAGTTTCAACAACGTTGGAGTCTCATATACGACGGATAAGGTGGGAATCATGGAATCAGTCTTGGCTGGAGCGGTGGTAGATACAGGCGTGGCTAGGGAAGTTCCTGATTCTGTTGAGTACAAAGACGATGATGGGACGGAAACCAAAAATCTGGTATTTGGCGGTAATGATGATGTTGACGAGGTATATGGGTTTGACGTGGTTATCCTTGTATTCGTTGGGTCCCAACGAATGTGATATTCAAAAACGCCGAAGATAGTTCAGGTACGCTCGTGATTCTTCCGGCATTTGGCGTGAATGATGGCGATGTGTTACTAGTAGCCGAATGCTCTCTAGTAGCTGGGTGAGTCAAAGTTCCATTGTATCGCTCTGACGACACCGACGCCAGAGCGCTCGTGGAAGGGGAGACAGGACTTCCAGACGTTAGATCCCACGTCGAAGATTGGATATAGCCCGTGGTAGCAGGTACACTATTGCTCTTGCAAATTGTTAGCTTCGTAAACGACGGAGAGCCAATCAGCCTCACTTATGGAGTGTTTTGCCATGGCAAAGCGATAATCGAACTACAGATACCGGACTCTCTGAGGCAGGTGGGCTGGGCCGGTTGATGGACGAGCGTGGTCGTGTTCTGGCAGGGACTGGTAGAACTGATGGGTTCGAGATGTCCACGATAAACACTGATCTGCTTGTCTCCCGGAGTGGCTGTGTCGATTGGTTGAGTTCATTCAATTGAAAAAGAAAGAAAGCAAAGATCGCAAGATTGAAAAACTGATGATAGAATAACTAGCCCTTGATCTTTGACTCAAGGGCTCTATTAATAATTTACACCCAGTCTCTAGAAGCTGGGATGAGATAGACATAAAATCAAGTTAAGTCCTCGCTTCCTATGCACAACAGCAACCTGCAGTCCGGTGGCTTGTTTCTATCTGATACAAGGAGTATCAGAGAAATAGAGATCCTTATGCTTAATGAGGTGTTCTCAAGCTCTCAAGCGCAGTGTACACCGATGTAAGATAGCGTTCAGAAAGCATCCTTGCAGGCTATCGTCAGACAGCTCAGCCAGACCACAATAAAGAGGACGGAAATTGTGTTGCAACTCTTGCTTTCGTGAATCGTATGGCTCGGTTAAAGACAGTATTAGCATCGTACTAATGGATGTATGGCAAATGCACAACATGAGGCACGAAACGTTGTGCAACACAAAAAGGCCTCTCTTAAGCAATGGCACGGGCTTGTACGAACATAGAACGAGGAGAAATTCGGCGATGAGTGACGTTGTAGATCAATAAGAGCGTTTGGGTAGGACTCATTGAGAAAACTTCAATCTTCAACGTAGAGCCATGGCCCATTGAATTAAATTACTAGAAGCCTATCAGTCCATCCACTGATAGAAGGCATCTACATCATATCATTTTCCCAAGTAGATTGATAACGTGGCTTCAGTGTCGGGTAGAACGCCCCGTCGTGAAAGGCGGAATCAAGAATAATTATGTCAGCGTCTGCATTCTACGCGGAGCAAATATGAAGTATTGGGTATTCGAGGTACGTTTGGAACAACAATAATGACAAAATCTAAGTCACAATGGCTCCAAACTTAGACTTCATGTATTGCTCTCATATGCAGACCTCTGGAGTCCTCGCTTGCAAATTGTGCCATACCATCAGCTTGAAGATTATTGGCAAAACCTTTTGAATGTATTCACTAACTTCCACTATTGATCGTTTTATGCTAGGTTCGTCTCGGAAGGAATCAGGCTCTTAATGAAGTTGTTTATTTGGAGACATAATTTGGCCCGTTAATATCTCACGAGACGCATTGCCGACGGGTCATCATTTGTATTGAGCTACCATCAGAATATCGAAGTGGATCTGAACATTGACTCTGATAAATCAGCTATAAGGGTCATCCTTTCAGCAAGTCTGCTGGGTAAGAAAAGTGTAGTGACTCGGGAAGCTCAAAGTGCCTCTCGCCCGGGTGTCGCCGTCGGCAACAGTACCACACTTGCTCACAATGATGCCCATGTCGACAGCAATGTCACTGCAGTACACGCTCGTCTCAATAAATCGCTATTGGAGGGTTAGCATCTAGTTTTGATGTTGTGGAGCCCAACGAGGAGTGGCACTTACGTTGTTGCAAAGGTAGATAGAGCAGCTGTTGGAGCAGGCCACACGAGCGCAGGTGCTGGCAGGGACACTGCAGTAGTTGGTGCCCAGGTTAATCAGGCGGTTGATGGCGTTGGCGCATTGAGAGTAGTACGCTTCGACGTACGTTCCCGAGTTGCAGTTCCAGTTGTTCTTCATCTTGAGTTAGCTTTCGGTCGTCTATGTGCAAAAATAGGTTTAATAGCCTTCAAGAGTCCATCAAGTAGGCTTACGGTGGTCTGTCTAGCTTCCAAGCCTCCCTCAGACTCTTGGAAATCTTCCGCGTTGAATGAAGGGTTGAGGGCGAGGATCTGCTCGTAGATGGAGGAAGCATCGCCGTGAAGGGTGACATTCGGGCCGCCGACAGTGACCGGGCCGGTGAACGTCATCTCGGAGATGGGCAACAGCTTATCCTTCACCTCCTCAGCAGTTCGGTACTCCAAGCCATTGTCTGACGTAGCGGCAATGACCTGCGGGATTCAATTAGTCAAAAAGCTCAGTCGCAACTTATTCTATGCCTGAGTTAAGGTTATAATTACAGCCGATGCCAAAAGGGCAAGACCAGCGACAGTGAATCTCATGTTGAAAGGTACTTGGACTGAATTGGTCAAAGAGGTCAGACTGCTTCGAAACTGAAGATGGAGAGCGAAATAATTGCATGCTGCTGAGTACTGGTCATCTGTCTTTTATAGTTTTTCACATATTTTGAGTTATTTACACGTTAATAGTATTGAACCGACTCTGTAGTTGTGCCGTATTGCTTAATGTTGCATGTACGATCGCGGGCTGAATTCTGAATCCTTGGCAAAGCGGCGGCTCTGTTGCCCTGTCGGTTCCGCGATCCTACGTTTGGCTCCATGGGGAAGCTGGAAACTTAGGAAGGATCGCGGGCCGCACTAGCTCGTCAGCGCCACACTCAACTGGGGACCTCATGCCCTGCCAAGCGAGAATGCCATTGGTGACATCGGATAACCTCTTGAGCCTAATCCCATTTCTTCAAACATCAGGATTAAACCATTACATTGCCCCCAATGCGACTCTGACGACAGGCCACTTGTATCTTGGGTTCCTGGCCACGATTAGGCTCTCTTCGGGGACTGTGCAAGGCAAACGGATCGAAGCGAGGGCTTAGTCGCTTGGCCAGTGCGGAGACGCTGGGATTGAGGGGCCGAGCTCGCGGCGGCCGAGACCAATCGGTATTAATGAATAGAGAAGTTGAAGAGGCCCTTACTATGTCGGAAATCGAACCATCTCGTATTTCCATACCCTTGAGCGTTCCCAAGTCATGGTAGGTTGCTCTAGAGGAAGACCATATCGACGTTGCATAGGTAGTAAGCCAGCGTGGAACTAGTTGATGCCTACATGTTGAGTCCGAGGTTTGCGGCATGATCTACAGAATATTCATGGAAGAGGGATAGACTGTCTGGATCACGAGGTTATGGAACGATAGTTGCATACGAGCATACGAGCATACGAGCTGCGAAAGCATGACTAACTCAGATTATAGGTTCAACAAATTTAGTGACCTTATCGCGAGCTCTCTTGTTGCTATCTCCTCCATTTGCTTTTGTCTATCCTTCCGTATATACCATTCAGGTTCCCGATGACATGTTTTGCGTTCTTGGAGTGGACACTACGAAAGGAATCGTGTCCCTGGACATGTAACATCGTGTATTAACACAACCGGACGACTGCTTGCTGCTGAGGATTGGCTACAACCATACAACAGAGTCTCGGAGATGGAGTGACCAAACATGGTCTATTTGTGAGTACTTCGCAGACCGCGCGGGCTCGCGAAAAGTGCGGCGATGAGAGCAATGCCGGCAAAGGTGGTGGACGCGGCAAAGGCATACTGAATGCCTTCGTAGTAGACATGGCGGGCGGGTAAGCGCACTTCTACCGGGAGAGTCTTGAGGGCTGTCACGGAATGTCGAATCTCGTCAATGAGCTAAGTAGAGAAGAGTTGTCGTCAGCCTTATTGACCTTCTTTCATTAAGACCAGACAAGTAGAGACAAGAGGAACTTACTCTTGACTTGTCGGGAATGTCACCGAGGGCTTCCGGTAGCCGCACACTGAGCGTCGTCTGCACGATGGCAGAAGTTATCGCCACGCCCCAGACTGTGCCCAGAGAGCGAACGAGATACACTGTCGAAGCTGAAACGGCGTGGTCTATGGTAGTTGTGAAACGTGGTGTTAGTTGAGTCTACAATTGGCACCACGATTCCTTGATTCTTTCAAGGAAAGAAAACTCACCGGCATGGTCAAATGAAGCCAGAGTCGTGAAAAGAATCGCGGGGTAGATAATACCCTGTCCTAGATTCGCAGGGAAGATGTAAACCAGATACTTCCACTGCGAGTCCTGGAACTGGAGGGCCGTGACAAGAGAGTTGCCAAACAGCATCAGGAACGCGCCAGTGCGGACGAGCCAGATGAGCTTGCCCCAGCGAGACATGACGATGCCCGCAAACAGACCTCCGAGGGGTGTAGCAAGCGATGGGATCGCCAATCTCGCGCCGGCCTTGGTCGCTGAGTCGAGCAAAACTACCTGGAAGAAGAGCGGAAGCATGAAAAGATACTGAAATTCCCGTCATATCAGTAATCATGAGCCAAAGTTTGAGTAGTTCATAGCTTGCTTGTGCGATCTACGTACCGCATACGCCGCGAGTCCCGCGCAAACGTTGGAAATCTGCGTGAGAATGGGCAACTTTCCCCGTAGCATCCTCAAGGGGATAACAGGAATAGCCTTTGTCCGCGCCTCAACAATAAAAAACAACGCCAACAAGAGGACGCTGCCCATGAGCGTGCCAATGACGATGGGACTGCCCCAGGGCAGCTCATTGCCGCCCAAACTTAGACCAACGAGCTGAACAGAAATCGCCACGACCAGGAGGAGCGCCCCTGAAACGTCAACTCTCGACCAGATGGCCCTCCAGTCGTTGGTGTCGATATCGAATCCTCCCTCAGGGTTCTTGATCACTAGAGCACCCAGTGCAAGCGCCATGATGGAGACGGGCACCTGCAGCAGGAAGCACCAGCGCCAGCCGATGTGGTCGGCGATGGAGCCGCCAAACGAAGCTCCGGCCACGGCGCCGAAGCCGAACATGCCGTTCTGTAGGGCCTGGTACATGCCTCTCTTGCGGAAGGGAATCATGTCCGAGTTGACAATCGTAGCTATTCTCTCGCGTCAGTCGTCTCCTAGTTACATCGTTGCTAACTCCCGGGGGAACGAAATTATAAACTCACCCATCGTCATCAGACCGCCTCCTCCAAATCCAGTCAGCGCGCGCATGCAGTTGAGAAGTACCACATCACCCGCCAACCCGCAGCCGAGACATCCCAGCCCGAAAGTGATACTACTAACAAAGAAGCACACCCTCCGCCCGAAGATGTCAGAAAACCGCCCATACAGCGGCTGGAACGCGGTGCTCGTGACGAGGTACGAAGTCGTCAACCAGCTCGCCGTGTTAGCAGCGTCGAACTCGGAGCTAATGACGGCGTACGTCGCCGCCGTGATGGTCCCGTCGAAACCATAGAGGAAGACGTTAGCCATGATGGCGAGCTCGATCCAGACAAACCCTCGTGGCGGCTTCCATGACTCGCCGGCCTCGACTGCGGCGGCTGGGTCGCGGAGGAGGGGCTGGTCTTCGCGAAAGGCGGCTACGGCGGCGGCGGCTTCCGTGTTCGGGTCGGAGTACGGAGGCGGCGTTGATGCCGAGTTCGGAGGATTGGCTTGTGCTCTGCCGACTTCATCGTCCGAGAAGCGGGGCCGGGAGCGCGGGTTACTCATGGTTTGTGCCGGTTGGTTGATTTTTGATGGAACTCTATTTGAGTAAGGCTTGTTGAAATGCTGCTTTGGAGTGAATGTAGCCGGGATTAGATAGAATGCTTCCGTTGGATGTGAAACAATGCGATTGGGTGTGGGGATGGTAACTCGCGGTGCATGGGAAATCTCGAGCAAAGAGCAGAAGGGGAAACTCTAGAAGGTACTATGCATGAGGCAATCTTTCTTGCAACTCCTAGTGTACTTTACTAATTGATACTGGTCTGTGCTACCAGGGTATAAGGAGATGATGGCCCAGCGATATTTTGCCATGGAGAAATTTCTGCACTTTCATGACTCCCTCCCGATGGAGAACCGGCGCACAAGGCCCGGATAATGTCCGTTTCATGCATGCTGTTAGGGGGCTACCGGGTGCCGGGTCGGATCGACCAACGTCAACGATTTCTTCATGCTGGAGTTGATAGTGGAGGCAGATGTTGCACCATCGGCATGTAAAAGCACGCAATCAAGAATGACGGACATTGAGCTCGTAGATGTCGCAACTCTTTTCTTTCATCGACTGTCGTCCTACAATGCGTTCTGAACGGGTTGTTGATACTGACGGAGAGCCGCAGCGGCTCCCGGGCCACCGGAGTCGCAACTGACATTATCAAGTAGCCTCTTCTAGGTCCGTCTTAGTGGAAACGCTGTGCGTGTCCCACAAGTAAAGGAGTCTAAAATCCCGTGCCGAATCTGATAATTCCGCGGCAAGATTGAAAGATCAGAAGGCTCAACACCAGTAGGATATACCCGTGGGCATGGTGTACCCCGAATGGCTCAAGCCGAGCACGTCATCTCGACAGGGCTCTCAAGCTTTACGGACAGTTATTTAGGTTACTTAACCTTCTCGACAGGGCGATACGTCTCATTCGGCTTCTCCAGACTATGCCAATCGCCGCCGTCTGATACTAGGGTGTACCAAACGAGGCAAAGCAGTGGTTTCCCACTGCTATCTTCCAAAGCAAGACCTTCTTGAAGAAGAAATGAAACGAACAGCCTTATTGGCAGAACCAGACAGAACATTACACTGCGCCTGGACAACTTCCTTCGATTGATCGAGTATGTCACGTCGCGGCAGATGATAGCTAACCTATACTCCAGACAATCTCACCTGAAACTTCCGTGGAAATACATCCACCAAACGCACAAGCCTTGCAGTAACCATTCGAATCCATCAACAATGAGGCCAAAAGTGGCCGCAGCTACAATATTCTTGAGGCTATGGAAAGCTTGCAAACTGATGATGTCGACGACAACGCCCGCCACGGGCGTGTGCCCTCATGTTCGTTCACGACGCCTGCGTCGAGCGAGAAGATTCTGCGCATTCGTGCCGGTGATGGTCGCTGGCTTACTCAATCCTAGGTATGTTGGCGAACAAGCCAAACAAGTACATACAGAGCATGTGTTCTATGCCCCGGCTGATCGAATCTTTGGTCCATGAATACAACCAATTCGAAGCTAAACAACATATAGCTTGAACTTGGAAGGAAGATCATGCGACTTCAATTGCCCTCCGTTGAGACCTCAGAACCTGAGCCTGAAAAGTGGAGCATGTGCTAGACTTCCAAAATCTCGCTTACATAACTCTGACCCACGTCACCTGACAAATAAAATCGCAGCCGCCGCAGAAATTTTTGCATATGCCTTTCCTTTCGACCATCACCAAAAACCAGCAAAAGCCGATAACTTTCGGGGGATCAGACGCGCGAGCAGAGAAACGTTTCAACGAATCCAACATACAAGTCTTATTTTGGCTGCTGCTCGTAGGTTCAATATTGAAGACGTCTGCAGACGCCGTCTGATCCTCAAGAATCACTCCAGGTATGTGAACCTTTTCTCTTCGGTCGTCATGCGTACCTTCCCCCCTCGTCTTAAAGATGATTTGGATTAATCTCCATTTGTATTTGATATCTTATTAAATGATTTTTATTCACACTGAAAATTCTGAAAACGACATCACTTGTTATACTCTTGTTCGTTCAGTTCTGGAAGCACTCAGTCGACTAACAAGACTCTTAGGCTTATCTGCAATTATATATCTTCAGGTTTGAGGCCTTGAGTGTTGGATTGGTTGGCTAGATACTATGAATATCGTGGATTTTAATGCAAATGCATGTTTTCATAATGAATCTGTCGTACACGTGATGACTTCGTCTGACGCTCACGGCGGAAGAGAGAGCAGACATTGAATATCTTACGTGAATCGTCTTGGCAAGTCCCCGTCAAATATTGCTACCGAGACGTCGGTGATCCCCGGGGGGCGTGGTGATGCAGGCCCCATCTCCGATTGAGTGCCTCCGGGCCAATGATGACCCCGCCACGATGACAAGCCGCGACAGGACGCAGGTAGGCGGGCACTCGCGCGGCTCTGCGCCTCCAGCAAGCTCCAGTCTCCAGTGCTTGGGAGGTCTCGGGATCTCTGGAAACTCCGTACTTCGTAGGGACAACGACGGTGAGCGAGCAGTTCGTTGCCGCACGCGTGGGCGGTGCAAATGAGCCACCGGAAGGAGGGGGGTTTACCTGCAGGTCATGGTCAAGTGCCGGTTTAGCCTGGTTGGAAGGAACCAATGTCGATGAGGTTTCCCAATGGCACACTGACCTTGGAAGAGCACCTTAATGCAGCAAATTAAGGGAGTGATTCCTGGAAGTAGATCTGGGGGAAACGACCTAGTCGGTTTCCCGTCCAGAGTCCCAGCATTGTTCATAGAGTCAAGGAAAGTTGGAACTTGGCAGTGGGCGGCATGTCGTGGCAGACAAACAGGGCCTATCCCGACAAGCCGATCTCTTTGTTTCTCGCCAAACGACTGTTCAAACCGTGACAGAGTCGGCGATGGAGTTTCGGGCTCTCTGGTGACTTGAAAGGTAGCGACTAGAGAGTACCTTGGGCAATCTCCTCTCCATCAACCACGAGGCCAGACCAGGGCCAATGTGGGGGGTTTCTCGCTAGAGTGTTTCTTCGCGCTTCCCGAAAGATTCCAGCCTCCAGAATATGGCCTAGCAGCACATAGTGCAGGGCAACGATGGGATTGGGCGCAACTGTGAATGCCTATCTGTACCATGACGACACCAGGCTGCGATGAGGCGGGGCAGAAGTTTCCAGGGTTCAAACTGTGAGTATTGGACGCGATGCGATGCATCTTTGAACTCTGCCGCCACGGACGCCGTCTGATCTGTCAAGATTGTCAAGAATGCTAGCTTGGCCTCTCCCGAGGGTTAAATGTATACTTTAACGTTGTAGCCTCATGGGGGAAGGTTGCACGACGAGTCGTTCGTCCATTTCCGCATGCTGCGCACAGCAGGCTCAAACTGTGCCGGGTGCTACGCTCTCTCTCTCTCTCTCTCTCTCTCTCCTTTTCAAATCCTCCTGAACTCTCTTCTCCTCTTGGTCGTGTCCGCGGGGTATCCTTTTCTTCTCGAAGTCTGACCAGGTGTCCTAGATGACAAGGATGGGGGGCGGATGACAAGGCCGCCCGGGGATGTCACGGCCTGTCATTGCCCTGAGCCGCCCACCCTCCCAGCTTCGGATGGCGTGCCGCACCAAGTCTGCCTGGTCACAAGGCTGCCTTGCGCCGTGATCCCAGGTCTCTTGGTACTCTGGGTTTTTGTTGGGAAGGAGGGTTATTCAGACTGATGTTGGAAGGACTTGTCCGCTTCATGTCTCGCCCGTAGTCAGTTCTCAGTAGACTAGCGACGGACGAGCGTCTGATGCTTTTCTCGTGGGGTTGGATTTGTAGTTGCGGTGGCCAGTGCAAATGACGTAAGAGCATTGTTATCGCTAGCCCCTTGGCAACCCTTCGATAGCAGGCCAGGTGCAAGAGTATGTAGGCTTGGGCATTTCGGCGTCGCAAACTGTCGAGAAGTACAGGTCAGGAAGGCTGCCTGGAGGCGATTAGGTACTATCAAAATATGAGAAAAAGCGTCTCTTTCGGGTTAGATGTAGGTACTTACTTGCCTTCTTCTGTGCCCTGGTCGAGTCCGAACGCTTTGGAGACTGAATGCAAATAGTAGCGTGGGCTGTCAAGAGTCAGAGGTGACGGTGACATGGGACACCCTTCAACAGACCGTAGCTTGCTGCACATTAGTACTGCAATAGCAGTTCCTTTCCCGTCCGCTGACCTTGGCCGGACCGTCTGGAGTATTCGTAAGTCGTGGCCTGGGCGGCGGGCACCGACAAGACCGGGCCCAGAAACGAGGTCTGGCTGATCCCGTCCCATCCATCAATGTTTCGCGCCCTGGTCGGGATGGAAGGGAAAGCGTCAGGGGGATGCCTCACAATGATCAACGATAGCTCCTCGGAGAGTGAAGAGGAGAGTCCAGAGTACGCTAGGATATGTAGGAAGGTAGGAAGGCATGGCCATTATTGCCCACCTGCCGCTCTGCCCTGATTCTGCTGTTTCTGCTTTGGCAACAGCGCTGTGTGTGATCCTGCCCGCTACGGAGCATTGCACTTTCCCATCTCAGCCCAACACCAACTGGACGGCCCACGGGTGACGGACGGGTCGACGGGGCTGCCCCTCCATCTTCTCGCTTCCACGGTCCCTTGCCGTCCCTCCACTCCCCTCCTTCTTCCCCCTCTCTCCCGTCTTCTCTCACTCCCGAACGCTCTCTCCACTCGCTCGCTTTCTCTGTCCTTCTCCCGGGCACTTCCCTCTCTCACATCACCCACCTTTACGTTGGCCTGGGCTGGAATCGACTGGATATTCCTCTATTGGTGTGTTCAATAGACAGATTCCCATCCTCTTACCCAACCAGAGGCCATCGCAGTCCCACCAGCCTCCTAAATAAAACCAATGTACCACGTACACCCGTAAACCGAACTAGTCACTACTACACATGCACACCATTTAATCCGTGGGCTCCCCTCCGTCATCATCGCACATCCTTTGTTCAACCCCCCCGCCTGCAAATCTACACCATCCAGCCGAACCGTTGTCGCCGTTTTGACTTTCTTCTGCCGCTTCCCGAAAACAGCGTTGCCCTTCGACGCCCCCATCGCAGTTAGCGATGGCTGGAGTTTATAGAGAGACCACCCGAGTCTACCGGGACCCGACCGAGTACTCATCCGACGAAGACCGATACAAGACTTCCACAGTCCGCCGTTACAAAGTAGCGCCAAGTCGAGTTGAGAGGGTCGAGCGCACTGAGCGTGTCGAAGTCGAAGAAGACGACCGCCGCTCACGATACTCCGGCTACCCGCTGCGCACTTCTGGCGAGTATGGCTATGCTCCCGATCGCCCGCGCTCCGCCTTTGACTCCCGGAGTCAGGTCGTTGAGCGCACGGTAACCGAGCGTGAGCGCGAAGTTATTGACCCATACAGAGGTGACACTCGCAGCGTCGTCTACGAAAAGGAGTACGAACGTGAGCGTGAGCGCGCACCTCGCTTCGATGCCGGCCGTTTCGACGATGTTCGCAGCGTCGCCGATAATCGAAGTGTCATCGAAGTCGAGCGCGAGCGTGTCGACTGGGACCGCCGCTCTAATAAGTCCCATCGCCACCACCACCATCACCATTCACCCGAGACAGAAGTCAGAGTCGACAAGCGCGTCGAACGCCGTGAGGATGGAGACGTCACAGTCGAGAAGCGCGTCGAAGAATACCGGGACGATCATGGCGGAGCAGAGGTCGAGAGATACCGCAAAGAGACCGAGTTCTATTCTCCCGTCAGCCCCCCGCCTATTCCCCAACCCGTTATCATCCGTCAGCAAGCCCCGGAGCCACAGAAGATTATTGTTCAGGAAGCTGCACCACCCGCACCCATCATCGTACCCCGCCAGGAACCTGGTATTGTCGTCCTGAGAGAGCGCGAGTCTCCTCGCGAGGTTGTCCGTCGCGATCCCCGCGAGGACGAGTACTACTACCGCCGAGAGACAAAAGAGCTTGGTCCTTATCGCCGAGATGAGCGTGAGTATCACTACGACCGACGAGGCCGCGGTCGCGGCGAATACATCAGCGACGACGAGGATTACTACATGAAGCGGACTGTCATTCGCCGAAACCGAAGCTCCAGCTCAGACCATCACCACAAACGCCACCTTGCGGAGGGAGCTCTTGCCGGCGCCGGCATTGCTGCTCTCGCTGCGAGTCGCAGAGATGGCCGTGGTGAGCTTGGCGCCAACCGAGGAAGCAAAGTCCTCGCAGGTGCTGCTATCGGTGGCTTAGGCACTGAAATCATCCGGCGGGCTCGTAGTGCGTATGAAGACACTTATCATGACGACCATCACTACGGGTCTCGCTCGAGATCTCGCAGTCGCAGCTCCCGCATCAAGACTGGCCTAGGAATTGCTGCTGCAGCGCTCGCCGTTGCAGGCGCCGCAAAGTATTACCAGAGTGGAAAGATCGAAAAGGAAGAAATGCATCGTGGTCGAAGCCGCGGCAGAGGCTACTCTGTTTCAAGCTACTCTGTATCTAGATCTCGTAGCCGCAGCCGCAAGAGCCGCAAGAGTCGTAGTCGGTCTGTGGCCAAGGCTGCCGCTGCGACTGCTGCCGCTGCGGGCTTGGTACAGCACTTCCGCAACAAGTCCAAGTCCAAGTCTAGGAGTAGGTCACGGTCTAAGTCTCGCATCAGGACCGGGGCGGAAATTGCTGCCGCCGGTCTTGCAGGAGGAGTCGCTAGCAAGATTTACAAGAACCGCAAGGAGAAGAAGGACCGCGAGGTAGATCGTGAACTGGACGAGCAGGAATATGAGGAAGAAGTCCGGCGGGAACGGCGTGAACGTCGTCGGTCGCGCAGCAGGTCCCAGGCCCGCTCTCTATATTCCGAGCCGCGCAGCGCTGATCCTGAGCTAGGCTTAGTTGAGTACGGAACGGAACCGCTGCCGTCCGACCCGCCTTACCCGCCGGATGACGGGTATGAGTCCGCAGCGAACGAGAGGCGACGCCGTCGACACCGGCGTATGTCTGGCGATGATTACGACGGCCACGAGCCGGCGAAGAAGAGGAGCAAGAGCCGATTGAGAGACATGGCAGCAGCAGCAGTCGGAACGGGAGCTGCTGCAATTGGACTTAAGCAGTATCAGAAGAAGAAGGAGAAGGAAGAGGAAATACGCGAGGAAAGACGGTCGAGGGAGAGAAGCGCCCGATCCCGCTCCAGAGACAGATCGGTCACACGCGAAAGGACTTACTCGCGAGAACGCGCCTACAGCAGAGAACGCAGCACAGACGACAGAATGAGAAACAGAGAACGAGAGAGGGACCGCAGGAGTAAGAATCCCGAACCGCAGCACACGATAACAGACGGGCGATACTGACAGCTTTGACAGGATACGAAGAGGATGCTCGGGATGACGGGTATTATGACAATTACAGCCGGCCTCCCTCACCACCACACGCCTCTGGCGGCTCATTCTACCCACCACCACCAGCCGCCGGCGCCGGCGCCGGCTTCACTCAACACCCCAACATTTCGACAGCCAACCTAAGAGACCAGTATCCACCGTACCCGTCCTCAGACTCGGTATATCCTCCGGGACCACCACCAATGGGGCCATCTCCACCGATGGCTACAGGCGGGGCCGGCGGTTATCCTCCCCCTCCGCCTGCTGGTGGTCCTCCCCCACCAGACGGTGGCCCGCCGAGAACGAGATTCGGTCCTGACCATGTGAGTGAAGAAATATCTCGTAGCTCCTCACCACAAGCTGTCCAGCCAGCCGGTCTGGGTCGTGAGGGTGGGTTGATCTAATCGTTGTTTCTTTTGTGACTTTTCTTCGTTCATGTCTGTATCAGAAGCTGATTTTTCGTGCAGATGGTCTAAAGTGGCGAGAGCGTGTCAAGAAGTTTCTCCCCGAGTCACTATCTAGGTCTCGTTCTCAGTCCCAACCGCGATCTCGGTCTCGGTCGTTGTCTCCTACCTCTTCGTCGGTGTCAAGCACTTTGTCCGCAAAGCGTCCTCACACTGCACAACACTCTTCCTCCAAGTCCGTCGCCTTCACCCTGTCTCCTCAATCATCGCAAACTTTACGGTTGCACCGCTCAGCCCACGAGCAACAGGCCGAGGAAGAGGCTAGGAAGGAGGAGGAAGTGCCCGCTCTTAGCGAAGAACAGCTGGCGACTCTGCGGCCTGTGCTCAACCGCAAGCGCTCGTCCTCGGATCCACCTAGTAGCAAATCGGTATCTCATCGTCGTAAGCGGGAAATTGAAACGCCTTCCGAATCGGATGACGAGATCGAGGCACTGCCAGACCGCTTCGATGCCCAGGGACGACCCGTTGGCGGTGGCAGTTCGGGCGCTATGCGATGGAGACAGGGGGCCTTCGAAAGCCGGCCACGAAACGGCAACGGAGTACATTCAAGCGGAGCATGGGCTGTCGGTGGCACAGATGGCGATGTTGTGCAAAAGATCGCAAGCGACATTGAGGGGATGATTAGCGGGCAAGGCAGCTGGAAGAGTCTGCTGAAGGATGTGGTGGGAGCGGTTCAGGAAGCGCAACATGGCGGCGATTCGCGTAGGATAGAGGACAGTGATGACGATGATCATGGCAGTCGACGAAGGAGGCGGAGGAAGAGTGGATGACGATTTTATGACATTTCTTTGGATCTCACATATGAATTTTGCGACGTCATACGTTGGCGATTATTTTACATTCTCAGGACCTAGACACGACTTGATGGTACAGATAACGAATTCATGACTCTGGTTCGAAACACTTTTGGTAGACATCAATACATAAGCAGAGTTTAATGATTGCGCTACATGGGTTATTGATTCAGTTGGCGAAAACAAAGGTGCAGACAAGAGAGCACTTATTATGTACTTTGATTGTGGCCGTCTATTCTCTAATCTCTCACAGAATTCATCTACAGGGGCATCATATTCTCTCTTTTTCTTTTTCATCATAATTCGTCGTGCACCGGAGGCTTCTCTGGCCGCCCGCTGTCCTTGTGCAAATCGACGCCGACCTTGCCCCGCCACTTTTGGAAGACGCTCCAAAACTCCTTTTCCATGCCGCTCTCCATCTGATCGGGCAGCACGACAACGTAGTCGACGTACAGGTTGCCAAACTCCGTCTTGTGGTACACGCTATCCCCATCCTCGTGGAAAATGGGCATGCCCTCACTCTTCACAGTCTCAACGTGACCAGGCTGCACGACGGCGCCCCGATCGCGTGAGAGCCGCACGACGTGGCCGTCGAGGTGCGTTACGTTGCGCGTCCAGTCGCCCATCCACGCCTCGCGCAACGAGAGCACCTCGGTCCAGTAGAGATCGTTGTCCTTGCGCCGGAAGAACGTGCCGTCGACGCGGTCCGGGTTATCTTGTCCGATCTCGGGCTCCTTTTCGGAGAGCGTGACGACGAGGTTGCCCGCGACGTAGTCCGGGCTCGCGTCCGCCTCGTTCTCGTAGACGATCTGGCTGTCGCGCCCCGCGCCGCGGGCGACGGTGAGTTGCACCGTTGTGGGCTTCCTCACGACGCGCGCGCCGCCGCATGTGTGGCACTTGTGCTTGATCTCCTGCCCTCGTCCGCCGCAGGCGTCGCACTGCATCTGGACCTGCTGGTACATACCCGGCGCGAGCTGGTGCTTGACGATGCGCACGCCGCGGCCGCCGCAGACGCCGCAGGTGTCTACTTTGCCGTCCGAGGAGCCCGTGCCGTCGCAGTCTTCGCAAATATGCTGCTTGTCCCACTGGAATTCCGTGTTGATGCCGTTATAGAAGTCGCGGAGGGAGATGCCGATGCGGACGTTTACGTCTTGGCCGCGGCGCTGGCCGTGGCCTCCGAAATGACCGCCGCCGCCGAAGAAGCGGGAGAAGACGTCAAAGGGGTCGTGACGGTGGCCGCCGCCGTTTTGTTGTTGCTGCTTGAGGCCTTCGTGGCCGTATTGGTCGTAGATTTTGCGGGATTCGGGGTCGATGAGGGCTTCGTAGGCCTCGGAGACTTCGACGAATTTTTCCTTTGCGCTGTCGTCGCCTCTGTTGTTTGTGGGATTCTCTGGTTAGCCTTCATGCAACGAGTGAGTCGGGAGGAAAGTTCCCTTTGGTAAAAGGAAGGACTGCATACGGGTTCTTGTCGGGGTGGTATTTCTTGCTCAGCTTGCGATAGGCGGATTTGATCTCACGATCCGAGGCCTTCTTGCTAATGCCTAAGAGGTTGTAGTAGTCCTCGGCGCAGAGGGCCAGCTGGACGAAGCATAGGAGCAGCAGCACGAATGCTGCCCCTCGGAGGTACATCGTGGGTCCCCCTGTGGTGTACTTCGAGGTTTGGATACTTTATTTCGATGAACGTCGGAGCCCGGGCGCAAAAGAAAATCCTCGTTGAGTCGTAGACCTTTTGGGATCCTCGAGTCCTCAAGGAGTGAATAGTGACAGGGACTTGTCGAAGGAGGAATCAGGTTACGAAAAAAAAAAGGGGGGGGGGAGAGAAAGAGAGAAGTGTAGGATATGAAGATAGGTAATCGACCCAAAGGAAGCGCGCAAACCAGCTGTCCCAAAATGTAAAGTTCCAACGTGTTAAGAAGGGAGCTACGCAGGTCCGATAAGACATGTTATCCGGAGATGGTCATTGGGCGCTGGCTTCTTTGCAGCTTATGCCCCACTCTCTCGTTGCTAAAAGGTGTGGGGCCTTTTCTGGGAAGTTCAGACGAATGCGCAGAGACACGCCAGGCACGTCAACTGCATGAGGCCTCAACCTTCATGACTTGACATCGCCAGGCTTACTACAGGCTTCCTTTTGTACGACTTCCTTCCGAACTTCCAAGCCGAAAGCGCTGGAAATTTTGTGAGATTTTACATCTCGTACGTTTGGATCGATACATACGACCATGGCATCAAAAAAGTACGCCTTCCTCCCCATGGAGGACGACGAGGTCGGTCCCGCCAAAGTAGTCAAAGACAAGAAGAAGCACAAGTCGCGCCATCGCGACCGATCGAACGAGAGAAACCGGGATCGCGACCGCAGCGAAAGGACGTCGAGACAACGATCGCGCTCCAGATCACCGGCCCGACCTTCGAAACAGTACCGGAAGCGAGACACAAACGATGACGACGACAGGTGGGCGGACGAGGAGCCACCTTCGGAACCCGAAGAAGTCGACAACAACGACGAACCTGATTTCAAAGAGTCTGCCTCGAAGCGGGTAAAGCTCAGCCACGATGATCGCGACCGAGACGCTGACCTATCGGACGGCGCGAAGGAGGAGCTGGAGCGTCAGCGCGACATTGAAGAGCGCGAAGCCTTTGCGAAGCGGTTGCGGGAAAAGGACGACAAGAAGTCAAAGACAGCCGAGAGCCGACGGCCAGAGCTGGATCGCAAGGCGAACATGGAGGATCTCCGTATGAAGAGTCGACAGATGTACCTTGGGAAACGAGAGGCCGAGAAGCTCGCCCTGCTGCGTAAACAAGTTGCCGAAGAAACGGAAGAGTTGAGGAGCGGCGTCAGGTTATCAGAACGGGAGAAAGCCGAGTTTACCAAGAATCGCGAAATCCTGCGGCTAGCGGAGGAGCGCCTCAAGATTGACGATCACAAGGATGGGTACTACATACCGGAGGACTATATCACGGAAAAGGGCAAAATCGACAAGAAGAGGAAGGAGGATGCAATGTACAAGAGGTACGTGGAGAAGGACGAGTACGGACAAGAAAAGTTCGTCACGGAGCATGAAGAATGGGAAAGGGAACAGGCCACCAAGGCCAAGGCGCAGATCCAGAGGTCGGAGAGGGAGAATGACGATTACGCCTATGTCATGGATGAGGAGCAGTACATCAAATGGAATCTGGGATCGAGTATGCCGGGGGAGGGCAAGTTGACCAAGGAGCAACAATTCCTGGCGGCGCAGATCGAGGCAGCAGAGAAGAAGCAGCTCACGATCCAGGAGACGAGGAAGAGCCTGCCCATCTACGCATATCGAGACGATTTCCTTGCGGCGATGGAAAAGTATCAGATCCTGGTCATTGTTGGAGAAACAGGTTCCGGTAAGACGACACAACTACCGCAGTATTTGCACGAAGCTGGGTTCACCAAGAATGGGATGAAGGTTGGATGTACACAACCGCGTCGTGTTGCTGCAATGAGTGTCGCTGCGCGTGTGGCGGACGAGGTCGGCGTCAAGGTCGGACAAGAGGTCGGGTACTCGATCCGTTTCGAGGACAACACGAGCGACAAGACGATTCTAAAATACATGACGGACGGCATGTTGCTGAGAGAGTTCATGACGGAGCCGGATCTTTCCGGGTATTCGGCCATCATGATTGACGAAGCTCACGAGAGAACCGTCCACACGGATATTTTGCTAGCTCTGGTCAAGGATTTGGCAAGGGAACGGCCAGATTTGAAACTACTGATTTCGTCTGCGACGATGAACGCCGAAAAGTTCGCCGCCTATTTCGACGATGCCCCTATTTACAACATTCCTGGACGAAGATACCCAGTCGACATTTACTACACGCCAGCACCAGAAGCCAACTACTTAGCAGCCGCCATCACCACGATCTTCCAAATCCACACAACGCAGGGCAAGGGTGACATCCTCGTGTTCCTCACGGGTCAAGACGAGATTGACGCAGCCGAACAGCAGATAGTCGATACGGCGAAAAAGCTAGGGAGCCGTGTCAAAGAACTGGTGGTTTGTCCCATTTACGCCAACTTGCCCTCCGAACTCCAGGCCAAGATCTTCGAACCGACCCCAGAAGGCGCCCGCAAAGTCGTTCTGGCTACCAACATTGCCGAGACAAGTCTGACAATTGACGGAATCGTCTATGTCATTGACCCCGGCTTCGTCAAGGAGAACGTCTACAACCCCGCCACCGGCATGTCAAACCTCGTTGTGACACCTTGCTCAAGGGCGTCCGCGAACCAGAGGAGTGGTCGCGCCGGCCGTGTCGGCCCAGGAAAGTGCTTCCGCCTATACACAAAGTTCGCCTACATGAACGAGATGGACGAATCGCCCATGCCTGAGATCCAGCGCACGAACCTCAACGGCGTCGTCCTCCAGCTCAAGTCGCTGGGCATCAATGAGCTCCTCGACTTTGAGTTCATGGACCCGCCGCCGACCGAGGCCCTCATCGGCGCCCTGAACCAGCTCTTCGCCCTCCAGGCCCTCAACCACAAGGGCGAACTCACCAAGATGGGTCGCCAAATGGCCGAGTTCCCCACGGACCCGATGCTCGCCAAGGCCGTCCTCGCCGCCGACAAGGAAGGCTGCGTCGAGGAGGTGCTCTCTGTCGTCTCCATGCTCAGCGAGGCTTCTGCGCTCTTCTTCCGCCCCAAGGACAAGAAGATCCACGCCGACTCGGCCCGTGCCCGCTTCACCATCAAGGAGGGCGGCGACCACCTTACGCTCCTCAACATCTGGAACCAGTGGGTCGACAGCGACTTCTCGCCCATCTGGTCGCGCGAGAACTTTTTGCAGCAGCGCTCCCTCACACGCGCGCGCGACGTGCGCGACCAGCTCGCCAAGCTCTGCGAGCGCGTCGAGGTCTCGCCCTCGACCTGCGGCGCGTCCAACCTGCAGCCCATCAAGCGCGCGCTGACGGCCGGCTTCTTCCCCAACGCGGCGCGCCTGCAGCGCAGCGGCGACAGCTACCGCACCGTCAAGAAGAACGCCACTGTCTACGTGCACCCGTCGTCGGTGCTCATGGGCGTCGACCCGCCGACCAAGATGTTGGTGTATTTTGAGCTCGTGCAGACGACAAAGGAGTACATGCGCAGCTGTATGCCCATTGAGAGTAAGTGGCTCGCGGAGCTGGCGCCGCACTTTTATAAGCAGAAGGATGTGGAGGCTATGGAGGAGAAGAAGATGCCCAAGGCTAGGAATTATGATCGGTGATTTAGGTGTAACTCGTGTGTGAGTGGAAGGTTTAGTGGGTGCGGGTTTTCCAAGAGGAGGGAATGGAATGGTTCAGGGTAGATTGAATACAATGATCAACCTCTCAAGATACCGTCTTGATTCATCGGCGCTTCACCTAGCTATCTCAACTTTTCATGCGTGAAGCAGAGCTCTCATGTACCCGTCGAGCTCCCGCTTACTCAATACATCTCTACCAAAAAAGACAATGTATAACCCCAGTCTCGCTCGTTCGAACGAGAAAGTATTTTTGACTAGCACAAGACACTCATCCAATGTGTATGAGCTCAAGGCCGCACGAAACCCTCGCCAACCCCTTATAGATAAAGTCCCTTCCATGACAGCTGCACGTGGACTTAACTAGCCGTTGGCGCTAAGATGTTCATTCGGATGATTTAGCACACCTGTCAGAAATCGAAACCGGACTTGGGATCCGGGACACACCTCTCGATTGTATGAATGACACGAATGACATGTGTTAGGTTAAGGCCGCTTCAAATTTTCCTAAGCAGGTAGTCCGTCTCAAATCACAATCTGTATTTCCCACTACCTTGCGTGTATGCCTACGTTTTTAAGAAGTAGAAGAAAAGAAAAAAAAGAGGCAGCTGATCCAAACCTAGAAATCGGCGTAGGAAAAGGCCGAGGGGAAGGAAGATGTTCCTAGCTTCGAAAGGAAGATGAGACCACCCATTTTGCGGTGGCCACATACACACGCGCACATGCCACACGCATACCGCTCGCCAGATTGAGTGAAGCACATGATATCGATATTTATCTTTCTTTGCCCAACTCCAAAATCGAAAACTATCAAGGTAGTAGAAGAAAAACGCATGCGAAGGGAAGAAAGCGCGTTTGTTCCTCCCTAATTCGGTCAGCTAGCCTCCATCGACGAGTGCTGGCCCACTCTTCAGCATTTTGATAAGAAGAAAAAACGACAAAAAGTCAGTGGAAAAAAAAAAAAAAGTTTCATAGAAACGTCCACTTTGGTATCAATGGTTTCTCCGGTTTGCCTCCGACTCCGTAACGTAAATTTGTTTTGTTTCTCGCTTCAGTTTTCATCAAACGTCCCGTCATAGTCTTCTCCTCAACGTGACGGGCCCTCGATCGGGCTCGTGGGCAAGCTGCGGATCCCGCTGAGATCTGTGCTTCCCGTGCGCCTGAGCGCTTGCGACATCGTCTCAATATTGAGCTCGCCACTCATGTTGAGGTTGTGATGGGACGAAATTGGGCTGCCAAGAGATTTGCGCCCGGGGGACATTTCCAATCCCTTTACGGACGCGGGGTTGCTTGTCGGCGGCGAGGTGCCCGGTCCCTGAGAAGAGACGGGTGATCGGATGGGCGAGGGCGAGCGGGCGTTGATGGACGAGAGGGACGTCAGCCCAGCAACGTGGATGGAGTCGCGCGAACCTGCTGCGCCGCTGTGGCCGCCCTGCTCGGCCTGCACAACGTCAGCGAAAGAGATGAAGCTCAATCTGCGCACGTCGGCGTTATCGAGCGCATTGAAGTTGGAAGCATCTTCGCGATCCGCAAACGCACGGAGCTCATCGGTCCATGATGCGGCCATGGAGTCGGGAGGGTGGGGTGTTCCATTTCCGTTGGCGCCGGTGACAGCTGCTGCAGCTGGTTGATGCTGGGAGTGGGTGACGATCTCGACGCTGTCCGGATCAAGGTGGTCGTCCGTAATGGCTTCGGATGATGCATCCAGAACGGGAGGGATGTGGTTTTCGGTCTGGATATGTGACGGAATGGCAGGCGATTGGGGCTTGATTGACATATTGTCGACATCTCGCTCAAAGATCTGAGAGCCCGCCGGGGATGGCACTCGCGGGGATGTAGACATTCCGCGGCTCGGCGAAGAAGGATGCACGTAAGGCGATGTCGTAGAACGAGCTGATGCTCTCGAGGTGTCCCGTGTTAGGGAGGGGTTGCTGGTGACGGCCGGCGCGGGCGTGGCCGACGATGAAGACTTGTTGGAGACATTTGATTCTTCCTTCTTCTTGCCGAGTCCGAACAATCCGCGCACCTTGTTCTTCACGTCCTTCTTTGTGTTGTCCGTCTGGGGCTCATTGTGGCTCGAGGCGCGGGGTGTCGCATCGCCGCTTGTGCTGCCGGCCATGGTGTGAGCGACGGCGGTTGGGTGCGGTACAGCCGTCTCAGCGACGTTGAGGGGGTTTGCCTCGACTAGGCTCATCGTGATATGGTACAGGGTTGTTCGAGTAGTTGGTGGGGGTGATTTTGGTGTTTGCGAGGTAGTATGCAGACGGAATTGCTGATACAATAGTATTGGGTGGTTTCTGTGGGAAAAGGGACCAAGAGTTAATGGAATGTCTTTCTTCAACAAGCAGGGACCCTGAGATTGACGTGATGTTATGTAGGCCCAGGAAGAAGAGAGGGGGAGGGGACGTGGATAAACGAAGTCTGGGAAAACAGGTGGTGGGGGGACAAATAGATTGGCTTTTGGTGACCCTGTGACCTTGACGTATATTCCCGCGATTCGCCCTTTTCGGGGTCACTGCAAGGGAAGGGGAAAGTGGAAGGGGGTGCAAGTGTGCGAGTGCGGTGATTGATTGTCACAGGAAGCGTCCAGTCGGCAAGGCAGAAAACCAGCAGCGCATCGGTAGCAGCAAGCAAGCAATACATGCGCACGCCGTCCGCAGCAGGTAGCAGCGCCGCCGACGGAGAGGCCCCCGGCAAAGACACCAAGAAATATTCTTTTTTTGCCTGAACGGTACAAAGTACATGGATGGGGATGGGTATGGGGGGTGGGCATGGGATATCCGAAGGGTAGGATAATAGTATCGAGATGTACATACCAGAACGGTTCAGTAGCAGAGCAGCGGAACACCAAGGGAGAAGAAGCGAGAATGTGCGCAGTTTCCCCTGCGTGCAGAACTCGGGGAATGGAAGCGGACTAGCCGTTGAAAATCGAGAGCGATGGAGTAATGGGATGATTTACACGGAACGGTGATAGTCTTTTTTGGGGTTGATGGCGTTGTTGAAGGACACACAGTCAGGTGTCGTCGTCCGTCTTGGTCTTGTGTCTTGGTCCCTTTTTGGATCGTCTGCCGCTTGCTGGGTCACTTTTTTTTTTTCTCTTAGTCGCAGAGACGATGGAGAGACAAGTAGAAAGAGGGGGATGACCGAATCGCTTTTCTGCCGCAGGCACGCAGACAAAAAGATGCAGAATGCAGCCAGTAGTCTCGTTCGAATATTGGCGCTCGATAAAAACGGCCTCGAGAAGCGGTCCCTGACTGACGAGCGAGGAAGCTGGGGGGGAGAGAAAGGCGGGAGCGTGTGACGCAACAGGTCCAGACGACGAGCAAGCGGATTGGCGGTTTCCGACGCAGTAACAATATTACCCCTGCTGCAGGAGCCTTGTGGTGCTGATCTGTAAGAGAGGCCCAGGCCTGGGTCTGCTGTGCCTTGCTTGTGGTGATTGGAGACCTGGAGAAGCTCCGTAAGAGACAAATTCGGTTGGATAAGGTAGATGGGTTGGTCCAGTTATTTTATTTGGCGGATTGCGGGTGCGTTGCCGTTGCTGGTAGATGCGTGCAAGACAATGGACGGGAGAAGAATGAGGTGGGATCAAGAGTGCTGGATGCAGCAGATGCAACGGTAAGGTACGGATTCACAGAATTTGTTTGGAAGCGTTGGGAAATGCAAATTTGGGAGCGAAAAGGGAAGAACAGAATGGGGAAGAGGCAGCTATTATCGACTGTCAGGAGCATTCGCGTCGCTTTCTCGGCAGTCAGCAGATTATGTTTTTTTTTTTCGGTCCATTTACACTAATTGCTGTGTATACGTAAGGTAAGGAAAATATGGACAAGTAGGTAGGACGGGATACTTTCGCTTTCCTTCCTTTCCTCGCTCCCGCCCATGGTCCTTTTTTGTTTCCTGCCCAACCCAACGCTGCTCCGTCAGCTAAGAGAAACTAAACGTTCCCACCAACATCAAAGGGGAACGGTCACCCGTCAGTCACCCGTCAACAACGCCCACGACGAATTCCTTTAGCAGCTTGTGCGGCGTGTCCAGAAAAGGGGTGTCCCCGTCACGTTCCCACGTCGCAACGTACGTCTACCTACGTCGCCCGTCGCCCGCCCCGTATCTTCCCAACGTTGTTTAGAGTTTTTGCATTGACGTGATGCCGCGCCGAAGGAAGTTGCTGCGGGTGACATGTCTGGCCCCCCTTCCTTCTCCCGTCACACTCACCACTGGGAATCCTACAAAGTACCTTACACTACGAAGTACACGGATTTCTACCCAAGTCTTCACCCAAGTATCTCCCCACTATAGCTTGCAAGGCGAGATACCGCGAGCCTCACTGTGTCTATGCATTGTGCCCTTACCTCACTCTGTTACCTACTCTCGTGCCGCTTATCCAGAATGACGATGACAAACCACCAGCCCAAGGTAAGGTACCTAAGGTACGACAGAGTCTTCGCAGAGCCCGATATCTCATCGACGAACCGAACGCGATCTCATCTCGCCGCTCATCTCTGTTACCGGCAGTAGTGTAGCCCAGGCATCGCGTCACGTCTTTTCCCAAGTAGTCCCCCGTCCTAGGCTTTCTTGGTTTAGGCCCAGATTAAGAAAAGAAATCCTCCGTTAGTCCCCCCGTTGACTTCCGCAGCCTCCGGTGGCTCCTCGACCGGCGTCAGGGGGAATCTGACTAGGCATTCGTATGATATTCGAGCTGTCGAAACTCTGTTCGGACACATCCCCGTTGGCCTTGGGAGTATCATCGAATGCCATTTCCCCCCCTTCCTCGGCCGGCTGTGCGAGAGCGCGAGCCGATCGGCCGCCGTAATTACTTCGCGTCTTGGGCGCAATTAGTCCTACAAGCGACGATTACGTTGAAATGGATACGCGGGGAAAACGAAGATGACCGTCGACCGACCGCCTGGCGTTCCTTTGGCGTGTCTCGAGTTCGAGTTGGGATTACATGGGCTGACCGTCCGTGTGTTTCGTCCGTCCGCATCCAATCTGCAATCTGTTTGGGACATGACTTTCTCGTAGCTTTCTTTTCCTCTCTCTTCTTACTGTTAATCTCAGACGCGTTCTATGAGAGCTCATTTCCCTTCTTCCACCTGACCTGAACTCGGGATGCGACCCGTTGACTTTCGTGTCGTCTTCCAAGTTACCCGATTCGGACGCATCGCCAAGTCTTCCCCTCTGCCTTTAGTCAACTTTCGGTATCCGTAGGGACAGCTCAGCCTAATCTCGACCCCGGACCCCTTCTCTTCCATTTCACAATGCAGCAAGCAGTACGGATAGCAACTGGAGATTCAATGTCTTAGACCCCTTAATGGGAACTTTCCTGGTCTCGGTTTCTCTCGGGGAGTTGTTATATGTGTCAAGCCCCGTTATGATCCCCATCATCAGTCAATCCCCTTCCCGCGTTGTCTTTGACGTCAAGTCGGTGATTGGGCAATAGTAGCTCCATCCCTGAATCTATAGCAGAGTCAGTTGACTCGCGCACTTCTCTTGAGCATACCCAAGTGTCACAGCCCATGAACCTCCCGGAGATTCCCCCCGTCTGAAGTAAAGCTACGGATACTCACCGACCACCGAGCTCCCTAGTATCCTTGTCCCCTCGCTCTCTCTTGAGTCTTCTTTGCTGTTGTATCCGAAAACGCTGACCACTCTAGATCCTGGAAGGGGGGTTGTTTGATAGCTGATGGAACATGGCCGAAGAAACGAAGAGGATCGCCCCTCTTCCCTGTTCAGACGAAAAAAATAGGGACTCGGGAAGCATGCAACAGAGAGGAGTCAGAAGACACCTAGGTTCTGGCGTTCTTGGTTCTTGGTTCTGAGTTCTGCCAACATTGAGGTACCTATCCTCCCCCCCCCCCCCCCCCAAAAAGTTCCTTTTCATTCCCTGTTTTTGGCTTCAACTTGCTAGATCCTTTCCCCCATCCAGCACACTCTCCACCCTCCCACGTCGTCAGCCTCGGTCCCGGCCTTCTTTCTTCTTTGACATGTTCGTTCCCCACGGGCTCTACTGCCTTCATCAATGATCTCCATCACATTTGAGGGGTTTAGAAGAAAGAATTAAACTCGCAGGGCACCCCGTAACCGAGTCTTGTCACTGGGCCAGCCCGTGACTTATTCCCTCAGTAAGAAGAGATCTTCCAAAAAGCGGTCATGACAAACGTAGACGACATGCCAAACGCATAATGAAAAGGATCCTCTTCTGCCGCCTTGTTCTCACTTACCGCCCACTCCTCAGCAACAAGGACCCCTCTTTGTCTTCTATCGAGGTGAAGACCCTCCTGCGCCGGCAAGACACAAATCCCTGCGTAAATCGGGCTTCCCGCCTGCTTTACACAGTAGTCCCTTGGGAAACCGGGCCCCATGGAAAGCACGTCACTGTCAATTCTGCATAAACAACACCAATGCGTAGAATGACAGTAGAGTCTTTCCAACAACTTCTGTTGAGAAATATGTCAACACGTACTGTTGCGGAAAATAACGCATTGCAATGATGCCTTCTCTTCCTTGGTACGGAGCATTTCTTGAGGGAAAAACGCTACCCTGCGTAACAAACTCCCTTGGCGGATCAGATGCTCTCAACAGCAACAACAGGGCACAAGGAAAATGTAGCAAAAACCGACGGAAGCAGCAACCATTGCCGCGCCGCGGTTGCGAGATGCTTTTCCCGAAACCACAAAGTTATCTATCATGTTTTGTTTGTGTTGAACCTTCTTTTTGCTCTTTTTCGCCTTTCCACCTTTCACTGTAGCAATCGAAAGCGAGGATCGGGGGAGGTAGGAAGTAATGCGGGAGGTAAAAGGGGCGGCCCCCGGAAGCTTCGCAGACGTCACCGGCGACGCTGCGCTGGCAGAAAAAGCCAAGGTAACCTTGATCCAATCAGTCCCACTTCCTCGGACCAGCCCGTTTTCCATGGTACCGGTATCTTGTCTGTTGGATGTCTTACACGTGACCTATCATGTGATTCTATCGATAGAAAACTGTCCCTTTCCAACCTCATGCCTCAGGCGCGCACTTGGAAATAGCAAGGCAACAACCGTTTTGTTACCTAATCAGTTGAGCATCCCTTTCGGGACAGCTCGCTCCACAAGCCTTACCTAAGCCAAATTTCCAATCGGCTGCTCGAAAAACTTCAGATCATCGCCTCAGGGTCTCCCGTACAGCATCGCGAAAGAGCTTCCCCTGTTGCACGCGACCAACTCATCAAAGCCTCTCCCCCCAACGCCGCAGTCGACCCATTCGAGACTCTACACCGAAGCGACGCTGGCCGTGCTGTCACTCCTTCCCAAGAAAACCATTCAATTGGCCATCTCAAGCTCCTAACCGGCGTTCTCGAAGAAGACAAAAGAGAGACCACGATCATCACGAAACGCGGAAACTATTTCAAAAGCTTCATCACAACCTACAACCCCAAAAATGGAGGCCAGGACATTAACCAGACCAGCCGCCACGCTGGCATCCCTCCTCCGCCAACAACCAACCACCACTACCGTCCCCCGACGAGGCCACAAGACCTTCTCCCGCACAAAGCGCGCCCTCAACATCCCTCCCCACCCCAACTTCCTGCCCTCGACCCCAGCCGCCGGCGACACAATCATCTACAACCCGCCCTCCGCCGCCCCCTCCGTCTACCACACCCCCTTCAAGTTCCTCCCGGCCACCGACCCCCGCCGCCGCGCAAACCTCTCCACCCTCTTCGCCTCATCACAACCCTCCTCCTCAAATTCAACAGCGGCGACATCCTCCCCCCTCCCCCCAGCCCTCAACGTCCCCTCCCGCGGCGCCACCCCGCGCTACCACCTCTCCAAGGACGACGTCGCCGAGATCCGCAAGCTCCGCGCCCAAGACCCGGATTTCTGGTCCGTCTCGGCCCTCGCGCGCAAGTTCGACTGCTCCGAGACCTTCATCACCATCTGCACCCCCGCGCCCCGCGAACACACGGAGCGTCTCGCGCGCAAGCTCGAGGCCATCAAGGGCCGATGGGGTGGTATCCGTACAAAGGCCCGCGAGGACCGCTCGCGCAGAAAGGAGATGCTCTTCCGGGGTGAGCTGTAATTTAAAGTCACCAGCAGCAGACGCAAAAACAAAAAAGAGCTACTCGAGGCGGGGAAAAAAAAATCAACCCCCATGTGGACGGGGTTTTGGGGCGGCTTGGGACGGAACGCCTGAGTTTCTGTTACTGTACTTGTGGCGATGGAGATGAGCATTGGGGGAAGAAATTGCTGTTCCGAGGCAGCCGTGCTGAAAGCAAGGTTCTCTGTATCACCAAGGGAGAAGAGAAGGGGGCAGGCCAGGAGGGGTGGCATTTTGCACTCTATTCTCTGTACCATCAAAACCATTAGGAGGGAGTGTCACAAAATCGGCTGGGAGACATGTAGGATAGAGGCAGGTCACCATATGCAGTGACCGAAAAAAACTCCCAACCAATCTGTACAATGAGAGAGCGATGAAAAGATAAAAAGGCCATAGAAACTCGTGTATAATTCTTCTACCCATCTTCGCCCATCATACGACGTGTCTTTATTACTGAGTCGGTCGTTAAACCTCTAGCCGTAGCTTACGTCTTGATGATGCTGTCTTCCTCTCTCCAAGTATCAATACTCCATGTCCCCGGACTGTCGTTCACAGCGAGGCATGGATAAGCATCTTCAGTCCTGATTGGCACTAGATCAAAAAAGAGTTTAACACCGGTGAGGCTACATCTCTTGGTGCTCATGCTGGAATTCGAACTCGGGTACCCGTCAAGCCTGTCATCGAGTAGGCTGGCTGGCGTATGAAACTTGATCGTTGACCGTTAACCATTCCACCTGGCCAGTTTGTCCTGACCCGTCGACCTAGACGGGCGCCTGCTGGTGACAGTGATGGACTTGGAGGGGCATATGAGGGCTTGGTTCTTGTGTGTATTTCCCTGTGTATTCAGGCGGAAGGTACGACAATGGCACTATTGAACTTTTTCTATCCCTCTTTGCCCGGCTAGCTCTTCACCCGTCTTAGGCCAAGCTCGCCAACTCAGTTACAAGGTCAAATCCATTCCTGCCTCGAGGCAGATTCCCCGATAGTTCCCATACTATCGCGTATCAAAAAGTGTCATCAAATCATTAAAGAAGGAAATATCCCAAATACGCCAGTCCTCAAAGCTGACGCATCTTTACGCCCGCCTTGTCCAAATCAGGTTCACCGGGAATGACTCTGTAGCACCAGCCGCACCAACTCCTCCTAATGCCCTTCACTTCTCTTCCGAGGATATTGTGATGACTCTTCTCGTCATCCCACTCGGGCACGCAGGCACCAACTCTCACCATGCGGACTAACTTGGTCTTCACGACGCCTCCGATCCCCTCAATCTCGTGCCTCTCGTACCCGGGGCCGAGCTGGGGACTCGGCGTGCGCTCATATCGCACGGTGTCGAGGTGTACCTGGTCCGTGGCCGTCCATAGGTTGGCGCCAGTGACGGCGGCATCCTCGGCATCACAGTCGGTCTCATTCTCGCGTTCCTTGGCGCCAGCGCAAGCAGTCTCGCGGCCGCAGATGACGCCGCGGTCGCCCTCGCCGATGCCTGTTCCCAGGCCGCCGAGGACTTCTCCATAATGAGCACGCCATTTCCAAATACTGCAGCAGAGGGTCAAAGTTAGCAAGGACACATCTTGGGGCCTGAGCCAAGTAAGGAGCAGAGAATAGGTACCGCTGGTAGTCGTGATCGGCCCCGCGCATGCTTCGCCCACAGGGCTGGCACAGCCAGACGCCATCGACGTCGCATCGGCAAATCTCTCGTCGCACGGCGTCGTCGAGCAGAGGTGTTTCTGGCTCCAACGCGTGACTGACGAGAGATGCGATGGGGGCCTTTGTGCAGGCCTTGCACAGTCTACGATGTCGCTCACGAAGAGCGTTGTGTGCTGGCGGCTTGATAGCGCAGTTCTGTTTACAAGTGTCAGCAATCAACTTTACTTGGCAATCTCTATATCCTCCCCGGCCATTGCGTCAATGCTCCTGGTGCCCCTTCCCACCCTTTCACGTCTGTAATGGGATCGCTTCTCGGTGGGATGGGGCCAAGAGCATGCGGCAAGGCATAGGACGGCATACCCTGCACACGACGGTCCTGCACCTCCGACACTCCGTCACCAGGTCTCGGGCACAGCTGCCGCTCTTGCCGTTGTAGTTCCGGCCATCTTCCATGTAATACCAGTTGCCGGCCCTCGCACGAAAGCGGAACGTAGACTCTGGGTCGACGGGGGCGGCCTCGTTAGAGCAGTGTAGCGTCGAAGAAATGAGAATAGAGCGGTATTGCAGCAGACCCTGGCGGACCTGGCGCGAGGTGCGGGCGAGACTGTCAAGGGTGTTGAGATCGATATGTTCAGCTATTGACATGACGATGCTGCGGAACGGAAGGCATGGTGTCAGTCACGATGTTCCGCTGCCATACGCGCGTGATGCTAGGGGGGGTAAACGGAGCTTACGGATAGCAGCCAAAAGACTCAGTAGCAGCACTCTGAAATGTCGGTGTTGGCTCTGATACAGGAGCTGGTGTCACCAACGAAACTGTGGCAATCGCCGGCTTCTCAAGCATGTGCTCGAGCTCGCGGCTGCTTGATTCCAATGCATCAGTCGCGACAGCAGCAGCTGTTGCTAGGCGGCGTGCCTCGAGAACGTGAAGGGGCTCCATGTCCTCGTCGTCTAGATCAACAAAGACGACCATGGTGGGCGAGCCGTCGCCTAGGCGGGCAAAGGACCTATATGATTGATTTCAACTGTTGAGCAAAAAGCTCAAGCTTGCGTCGCTGCCGATCTTGACTCGGTTCCTGAGACCCGAGCCGAGCTGAGCTGTTGTGATGGATGGGCGGGGTGGGGTTGGAGAATCCCCCGATGCCGCAGCTTTGGCTTCGTTCCTGACCGGGGGGCCAGATGATGACGCAAGGTAGATCTTGGTAGATCTTGTGGATACAAAAAGGAGAAGACGGTGCAAGCAAGTAGATATGGATCAAGATTAGTGAATGGAAGGAAACTAGACAATAAGGACGTTGATTCTCGGTTCCATCGCAAGTTAACGATGTCGAAAAGATGGCACCGAAACGGCAGGTGATGGAGGGATGATGTTGGAGACTGCCAGGGGTGGGGGGTTGAGGATGGGGATGGGGAAAGGGAGGGTCACAGACATTGGCCCAGCTGGGAAGGTCTGGGCCAGGTGAGATCAGCACAGTAAGGCACAAGACCTCGGATGGAAGAACACCTGGACCACACTGCTACTTCTATCACCAACACACATGACAACGACACCAAACCAATTTAGATTCAAACAAGAGCTCGAAATAAAAGCCTCAAACCATGGATCGAGTACCATCGCCGTGTAATCCCAGCCGACAGTACAAACGTCGCACAAGCTCAAACGAAGCACATGCGCTGGAGACGACGACATGTACCTCTCAGTTCGCACTATCCGGGACGCCGTCGTGTTAGTTGGAGCGCCCTGTGGCTCGGGTCACACGCAAGCTTCGGCGGTCGCCTGTGCTCGAGGCATTGGCCGAAGCGCACACTGTGCCCTTTAGAAACGTCTAACGCACAGGTTGCGTGCTTCCCATCCACTTGGCGGCGGGGCATCCCCCGAAATCCGGAGGCCGTTACCCCACACCGAGCGCTCGACTACCGAGCCCGTCTTCGGCGATGGCCAGCCCTTCAAATTCTGTTAGCTAATATCCCCGATATCCCGAAAGGAACGCTCTGGCTCATATATTTTGCAGTGAAATCAATGAGTATTGCCCTTTCTGTCAATTACGTTCCTTTTCTGGGGTTAACTTTATTTCGACTCCTTTTTACCACAATCAACCGGCCCGGTTCCTGCTTCCGAGCTTTCGCGGAGCTCCGGGCCGAGTCTCTGCACCGGGCCGGTGACCTGTCTCCACTCACGACCGCAATTCAGTCAGAGTTGACCCCGAAGATGGCTCCAATCGCTACCGTCCGCCAGCATTTGGGCCACCAGAAACTAAGGTAAAAGTCTTCTTCTTTTGAATTGGATTGGCCCTCTTCCTATCATACAAAGAAGGATCTCAAGTGATGAAGAAGAAAGGTGTTTGCTGGCCTCCGTTTGAGTTCAAGCTCCACCAAATTGAACGACGAACTCATCAACATCAGCCATTAAGCAGCTCAAGGTACTGCTAGCGCTTGGGGTGCTGTGATATCACTCTATGAGATGTGAGGTAAATCAGAAGAGGAATTCCAACTGAGTGGACCGGCTCAGAAACATACCTGCCTTTTCAGAATGAAGTGAGATTGTAAGACCATTCACCAGATGCTTCGTAATTCTCAGAATCATCGACTGCACTCTCAACCATGCTGGATAGCATGCATCAGCTGATCGATACCACTAAATTTTCGGATGCACCGATGTAGAACTTAGCAAACTTGTCAACTCAGGGACTAAGGCGAACTGAACAGTAGTCACCATCGACGACAGGCTTGTCGACGGCAAATGACAACCAGTCCATTTGCAGTAGTAAGCGACTAATCCGGTTAGCTATTGGTCTTTCAGCATTTAGCGGATTCCATTCGCGCCATGGAATGCTGTTGCCAAGCCCAGTCGATTCCATTCCGTAACTTGACCTTGTTCTCCCTAAAATAGAAGGTGAAAGAGCAATGATAAATTGGAATAAAAAACAAAAACGAAGAAGACGGTTGTGGAATTCAAACTCACAAACTACAGTCCGGTGAACTTGCACTCAGGATTGGCGTATCACTATCTTAAGCTTCCGGACAACGTTCCCTTTATTGCTGGTGAGGGCGGATGAGGTGAATCAGACTATAGCCCGGCCCGCGCTGTTCCACAGTAGTGGGTGACCGCATCGCCATGATACTTCAGGCTGCGATTTAACGAATACGCATGCAAGTCATATTCAGTGCTCACAATGACAAAGCCACGATCTAAGCCCCAAATTAGCGCATCAAATGTCTCGAGGGGGTGTACAAAACACCTCAAGATCGATGATGCAACGCCGCTTAGCTATGTTCCTCAAGCAAAAAGAAAAACACCTCACCAAGAAGATAAGTGCGGCAGTTCCAGGCTCGATCGTCAAAGGGCGCAGCAGCACCACCCCGGCTCTCCCATTTATGCCGGACTTTTTACGGCAGGCTTAGGCTCTTAGTCTCGCAGATGATCTGCAGACCAGAGGCAGCATCCCTGATTCAGGCTACGGTATCGTACACAGGGCTGATGACTCTGGACCAGAAGGCCGGTTTCATGGTCTAGACGCATTCTTGTGTTGCTATATCTGACGGTGGCGGTTGCAGGATTGGGGGGGGGGTTCAGATTAGGGCGTAACCGCCCGTCTCCGGAGAGAGCGGGCGACCACAGACATTCTGGAGGCGGTATTTCCACCCTCAGGATGGCTGAGCCAGTTGCCTTTAGCAATCCTGGATCATTCTCTGTGTCTCTCGCTGGGACTGCCAGGCTTGGATGAAGCATAGCTTGTCAGAGGGCTCGCCGTGGGCTCATCCTAAGCACAAGTGACAGCCTCTTTCCTTGATGGTCCTCGATCTAGTACCGTTCTCGCTGCGCGCCTTGCGAGGCAGGATCCGTTCTGGTCAGTTTCCAGTCCTGACTGGATGTTCTTGGGGCATCTAGCAGAGTCAATGACTCTTAGTGACAGCCTGACAGACGAGTACCTTGTTTGCGAGGACCACGACTAGACCAAGAAGGAGAAAGTAGACCATCCACAAAGGCCCGCTCGCCAAGGGTAGCCGTTCACCGTCAAGGTCGCATTAGAGCAAACACGGCGATTCATCATCGATCCGTCGAGCTAGACTACTAGAGACAAAGGCCAAGAAGTCAGATTCGTAGTTCGACATATCGCGGAGGCCGAGAAGAGTCTATACCGCAGAGTGAACAGGTTGCCGATTCTGGGATGATGCTACAAGAGCAGTCTCATCCAAAGACGCGTGTGGCCCCTCTGCAATTTTAAACAATCAAGAGTGTTGGTAGGGTAGTCAGGGGACTAGAGGGGGAGGAAAAGGACCGCCGAAACCGAGGAGGGGATGCGGCGGCGGCGGGGGACCAGCCAGCCAGCGATCTCCCGCATGGGTCGCACAAGCCAGACCTTATTCATGGTTTGACGTGTCCGCGGGATCGACGAGCGGACCATGGTGATCAGCACAAATATGCGAGTGAGCGAGCGCCCGGCGGGCGGACGAACCACGGTAGTGGTGATGCATTAAAGGTTGCAGTGAAGAATCTCCGAAGGCTGTCGTGAGTTGACTGCCCGGGGGAGGATGGGTCTGAGAGCTATAATAGATGCGACTCTGCTCTGCTATTCATCTGTCGGCACATGCGAGGCTCCCAACGCTCCCCGTCGTGTGGTTGTCGTTATGTCATCGGGCCAAAGGTTGACAGGAGATGGGTCGTCAAGGGGAGGGGGGAGAAAGGCTGTAGTGTAAGTGAAGAGAAATAGAGTGATCCACAGTCGTCCCAAGTCTGCACGAAAGAAGCCTCCTGTAATTAGCCTTCGTGAAACCAGAGCAGGGGTGCCAGGTCTGGGGCGTTGGACGACATGACATCAGATGGAAGACTCAGGTGTGAGTGGGTGTAGTTCATGAAGGAAAGGAATGGGAAGAGGTGTGCGAACAAACAATCAAGAGACTGGCTGCACGTGATCTGGAGTCTTTTTCGTGAAAACAGTGTAGGACAGTCTCCAGACGAGGGGTGAAGCCTGAAGATGTCGTAGGGGTGAAGTTGATGGAGGGTGGAAACACTATGAAAGTTGATTGGATGAGTGGAGAATCCTCAGAGTCCAGAAGCCCTGGAATTCACAAGGAGTATCGGGTCAGGGACGAGAAGCCATAGTCTACGGGTGAAATTCAGGTACCCGAAGGAATACAGAAAGGGGAGTTGGAGTTGGGACGAGGCTGAGTCTTTCCTCTTTGGAAAATCAGCTGAAACAGGAACAACCAGGTCCAGGGGGAGAAGCGTGTTTGGGATGAATTTGGCGTGGATGCCACTGGGTGTCACTGGAGGTCCGTCGACGGGGGTAGCCACGGGTCCCAGGAGAAAGGCGCTGGCATCTTCAAACGGCCAAGTGGGACTAAGCCGCAACATTATATAAGCAGCACCGGACATATGCCCCTCCCGATTGGCTGTAATTCTCCGATGACCACGGCGGCCAGGTCCGATTGATCCTCGACCCCCCGCGAAAATCATGCGCTATCGCCGCCATCCCTTCCCCCCCCGATTGCCCCGATTCTCTCCCCCCGTCCCTTCCTAGCGCCGCTCCCGACTCCATTCCATCCAACGTCCCCCTTCTTCTGGGCACTCAAAGTGAACCTCAACTTCCTCCACCGACTTGCCCCTGAGCCTCCATTCAACATCTCCTTCAACCAAGCTGGTTCCCTGAACCGACCAAGCGAGCGGTTCTTCTTTTCAAGCTTGATGCTATTGGATTAGAACATCGGACGGCGAGCAGATTTCGATATCGCCTGGTCTTATTCCTTCCCCCTTACGGACAACACCCCTGAACAAGAAGGGGTTTTTTTTTGGGGGGGGGGGGTTTTTTGCTCGAGAACCACTCCCTGAACCCGTCTTTCCATCTCCTTTGCTCTGCCCACTGTTTCTTTCACTTCAAGCTGGGGGGTTCCTGCCTTGTTTGGATGTTTAGAAATTCGAAATGTCTTCGTTTTGGGTGGGCCGAACAGACACGGCTCGGAGAAAAAACAAGAAGCAGGACGGCAGGACACAAACGGACGCTTGTAGATCACGGGAGAACTAACGGGAGATCACTTTTGCTCCTGGACATTACGCACATCACACAACAGTACAACATCATCGAGTGATGAAGATTTGGATCTACACGTACCGTTGCATTCTTGAACAACATCTCCTCACCTTCTAATGTTCCCATGAACTTAGTTATTGAGCTCCGCTCTTTCACAACCGCTTCTGCAGAGAAGACGCGCATGCCTTAACAGTCTTAAGGTGTGATATAGGCTGTAACCTTCGGCCGAATCATCCTATTATGCACATCACCTCCGTCCAGAGCCCACAGACGTCGACGCCTAACCCCCGGCCATCCCACCAGCTATCCCCCGTCATCCCGGCATGGCATCACGGCCTTCACGTCGCTTCTTAGCAAACATCCAACGCCGCCCAGCCCGTCCACCTACGGATACTCCTCCCAGCATGGTGGTGGTGATCCTCCACAGGGTAAATACTCCGTGGACAAATACTCCATTCGCGCCCCGGCAAAGAGCCCTCCTCCACTCCCCTCCACCCCGCGGGCCTGCCCCTCTCTTGGAATCGTAAACACCAGACGACGGTTAAGCTCAACCCCTACCCTGGCCCCGCAGACAACCCGCTCTTCGACCGAACGTCTCACGATGTCTAACCCAAAGCGATGGCGAAGCCGTACTACCGTCAGGCTAGCTCCAGTCTGGTTCAGGAGGCGTAGGTGAGGTGAGGTATCCGTACTGGATAACCCCATCTATGACAGTTCGAGAGCAACCCTGGTCCCCAGGAAGGAAGAGCAAGCATCCATCTGGACTAACATGGCTCCTGGAGAGGTGGGAGGCAAGAGGCAAGAAAGAATGTTTAAAGAAGGGCTCGTTTCCTGTCTTTGGAACGGGATTCTTGTTTCTCACCAGCCTCATCGCTCTGCATTCTTTGGTGATTCCTTTGCCAGTTTCTTTCTTTTCGCTACCTTCTTTTCCAACAGCATCCTGTCATTCTCTTCTCGGTGCTAGTCGCCCATCTCCCTTGAAGGGCCTTGCTTCAGTCCATTCCTTCATCACCAACGATCCAAACGAAACCAATCACGACTCCATCCAACTTGAAAACACTTTAGCAATCCGCTAGCTTCACGATCCTTTCAGCAGACAACATGTTGCTCAAGTCAGCTGCCCTCGTCTGCCTCCTCGCCGAGCTCGGTCTCGCGCGCCACCACCAGCACCCCAACAAGCGCCAGGTCGAGCCCTCCCCGATCCTGTCGAGCATCAGCATCCCGCCCCCTCCCCCTCGACGGGAACTGGCGCCGCCGGCGCTGCTCCCGGCACTGGTGGCCCAACGGGAATCTTCCTCAACACCTCGATCCCCGTCGCCACCCCGCAGGTCTCGACCCTTACCGAGGTCGCCACCGTCACCTCCACCCTCGAGAACAACTCGACCGTCACCGAGGTCATCACCACCGAGCGCACCGTCACCGCCTCCGCCCCCGCCGTCATCCAGCAGCCCCAGATCATCATCATCTCCCAGGTTACCTTCTTCCAGTTCATCTCCGCCCTCGGTGGCGCCCCGCCCGCCGTCCAGCAGGGCGACCAGGGCGGCTTCGTCGTTGGCGGCCAGCAGTTTGGCCAGTTCCAGTCCGCCTGCAGTGCCGCCTGCGGTATGCAGTTCACCCAGTGCCAGAGCATCGCCGGCCAGAACTTTGCCATCTCCCAGTGCCAGACCCAACTCGTCAACTGCCAGAACGCAGCAAAGACCGCCACCGTCACCGTCTCCGTGCCCGTGACCGTCACCCAGACCGTCATCCTCCCCAGTGGCCCCGTCTCTGGAGGAAGCAGCCTGCCCTCCGCTACGCTCGAGAACGGTGGCTCCGTCATCGCGACTACCACTCTTCCTCCTGACTCTGGCGCCACCATCGGATCCGGAGGCGTCAGCTTCGTCACCGTTCCCGCTACCCCCGCTGCTCCTCCCTCCCAGACGCCCGCTGCCCCTGAGACCCAGGTCTTGACCACCACACTCCCGGCCAACCCCGACTCGCCCTCCGGCTCCCCCATCGTCTCGGTGATCACCATCACCCGCCAGCCCGGATCTGAGCCCTCTGCCACCGGCGGTGCCTCTGAGCAAGCCGGCTCAGTCGAGACCTCCGCAGTTGTGTCCACCCTTCCTCCCGTTTCTGAGGGCGGTGCCCCTGTCGTTTCCACCATTTACATCACCAAGACTGGCGGCGTTCCCGTTGCTTCCGGTACGGCTGTCAGCTCCGTCGATGCCATTGCAAGCGGCTCCGTCGAGACCTCCGCAGTCGTGTCCACTCTTCCTCCCAAGTCCGAGGGCGGCGCACCCATCGTCTCGACAATCTACATCACCAGAACTGGTGGCGGCGACGTCCCCGCTGCTTCTGGCACAACGGTCAGCTCCGCCGATGCCGTCGCCTCCTCCGCCGTGATCACCACTCTCCCCGCCCAGTCTGAAGGAGGCCAGCCCATCGTGTCCACAATCTACGTCACCGCTCAGCCTCCCGCCCCCTCCAACGAGCCCGGCGCCTCCGGACAAGGCGGCGAAGTCGTCACCTCCGCCATCGAGACCACCCTCCCTCCCCAGAGCGAAGGCGGCTCCGCCATCATCAGCACCGTCTACGTGACCGCAACCGTCTCAGGAGGTGTCCCCGTCGCCTCCGGCACGGCCGTCAGCTCCGTCGACGCAGTCGCCAGCTCATCCGCCGTCGTGACGACCCTGCCCGCTCAATCTGAGGGAGGCCAGCCCATCGTCTCAACCATCTACGTCACCGCGCAACCCCCTCAGCCCACCAACGGCGGCAACGGCAACGAGGGTGGCGCGGCCTCAGAGCAAGGCGGTGAAGTCGTCACCTCAGCCGTCGAGACCACCCTCCCTCCCCAGAGCGCCGGCGGCTCAGCGATCATCAGCACAGTCTACGTGACCGCCACAATCCCCGCGGCCTCCGCCTCCGCCTCCGGTGCCGCCTCCGCTTCAGCATCCATCTCCCGCCCAGCTGAGCCCCCCAGACCCAACGAGCCCAAGACCTCCGTCATCACAATGACCCTCGCCCCTCCCTCCGGCTCCCCCGTCATCTCCCTCGTCACAGTCACAATTCAGCCCACCGCAGGCCCCTCCGGCTCCGGCTCTCCCCCAGCCCAGACCGAGGTTGTCACCTCCGCCCTGACATCCACCATCCCCGCCGAGGGTACAACCCCGCCCCGCGTAACAACAGTCTACGTGACCGCCCAACCCCCCGCCCCAACCTCCGCCCCCGCCCCTCCCCGTGTCGTCACAGTCACAGTCGGCTCCCTCACTGGCGTGGTCACAATCAGCGACGCAGCGAGCTCCGCCTCCGGCACGACCATCGCCTCGGCTCTTCCCAGCGCCGGAGCAGGCGGCAACGGTAACACTGGCGGCAACGGAGGCAGCGGCGGCAACGGCGGGTCCAACAACGGCGGCAGCGTCGGCGACGAGAGTGGCGGAAGCTGCCCCTCGGCCTCGCCCGTCACCGTGACCGTCAGCGCGTGCCCCACCGCCCCCGTCACCTCCGTTCTGACCCAGACCGTCTCGGTTGTGCCCACATCCACCCCGGCTGCCGTCAAGCGCGCCGAGGAGGGCAAGCGCGAGGCCGTCTACCACCCCCGCCGCCACGGCCACGCCTTTGGCTTCTGGTAAATAGGAGGTGGTTGTTTGAGGAGAAGCAGAAGATGAAGAAGCAACGGTTGTGGCGGGTAAAAAGAAAGATGAGCCTGGCAGGAACGCTAGCCGCTCATCGAGTATGAACAATCCTGCCACGAATGAACCCTCTTCTCCTCTCTTCTATTCTCAGACTCACAAAACGACATCATGGGATATCAAGTCAAACCAACAAAAAAAGATGACATCGAGAAAAAAATCAAGAAAAAAATGGGCGAAAGGCAAAAAGGGTTCTGCATATGATACAGATGAGATCGATTGCCTCTCGGCAGGGACAGCTGTGCTGGGTTCTAGCCGGAGCAAACGGAAACGCAAACATTGTTTGGACGATTTTGGGTGAAAAAGGGTTTCATGGATTGGAGCAATCATTTTTGTTTTGGGTTTTTGTGTGTTTCTTCTTCTTTTTCTTGCATTGTACATTGTTCTGTCCGTTTCTAGAGTAGATAGGGCCAGGTCCCAATAACGGTCGATATCCCACGAATGTCAAAAGGATGCCACAACAGACCCATTCCAAAATTCAGCCATGCTGTGTGTGATGCGAATGAAGGTAGCAACCTTCCCTCCAAAATGCGAGTAATTGTTCTGTACTACTCATCTGATCCGCCTTCAATTGGATCGCCGTCATAGTCAGGCAGCCCTCTGATATTAGCACGTCCATCCTTGGCCTTCTTCTTTCTCGGTCTGCCCTTGGGTCTACCCCTTTTCTTGGAAATGTTGTGTACGCTCAGGGGCAAGACTGGTCCAGGGTCTCGGCTTGATGAGCTAGCTAGTCTCCCAACAAAGGTTTTGGGCTTGGCAAACCTTTGACCCACGTTTTCGCTTAACTCAGAGTCAGATGGTTGTGCAATCATCGACATAGAGTCCATAATCAGTGTTGGGGCAACTTCAGATGCTAGAGACTCTGTTCCGGCTCGTGGTTTGACTGAGTCCGAGTCTTCTGCTATGATAGAGCCTGCAATATCTGTGTCAGTGGATTGGTAGTGGCTGTACTCTGGTATACAGTCTACAAGATCTCTGCGGATAGTCATGTCTGTCTGGCCGGCTTTTGGAGAATATCTTGGCGATGACGGGATTATAACATCCCTATCTCGGCGTTGGTGCATTTCGTGAGTTGCAAGTTCTTTGGAGTCAAGGTCCGAGATGGGAGCCACAGAAGGTTGGTAGTGGTCGCTACCGGAGCTGCTTGATGGCCGTAAGTCTCGTGCAGCTTCTTTAAGCGATTCCTGGAAGGCAACGTCTTCATCGCCGTCGACATCTTCGCCGAATATGAAGCTCATCCACTCCGTATCCAAATCTACTTTTTCTGAGCTTGGCATTGGTGCAGCATGTTCAGCACCTGTATCTAGAGTTTGAGGTAGGAGCATCGGGTTTTCGACACCCTCGGGTTCTTCGTCGGCAGGTCCAATGCTTTTCTCACTTGGCTCTCGCTTTTTAAGAGTCATTTCCTCCTCGCCATCCGACTCAAACATTGACGGTAGCTGTCGAGGCTCCGTGTAATGATCGTTATCTGAGGAGGCTTCTGTACGTGCCAGGTATGCGTTCCAAGGGGAAACTCCCTTATCGCTGTCAAGGTTATTTTTCGCTCGATCAGCTGATAGAGTGGATGATCTGATTGGCAGCAGAGGTGACGAGAACTGCATTCTCTCTGCAACATTTCCTGGTTGGCCATCATGTTTGTTTGACGTGCCAAAGCTGCTGGACTGACCAGTGTGCAAGTTGTCTAGCGCCGTGTCATCACAATGAGGTCCCGGAGATGTGCTCATCGGAGGGTAGTCGAATCTTGGCCCTTTGGCTACCGAGTTTCTGGTATTGAGGATGTCGCTGACTCCGGGACTGATCTCGACGAATTTGCGACTTCCACCGGGATATTGCTCGACTGGACTTTTGGTTTGGTCCTCACCAGACTTCATCATCTTATGCCATCGCTCATTCTCACTCCATTCCGATGACGCAATTTCTTGCACTGGGTTGTGACCGACTTGACCAATGGTACTCCCGAATATTTCGGATGCTGTTTTCCCTGACCTCTCGAGCAGGACAAGCTGGCTCAGTCGTCGAGGTACAGGATGATGTACCCTCGAAGTAGATGATTCAATAAGCAATGGTCGACCTTCCTTTTGCAAACGCTCAAGTCGGGTCAGATGCCTATGTGAATTGGATGACCTTGAGGAGCTCGGAGGGTTTCCGCGGCACGCAGCACTCTGTCCGTGCTGTCGCTGTGTCGGAGATTCCCTTCTGGAAGCTGGCAGAGCTCTATAGTCATGCAATCCTGGAGGACCATCGTTCTGCGCATAATTTTGAGACGAGGATTGCCCGAAGTATTCCGACTGCCGCAGGTTTTTCAAGCTGGTCGCAGTTCGGAGAAGGCGGTTCCGAGAGCTTTTCCCCGTGATCTGACTTCCTATATCGTACCGAATATCTTCACTGCCGATTCGAATCCTGACGTCTCTGTCTCCGTCTTGCGTGCTGATGCAGCTTATAGCTTTGCCTTGTAGCGGTCTCCCTCTATTTCCATTTTGCTCCCAGAAGGGGGCAGATTGCCCCGCGGGGTGCTTGTTGCGAAAGCCCCAAACTTGGCGTTTATCTGCGCTGCTGGCACCTGAGAAATGAAGAGGCAGCGACTTTTGGACATTTATCCCAGCCCAATCGCCCTTTTGTAGCAAGCGATGCCTCTTCACATCCAAGAGCTCTGGCTCTTTGTCGGGAAGCTTTCGTTTCTTGACAGTATGCCGCAGATCAGGTTCTCGTAAAATGCCCCGATCTACTGCGAACAGGGGTTCTTTCCGCACATACTGGCGCGGCGACATTCGGGGACGGTGATCCAGAGGAACATTGTGCTGGAAGTGCGGCAAATTCTGTGACGGGACTGTCGGGAGACGCTTCACAGGATATGCCGAAGGATTGGCCTGTTGAGAGAGAAAGGAAATAGAGTCGAGAGCGGACTTGGGAGGACCATGAAATCCGGAACGAGCCTTTGCGAAATATTGTTTCTGTTTGGCGACTTCTGGTTTCCAGCCCTTCCCCCGAGAATGTCGAGCCAAGGCCCCTTCTGTCCAGTTCATGGTACGAAGACGGCGGGAGAAGATGGGTTGCTGGTGTTATGGAAGAATGCTGAATTGAATCGGAACGCAGGTGGATGAAGCCAGAAATCACAGCATGGAGCCGAAATGTTGGTTTAGCATTCACTTACCTTGGCCAAAAATATCGTTGGACAAGAGCTCCAAGGGCCAAGCGCGACTGTCAAGCGCGACTTCCCAGTTTGAAAACATCTTGTATTGCTATTTCCTGAACTGATTGTACCTAGGTATACCCGTATCATGTGATATTTTGGTTTGTCGCTCCTGCCTGCAAACAAAATAGAAGGAGCACCTGCCAGCAACCCAAGACAGGAAGTCGCGATTGCAGCTGCAGTTGCTGCCTCAACGATGGAAACAACCCCTATTTTCTGGTACAGTACGAATGCAGAGGTTCCTGCCATCTACGCACTGGCGCATATCCACTCTTTCCCTTCCAGGCCATCCTGCAGGCGGAAGAATTTAAGAATGGAAGGAGACGGGAAGGAAGGGGACACCCACCCGGTGCCTTCCAATTGTTGGGCCTGGGCAGTCTCGTTGGACGGTTGGATGCGGCGCCTCGCCTTGCCCTGCGCTTTCAGGCACGCCGCACATCGTGGGCGCGCTGTGACACATCAAAGTCATCCTCCACTTTGGTCCCTTGGACCGTGGACATCCTCCATGCAAGTTCCAGAACGCCCTCCCGTCTTATCTCCCACCGCTTGTCCCGGAACGATACTCCGAAAATAACCACTGACCGCCGTCGGCCGAACACGAGTCTGACTCAACCCGGCTCTGGCAACAGTGTCGACTGCGCCCTGCTGTGGGCTCGTGTCGCGTCGCCATGCACACATGTCCTCGGCCTCTCCATGTGGCGCTTGCCATCACCGAGATGTACCCCCCCTGAGAAATAGACAACTGGCTCCAGAAGAACCGAGTGGCTTGTGAGAGAGAAACTCCCGGTTCCCGATTCCGGTTCCCCACGCTGGCACATCGTAGTCGAATTCGAGATTGAGGCCCTGCCCGACACTTGTCGCGGCCGACGTCACGGAAGCGGTCTTTGTCTCCCGGCCCTGCTTTCCCGGCTGCCTCTTGCAGTCTCGATACCTCCTGAAAGACTTCACACCGGAGCCCATGATAGTATCGCCGCTATTCTGGGTCGGCTTCCCCCAATCGGCCATGCCAAAGACGTCATTTTCGACCTCGTGAGACTCTCGATCGGGGGCCCTGACATGCCTCGCCCAGGTGCCCCGGCAGTGTTCAGCCAAGTCCCGATCGTGGCGGGTGGCAGCCGACTAATGAGAGAATTACTGTGTGTCAACGCCGACCACTCAGCGACGAGACCGGCGAATTCTCGTTGTTCGTAGTGTTCGGACGGCGGGAAATGACGACTTTTCGCATGCGATTGAAGGAGAAAAGTCGACGAGGAAAACCAGCGAGTTCGTGGTTGAAAACGACAGAGGGTTGACCTTCGCAGGCGGTCGGTCGAGATGGGTCTGGTCCATGGACTGCCGGTGTGGGATGCGGACATCGAATGTCGTCGGAGCAGCCGACCGCAAAAGTCTTGGGCCGTGGTGGTGCTGCCGTGCCTCCTTTGCCGGCCGCATGCCGCTGCTCCTCCTTGCCCGGTCTCGGCGACACAGTAGGCGAGCCGATTCTGCAGTGTCTTGTTCTGGTCAATCAACAAGAGGAACACCACACAACCGATTCACCCACACTCCCCATCCCCGCCGGGCCGGCGCCCAAACCCAACATGGCTGCTCCATCCACATTTTCCAGAATCCAACACTGCGGCACTAGCCCTCGGGTTGAGACCCAAACAGCAATTGTCCGCCCTGGACGGGGTACCTTTGACTGCACCTCATGTTCGCAGCGTCCCCATGTCACTGCCGCGGCTCTCCACCGAGTAAGCTTGTCAGCTGTCACACACTTCACCGAGGTCAACGACACCTCGTGAAGTTACACATCGTTGCCCGTCAACTGGAGTCGCGAATGACAAGAGAGGGAAAGGTGCTTAGCAGTCAAGGGCACTGCGATAACTGAGGAGCTCCTCGAGAGATTAACGCCAGTCTTTAAGGAGACCTTGGAACCGACACAGCTCCTGAGAGAATTCAATTATTCTGCACTTGTGCTTCAACCAATCAGCGACTAGCGATAAGCCAGCAATGCAAAATGCACCATCCCCCACTAGCGTCCCACACTTGATGCTTTGGAGACACCCGAGATGGAGGTCTCCTGCAGGTCACATCTGGAGATCAAGTTCCATAATGGAATCATCAAAGTTTTACCTGAAGTTTGTCTAGGAGCGGCAATGATTTCCCAGAATACATTCAACATACAGCCTGAATCAACCGTGGTCGACGAGTGAGATGTTGGGATGGACTATCCGTATGGATATGTTGAGGGGTAATCGTGTATCCGGCGATGGGACGGAGGTACCGTAGTCCTACGAATACCCTGCCGAGAGCAAAAATTGCGGGGGAGCTCGACTTTGATACGCCGTATTATCAAAAGAAGAAGAATGCGTGTGATATGGCCGACTGGAGACCGACTGAACATGCGACGAATGGACAGCATGCCGTTCCTCCAGCTACGTCTTACGGGAGGGGCAATGGACCAGGAAGAACTAGAAAACCCAGCCTTCCTCTCGCGGGCAACTCCAGCTTTGTGCATCCTGCAGCGTCCAAGACGTTTGGGCTGCATATCAGCCAGATATTCACTCACGTCTTGCAGGGACGGGTTACGGCAGGCCATGTGGATTGGGTATCCCTCCGAAGATAGCTTCGACATGGTCGATTCGTGGAGCAAAAGCTTGGGGGTTCCTTGGGGGTTCGCTGACGAAAACACCATCGAATATTGGCCGGAAGGACAAGTTGGCTAGTGATTCCGAAGGTTCGGGCTCAGCAAGATGACCATCCCGCTGTCGGAGAGAAGCTGCGATATGGGGTTTCCTCCGAACTCCCCCAAATGACTCGGGCCTGGTTGTAAACACACCGTCGCTCACAGGATACCGACTAGAAGCCATCGCACTGACCACAGATCTGACCTTGGGAGCACATCTGGTCCAGAGCAACACCACACCCCACCTTTTGCCCCTCGCCGCCGCATTATGGGTCGACAGGCTCGATAGCCTTGTGGTGGGATTTGTGACGGCTTTGTCTGGGACCAGTCCAACTCGGGAGTCAAGATGACACAGAGGTACAGATACCTTGAGAATGAATAAGGGTCGCCGGGATATACCCCCACCAAGGGGTTACAGACTCGCACAAGGAGACGCACAAAGCCCACGACAATCAACGTTGAGGGTAATCGAGATATCACTCCCGGGAGGCGGACAAAATTTTCATGAGACGCCCAGCTGCACGACGTAGGCGGAAGCTGTGCCAACGACAGGACGAAGGAAGCAACTCCTCGAGGATGGGTGCCTTTCCTGTGCCGCGGGCAAGCATAGCCATGGCAAGGATTGGAGATTGATTATGATAGGGGAATTAGCGCAAGTGCGCGCGTCGCCATGCCGCGATGAGTTGCGCCGGCGGAACGAGAAAGATTTGTGCGATGGATAGGACGTTACGATTCTGGGGCCGGTGAGGGTGTGAGACTCCGACTCTGAGTGGCTGGTGCACGATGTATCGTCATCCTGGGACCTAGGGTCCTTTGGCGGGGAAACTGGGAAAGTCGAATCGAGGGAAAGGTCGTCAAGCTGACGAGATTTTGAAAAGTTGAGGTACCTGACGACACACCCCCAAAGCTGACCGGAAGAGTACAGTGCCATCCCAAGGAAATTCCGCGCCAGGAATATGCACGCTGTCGCAATATGGCCATGCGATCGTCGGCGTGGAACCTGAGCTCCCAAGTTGCAAGCGACGCTACTTTACCTCGGGGTATTCAGAACCGCCCAGCAAGCCATTCGCGGAGACAGCACCGGTTCTAGGAGGCGCTCTGGCTAGACCCCCCGGGATTTACGACGACGAGAGTTTACAGGAATTCGACACACTCTCCTTTCCGTTCTGGAAGCGAGATTCAGACGAAACGCGGCCTCACGAAAAGTCGCCATTACTACTCAGGAGCGGCCGTTTTTGGGCATCAGAGTTCCAGGACCCCTTTCATCGAAAGCGGTCTGGACCGGGACCAACTCTAGGAGTATCTCGTCTTGGGCTTCCCGGCCTGGCTCCGAAAGGCGGATGCCACAGCCACAGTCACCGTTAGCAGCGCTACATACACTGACAGCGACCATAGTGTACGGATAGTAGGACTGTAGGACTGCAGGAGCGGCGCCAGAGACCCGACAGCGGCGGCGAGGGCGAAGGCGATGGGCACGGCGGCGGGCGACAGTGCACACGAGCACCCCAAAGATCCAAGGATAGAAACAGCGGACAGCGGACCGAAGGACGTGGGCCTCGTAAATGACATGTACCGGTACGTGCCCCGCGTTGTGGCACGGTGGCTCCTGTGGGTGAGAGGTACCCAGTTGGTCCTTGAATCGTCAGTCACGATACCTCTCTCTATCTTTGGCTGGGTCTTTACAGTCCGGTTTGCCGCACCCGTTTATTACGCAGTATACCTGCAGTTTCCTTGTTGCCTGTAGTCTGTACGGACCTGGATACAAAGCAACAATTTCTTGAGGTGGTTATTGTTGGGTCGGTGGTGGCAGGTGCAGCAGCTAGTCGCAGATACTGCCGCAAGGGCGGTGCCGGGCGGCCTCTGAGTGGCTCGTCAACGGGCTACTGGGCGCACGTCGAAGTCATCGTCACACATTTTGATCAGTGATTTTCGTACTTATCAGTCTTGGAGACTAGGGTTGACAGAACAAAACCACCCAAGTGGAAGCGGAAGAGGAGTTTCCCAGGGGCCATTTACGGAGAAGAGGAAGTTGACGATACCTCTAGAGGTGAAAGGTCCGCCCGTCGCATTTCCGTTTCCCACGGAGACATGATACCGGTGGTGGAAGACCGCGGGGCCGTGGCCAGGCAGTAGGGATACTTGGGAGAGGTCTGATAGTGGCAGACGGGAGTGGTGGTGCAGCGCAGAAAGGCACGTTAAAGGGTGGGAAATGTGTGGGTGAAGAGGGTGTTCTGGGTTCGGGCAAAGTACCGCGACATTGTCTTCGTGGGACGCTGGGAACCGAATCAGAATTGGCATGTATCTGTGGTCCCCCAAACTCTGGGCTGGCGGACGAATGGGAGGGCACATGTTTCCGGGGCCACACCCCACCAGCCCACCCCTCTCACCCCACCGCAATCGATACCAGAAGCCAGAACCAGCCATACCCCTGCCACCGTCATGGCAGGCCTTATCTTGGGCTGAAGGACCAAAGAGGGACCCTCGAGAGACCTCGAGAGACCTAGACGGGAGCCAAAAGTTACGGTTCTGTACCGGTTGCACATGAGCTTTCCTCGCCAACAGGGCCGGTCGTCTGCGAAACATCTGAGGTATCTCGACGGTACCTTGCAGATTGCTGCCAGCACCAGCAAAAAAAGCATCAAGCGAACTGCCTCTCTCACTCTCACTCACTCACTCACTCACTCACTGTCTCTCCCACCAGCGCCCGCGCCTACCTTGCCAGACGACGGGCAGAGGAAAACATAAAACCCTCAACCGCCCGCTTCGACTGCTCTTATCGTACCTGCTCTTTACTTTTCCACATCCCATTCCTCTATTCCTCCCGTAACAATCCTATAGATCATTTGATCTCTACTGCTCGAACCTTTTTCGGATCTTCAAATTGGACCTTGTTCTTTCCCGTTTTTATCACATTACATACACACAACCGCAAAAATGGTAAGTCCCGAACTCTACCCCCACCACATCATATTATTCCTATTGCGACTTGAGAACTGGCTTTTTGCTACTCTCGAGTCACGATAAAGGATGTCCAGGTCCAAAAAGGAGAAAAAGAGATCACGGTTACTAACATGTCTCTTCCCTCCAGGCGACAGAAGCTGCCTTCACCTCCAGGCCCGAGACCGTGAGATTACACCAATACCCGGTGCCGAGCTTGGCGTAGCTGGAGCTTGCTCTCAGCCATCACCTTGGCGCACTCCGAATACGCAATCGTGCTGACCCGTCGAATAGTTGGCCAAGTACCTCAAGCTTGACCAGAAGGGCTCAATCATGGCCGAGTACATCTGGATCGACGCTGATGGCGAGACCCGTTCCAAGTCGAGGGTGCGTTCACTACAATCACCTTGTCTTTCTTTTCCCCTTTCGCCTCTTTATACTCTTCCCCGAGCCTCTCGCGATGCTGCCAACGGCCTAGCCTGCTATTCCACCGGGAAATGGTACTCGCCCAGCTCTTTCCTGTTACGACGCGACACAGTTTGAGCTGGCTCATGCCTTCGCTCTTACATCTGTGTCGACGGTTGCATCAACGAAAAAGCTGGGGCAGCGGGTCGCCTTGCTCTGGACTCATTCCCTACGGGACGTCTCCGACTTCCGGCTGGGAATAGCGGGCAAAAAGCTGTGGGCGGGCGAGCAAGCGGCAGCAGATGCGGCGGCGACATGCACTGGGGCTTGGCGGGGGTCAAAACACACACCACCTGCCCCTCCAGTGCGCATGTCTGGTGGTGGGTGGTACGTACCTGTTCGTGCTGCTTTGGTCTTGGTCTCTTCTTTCGAGGGGCCACGGCCGGACTGGCTGACAGGATCCGATCACGACTCGATCCTGCAAGGAACCCCACCCCACGTCCGCCTGGCTCCAAGGCTTTTGCCTCGCCTCCAGCTGCAGGGTTGAACGCCGCGGCTCGGGTATTGGAGGTCTTGCAAGTCGCTGCCGCATCGTCAGCCCCCCTTTTGGCCGACGGCGCGTCTTCGGTGAGCTGGTTGGCCAGCCGCCGGCCGAGGGTATTCGCTATTCTCCACGCAACACCCACGATCTCCAATGGGGCCACTGGGGGTAGCTCCGCCTGGCATCGTCAGCCTGACGGCAAAGCGCAGCGCATGATGTCAGCCTCAACAGCCAAGATGGCCCACGAGCTCGCCCGCGCATGCCTCTATTCACATTTGCATCATAGCGCCACTCACTATCATCATGAAGCTAACAGAGATGCCTCTATAGACCCTCAAGGAGAAGGAGTACACCCCCGAGGACCTTCCTATGTGGAACTTTGACGGTTCCTCCACCAACCAGGCCCCCGGCGACAACTCTGATGTCTACCTGAAGCCCGTTGCCGTCTTCCCCGACCCTTTCCGTGGATCTCCCAACATCCTCGTTCTCGCCGAGTGCTGGAACGCCGATGGCACCCCCAACAAGTACAACTACAGACATGAGTGCGCCAAGTTGATGGAGGCTCACGCCGCCCACGAGCCTTGGTTCGGTCTCGAGCAGGAGTACACTCTGCTTGACCTCAGCAACCGCCCCTTCGGCTGGCCCGCTAACGGCTTCCCTGCTCCCCAGGGCCCCTACTACTGCGGTGTTGGTGCCGGCAAGGTCGTCCAGCGCGACATCGTCGACGCCCACTACAAGGCCTGCCTCTACTCTGGCATCAAGATCTCTGGTACCAACGCCGAGGTCATGCCCGCTCAGTGGGAGTACCAGGTCGGTCCCTGCACCGGCATTGAGATGGGTGACCACCTCTGGCTCGCTCGCTTCCTCCTGGCCCGCATTGCAGAGGAGTTCGGCGCCAAGGTCTCCGTTGAGCCCAAGCCCATCCCCGGTGACTGGAACGGTGCCGGCCTTCACTCCAACTTCTCTTCCAAGGAGATGCGTGTTGAGGGTGGCATGAAGCACATCGAGGCTGCCATCAAGAAGCTTGAGGGCCGCCACAAGGAGCACATTGCCGTCTACGGCGAGGGCAACGAGAAGCGTCTCACTGGCCGCCACGAGACTGGATCCATCGATTCGTTCTCTTACGGAGTTGCCAACCGTGGTGCTTCCATCCGTATCCCCAGAGAGTGCGCCCAGAAGGGCTACGGCTACTTTGAGGATCGCCGCCCCGCCTCAAATGCCGACCCCTACAGAATTACTGGTACGTTCATACTTGCACAGCGACTGCACTTTGCCACACAGTTTGCTAACTACTATCCTAGGTATTATGATGGAGACTATTTACGGTACTGCCGAGTGAAGGGGAGATGGAAAAAGAGAGGATGGTATACCCTAGTTCAAACGACGACAAGTCGTATTGAATATGCTTTTATCAGCGTGTCACATAGATCAGAGAAGGTCATTACGGGTCAATGAAGATTCAAACAAGGTTCAAAAAAAAAAAATCCCATACTACAGTTCAAAGACAACTTGAAGATCCAACTTTTGTGACTTATAACTAACGCAAGACGTCATTTGGGGCCATGCACGGAAGAATGATGAGAAGTAGCTGAAACATGCTGCGCTCTCCGTATTCGCAGCTCTCAATCCACCCCTCACCGTCTCAGGGTCCCCCCATCGTCCCGTTAAGACCGTTTTCCCGCAGTCGTCTCCAAATTTCTCCGTTTGGACATTGTTGGTTTTGGCCAAGACTTTTTTTATTTTGGGTAAACACAGCCCGAGGAAAGAATTTGAGTACCTAAGTCTATGCTTAGAGTTTGATGAGGAATGGCAGGGTGGTAAGGAAGGTATCCCGGGAGTCAAGGGCCCTCGGCATAAGCCAGGTAGGAACTCCAGGGCTTGGGAGGGGCAGCTTGAAAGGGCCTGGTTTTTAGAGTTTCTGGATGCCAAGCCTCTTGTTCCCAACAGACGAAAGTCGTGCCTTTATCGTGAGAAAAAGAGAGAAGAAGAGTTGATTCTGGTACACTGGCGATGTGACGATCATCGATGGGTACGCCGACAAAGGTAGGATGTGGATGAAATTGACTTTTTTTTTTTTTGGGTCGAACCGTTAACAAGGGTGCAATTTGAAGTCTTTTTCCATCTTCGCCGTACCGGTAGGTAGTCCTTGACTCCTTGTCTTATGATGCTGGAATTAGTTTGAATTAGTTTACTATTGAGGCGGTGAGGAGTAAGACACCAAAACACAGGGACCCCTCCTCCGGTCTAGAAGGGTGAAGGTTTCCTATGATACATGGGGGGTTGGTTGTTGGATGGATGGACGGGATGGGTGTCGGCAGTGCTTGTCATCGGTCAGCCTTGGATTTTTGATGAAGCTGATGCAGATGCAGCCTCAAAGATTGTGGGGGAAAAGCCCGGAAAGTCGGAAGATGTGCAATTGCCGATGACCTTTGTGTATTTTCCCCGGAACCCCGCGCGTCGACTATCGTGCTGGGAAAGGAGATTGGGGACTGGAAGGGTGGATGGGATTGCGCGGTGATGCCTTTTCAAAACGGGACGAGGGACTGCGCAGTATGCTCAGTTTACGGGTGACCAGGGACAGAAGGAGGAATATGTCAAGGCAGAAACCCGTGAGCGTGGGGCCGATGGAATTCTTTATATGGATAGTTTGGAAATACTCGAGAGGTGTATTGATCTATAGTCACGGACGGAGACACTAAGCAAGCTGTGATGGTGGCCAGCTGTATCTACATTGGATGAGTTGTGCCAAACGGCAATGCTGTGGAGTCAAAATGGTGATAGGGCGTCTACAATCCACCCAAGTACGCCATTGAGCTGTCACAACATGAGGTCTATAGTTCGGTGAGAGATCTCGGTAAAGTAGACCTTGGAACACTACTTCATAAGAACTCTCCACCTGTATTCTGGTAGGTTGAACTGCTCTCGAGTCTTTTTCGGACCCGGATTGCTCAGGACGAAGTTCCAAAAGCTTGAAGGTCCCGGCCCCGCGCCTTATCTTATCGCCCGCGTGGGGTACCCGCTAAGCCCGGCCAGGACTAGCCGCTAAGAAATTCTCAATTGAGAATCTTTTTTTTTTGCCTAACAGCATTTTCAACTCCAAAAAATCACTGCCAACGTTCTTTACGACGATACCCTCACATTTTGCGACTTCACCGCAACACCAAGCTCCCCCAACGCCAGCGCCCAACTCTCTGCATCTCCTACAACCATACACCTCTCAGAATCTCAAGCGATCTACGCAATCACGTCACAATGGCAGCTACCGTGGGACCCCTCCCGCAGGTGAAGCTGCCCTCGGGCCCGTCCCCCGTGACGGCCGAGCAGCGCTACTGGAAGTCCTTCAAGAACCAGCTCCAGATCCCCTCGCCGACCTCGTACCCAATCACGCACATCTCGTCCACCTCCACCGACGGCCTCTTCGCCGTCACCACGGGAACCCGCGTCCAGCTTTACTCCTCCCGCACCCGCAAGCTCGAAAAGACAATCACCCGCTTTGCCGACATCGCCCGCTCCGGCTCCCTGCGCCGCGACGGCCGCGTCCTCGTCGCCGCCGAAGACACGGGTCGCATGCAGGTGTTCGACACCCACTCCCGCTCCATCCTCAAGACGTGGACGAAGCACCGCCAGCCCGTCTGGGCCACGCGCTTCTCCGGCTCGCAGCCCACCACTCTACTCTCCGCCTCCGACGACAAGACGGTCCGCCTCTGGGACCTCACGGCCAACGACCCGCTCAACACGTTTGTGGGACACTCCGACTACGTCCGCTGCGCAGAGTTCTTCCCGGCCACCTCCCCCTCGGGCGCCGGCAACGTCATCGTCTCGGGCTCCTACGACTCCACCGTCAAGATCTGGGACCCGAGAATAGGCTCCAACGCCGCCGTCATGACCTTCAAGCACGCCGCCCCCGTCGAGTCCGTCCTCCCCCTCTCCTCCGGCACCACCCTCCTCGCCGCCTCGGGCCCCCAGGTCTCAGTCCTCGACCTCGTCGCCGCCCGCCCCATCCACCAAATCGCCAACCACCAAAAGACCGTCACCTCCCTCAGCCTCGCCTCCAACGGCACCCGCCTCGTGACGGGCGGCCTCGACGGCCACGTCAAAGTATTCGAGACCACCGCCTGGAACGTCGTCTCCTCGACAAAGTACCCCTCCCCCATCCTCTCCCTCCGCGTCCTCCCGGCCTCCGACGCCGCCGACAGCGACGACCGCCACCTCGTCGTGGGCATGCAGTCCGGCGTGCTCTCCGTCCGCACGCGCCTCACGGGCCCCGAAGCCACCCGCCAAAAGGAGCGCGACCGCGAAATGGCCGCTCTCCTCGCCGGCACCCTCGACGAGCACGACAAGGTCGCCAAAAGCAAGAAGCGCAAGGCCTCGGCCATGCGCCGCCTCGAGAGCCTGGGCGAGGGCCAGGCCGAGGTCATTGTCGCGCAGGACGCGCGCACCAGCGCGCCCAAGGAAAAGGCGTGGGAGAAGGCGCTGCGTCACGGACGGTACGCGAGCGCGCTGGACCAGGCGCTCGATCCGCGCGGCAAGGATCACTCGCCACTCGGCGTGCTGACCCTGTTGCTTGCGTTGCGGCACCGGTCTGCTGTGAGGGAGGCGCTCGAGGGACGTGATGAGAGGACGGTGCAGCCGGTGCTGAAGTGGACGTGTGATCACATTATCGATCCGCGGTACGTGAGCGTGTGCGTTGAGGTTGGGATGGTGCTTGTGGAGCTGTATGCGCAGTACGCGGGTGACAGTGCCGAGCTGTTTGAGGGGTTCAGGACGCTCAAGAGGAAGGTCACGAATGAGGTTGATCGCGCGCAGACGGCTTCTTCTGTGGGTGGTATGGTGGAAAGTTTGATTCTGGGGTCTGCTTGAGAGATGAGAGAGAGAGAGGGGGGGGGAGGGGGGGGGGTTTGTTTGTACATGACATTTGTGGTTGCTTTTTTGATTCTTTGTGATGGGTGGTTAGGTGGGTTTATACCCCTTTGTCTTTCAAGTTCCAACGTGGCATCCCTGGGGAACATGACATTCAGGTCACGAGAGACTTTGAGTGCTGGACGATTGACCTCGAACTGATGGGCTCTTGTGGAGCTAGAGAAACAGGAACAACAGAAGGCAGCTAGGAAGCAAGGGCAGCTACGACTACGGGTGTGAGACTTGGATGTCGTGTGCATGTCAGTCAACAGGCTAGGGAGAGAAGCAGGGGAAGAAGAAGACATTCAAATGGTGGAAAGGAATTCATCATCTGGGGCTCCGTCTGTAGAGACGTTCGAGTCCGATGTGGACAAGAACTAGATCATCTTGGTCGACTAATGCATTGCGATGGCGTTGGGGATCCGAAAAAAAAAACAGGAGAAGGGAATTCAAAAGAAAGATAATTGTGTGATATAGAATGGCTACACAAAACCCGACTTTCACGAGATCTTAACTTCTTGTCTCTTCTCAAGGAGTGATTCCGGTATTTATAGTCGACTTTGGCACTGCCCCCTGGGCTTGTATCTCTCGTGGTTTGAGGGTTGAGAGTATTGTGTCCCACAAGACAGGCTTCGCCAATGTGAGTAGGAAAACACAAGTGTCAGATATGAAGGCCGCGGGCATTGCTTCTCTCCGTGAATTGAGTGGCTGCCGGCGGCCATGGAAGGCAGAATATCTAGCTTTGGGTGTATCGTTGCTGTTCTTACGTGTTGCTCAAAGGCAATGCCGAAAGATGATACGGCATCGATCGACGCAAAGCAGATGTGGCTCCATCTTAGCATTGCGCACTGAACTTCTAAACCTGCCGAGACTTTCGATGGCTTATACTAAAAGTAAAGGCTCCGGGAGACGTTGCCGTGCGAAACCTAATCCTAGAGCTCAGCCGACAAGCCATCCGATCCCTGGGCTGCCCTCACCAGCGACCACGTAAGTCGTGATGTTGTTGTCGTCTTTTGTCGTCCTAATTCAAGACTCTGCGACCTATTTCAAACTGGCCGTATTGCTTCATCGGCTTGGACATTAGTGTCATTTCCAATTACCCGAGAAAGCCATAGAGTCTTGACCGGAAAAGTTTGCGTATAGGAAGTGCACTGAACGGTCGTAAGACCTTTGGACTCAGCTATGCGTGACCGAAGTCCGTCGAAAGCCCGCTCTTCCTCCACGCGGTGTTATCTTCGTCGTTTTGTATCCTTTGACTGGAAATCAAACGGCGAGGATACTTTCGTTTCAACTACCTAGTCGCGCACAGCTTCGGGCCAAGCCGTGTTCTAGAAGGGCCAAGTGAAGCAAAGTCGAAAAAGTCAAGATAGTCCTGGGCAGATAAGACATGCCAAACCACATGGGCAGTTTTGCTTTGCGATGCTCTGCTCACATCGACAACTTCAATGTGTATGTAACCGGCACTAAAACTCCATCTGGAAGACTAGGTTGCTTGGTTGTATGTGTGCGAGAGGAAAGGGAACGGCAGATATAGACTTCGATTGCCGATGAAGACATGAAATCATGAGATCCATCGGTCCAATCAACAGGACTCCCGAAAAACCATCACTGCCCCTCTTAGTCTTTCATGAATCGTACCGAACTGCAGGCAGCCGGTCTGTTGCGAGTCGCACGCGGCATCAACCGCGCCCTTCAAGCTGTTTTGAGTTCATCTCTTCTTCTTCCTCCTCCTTCCTCTTCGTGCTTCTGTCCCGAGGGGGGAAGTTTCCGAGAGCAACGTTTCCCAACAACAACTAGCTCAACCTAGATATTCATACCTGGATCATCCTGCGCCGTTCGCTGATAAGTTCGCTTCACGCGGATACCTTAAGTCATGATACTTCGAATGGACTGGGGAGGGGGTTGAGCCTTCCAAACATTAAGTGCCCTGCCTTTCAATCCAGGTTTTTTGACAGACCCCAAGCAAAAAAGCAAAGCTGGGGGCGGGTGGTGTCCCCATTTAATAATTGACCTGGAATACCCTTCATCGCCTTTTAAATTTGATGTCCAATATCACCTAATCTCTCGCCTGTGCGAGATGCGAGATGCCACCTCGATGACCAGACGTCGACGACAATCCGAACACGCGTAAAAGCACACGCTTCTTCGCTATCCCAGTCTCCCGGGTGAGATGTTGTGAAAGATACTACAATAATGGCAGTCAACATATCGAGCTCGTCGCCAGTGCCATTACCGAACTCGGTCGGTATGCCCAACACCATCAACGCCACCTTCGATGCAGCGCCTAGCCTTCCGTACTTTGAACACGCTTGGTCGGTGCTAAGCATCATCGGCGTCTTTAACGTGTTCCTGGGGCTGTTGATTATTGGAATCACGTCATTTTCCAAGCTCACGGTCGTACCCATTGTCTCGTCCGCAGCGGGTGCCATCGCGAATGGACTCTACTTCCACGCTTACTATGATAAGCCGTACCCTCTTGCGAAGAGGGCAGCGGCGGCGGCCATTGGCGATATATGCTGGCTTGTTGGTCAACCCCCGTCTCTAGATCTTCTCATGGGGATTTTAAAAGAGTCCTGCATATCGTTGCTGACGGAAAGCTCGATAGATACAAGAAGCAGGGTTACCATTCTACAGCTTCATCATCCTCAACAGACTCCTTAGAGGGACGAAACGAAAAGTCTTCCACACGGTATTCTGGTCGACCCTAGTTCTCGTCACCGCCGTCAAAGTAATGATCATCTACTACCGTCTCCTCCGTATCCTACGGGAAGACGACAGCCTCCAAGGCACCATCATCAGGATCCACATCGCCTACTTTGGCCTCTTTGCGGTCAGCGAGTGCGTCAGCGCCTACTTTCTCCTCCGCATCTTCGCCGAAGTCAGGAAGTCGTCCAAGGAAGCCGGTCTCCGGAAGAGCTTTATACGGTACCTGATGCGCAGCACAGAGATCCGCGTCGCTTCGCTCGCTGTGGCGGCGGCGATACGGGTTATTACGCATTCGTTGAACGTGTGGCAGAGTAGCCCCGCGACGAGATATGTTGATCGGGCTGCTTATGCGCTGGGATGCTTCTTTCCCGTTATTATGTAGTAAGTGTTCTTAGGTGCTGATCATTGAGGCAGGCTCGAGAGTTTGCTGACTGGTTTGGGGATAGCGTTGACTTGTTGGCTTCCAAGCTGCAGTTTACGACACAGACGAATGATCCATCTTTCGCCAGTGATAGGCCACTACGGGGTCCGGTGTCGACTGAGAAGACGGCAGATTAATGACATTTTAGAGGTTCTTATTTTAGCGTACGCAGATAACTTCATAATACACGGTGTAGTTCCGGATATCATGCCGACCTCAATTATCTTAGAGAAGAGAGGGTGTCGCTCATATCCCCCTACCAAAGCCTGTTGTCGATAGTATGCGCCACTTGCTTCCTTATCTATAGCATGACGAAAAACCCCGACGCGAGGTCTTTTTGATCACCGGGCTAGCACATCAATTCAACCTGATTCGTTCAGCCTTGGCTGTTCGTGCTGCTAGAATACTTCCTTATTTGCCCACGTATTTGCAAGTACCTCCACATCCCCCGTAGGATATTTGCCCTGGTCTTTCTAAAGTTGGTTGAGGTTGCACGCAAAATGCGCCCCTTCCCTTGGCATTCTACTTTTACCATCACACTTCATCGATACTCCACCACCCAACCACATTCGCAACCGAAAGAACAGGCTACATGGAAGAAAACCCCACTTGGATACTCTTGATAGACGTACAGTTGCCAGCCTTACTGACTGATTGACTTGAACAGTACTACCAAGATGAGTACTGTCATTGGAGACTCTCAGATAGGGTTGATGATGAAGCCGTCTTCACTCTTGGTCGGTGAGTATCACCAGCACGACAGTCTCATTTGCAGTGGAATTCAACATCGCGTTGATGTGAGTTAACAATGACAAATGGCAACGGTGTAGTCACACAAGACTATGTCTTGTATCCCGTCAACTGCCGTGGCCCGCTCGCGAAGCGAGGCTGTATCAAACCCGGGCGCTGAGGTAAATCAATTTTCAAATTGTACACGAGAAAACAAGCCCCTTTGCTGAACTGGGCCGCAGCAAGACGCTCTAAAACCTAAAGAAGGAGGAGGGGGCCTGCACGTCTGCCTTGGGGTGGGGGGTGCATGCAATACTCTCATCACAGCCTGATGTCGAAGACTGAAGAACATGGCATAGGGAGCGACCCAAATAAATAAGTACCCGGCGTGGGCGACCAATGCCGTCCCACTCCCTTACCTCGAGTTTCGGCATCGTGTTCAAAGATCTTGGGCATCGGCAAGATGAACTTGTTTTCGTTACTTTTCGTACTTGCTTGGGCACGAAATGCTTTCGCCGACGACACCAAGTTCACCAACCCTACGAAGCCTTCTGGTCTTGAAGGTCCCACGTTCGTATCAGGTCAAGATGTCGTCTTCACCTGGACGACAGATGTTGACAAGCTTAACCTGCTACTGTGGACAAACCAAAACAAACAGTACATCACGTTAGGAAGTCAGTTTGCTCTAATTAGTTTGCTTGGATTTGGTATTGAAGGCTAATTGAAGTATCTTGTTAGAGGGTATCTCGTCCAAGTCCTTTACTTGGAAAGTAAACTTCAATGCTTTTTCCAACACAGACCCACCAAACGACACTTACTACTTCCTTGGCCTCTATCTTGATGGCTCGACGAGCTCTTTAGCTGAATCTACACATTTTTTCATTGGACTACCTGATGGGAGTGAATCCGGGTCTACTTCAACTTCCACACTCTTCACTCCTTCGCCAACTAGTGATTCGGCAACCACAACCTCGTCAGGCAGCTCTTCAGCAACGTCAGCAAGTGTTACTGCGACGTCCGGTTCCGGTACCAAAGGTCTCGGCGCAGGTGCCATAGCCGGCATCGTTATCGGGGCTATTCTGGGGGTAGGCCTATCCGTATGTGCAGGAATTCTACTGGCGAGGAGGAGATACCGGGGGAAAAGGGATCTTGGCGACCAAGGGAATAGTCAAGGAGAGATATCTGTATCCCCAAACGCCACTACCGACGTCAAATACCATTCGACTCCTGTGCAAGAGGCACCCAGAGGTGGGAACGTTGCTCATTCACCCGCACCAGTTGAGCTTGGATAGGGTATACACACAGTAGTAGATCAGAGGTATCATCAGTCTGGTTCGCCAAATGATTTTGGAGATGGTCGACTCAACGAATCTGGAATTGTCTATTGCTGGTCTATCAAGTATTAGGTAAATGTGGACTGTGGTTTGCTGTTACTTCGTTGATCATGACGCATTGCAAAAGGCGTCTCAAAGGATGTAAACGTGACAGGATGCATTCGAACGCTTTCGATTGCGGCAAAGTTTAAGGTTCCATTCATTATAAACAGGAGAAGAAAATTACAAGATCCAATTCTGGAATTCAGGATGCCGTATATCTAAGATGGGTTAATCTTGCTCGATTTCGTTGCCTTAACAAGTCGGCTTCAGGCACTGCCCCAACTTTAGCTTGACTTAGTAAGGAGTCCGATGGTCAACCTTGGGAGAACTGCACTGCACTCGATTTACTTATCCCATCAGGCGATGTTTGAAATCTGCGACCGCGAAGTGTGAAGGCTACATCGTACAACTGTGAGCGACCCGGTCGGCCGATCGGCCGATCAGACTGCCTGCGGGATCAACCTGCGGGAAGCCGACAGATCCGATTGCAAGACACTCCATTTGCGCACTTCGAGAACAAAATGTCACAATCTTTGAGCTTTTCCCTACAGGGAGGCTCATTGATATCTCTCGCCGGATGACTCAATTATATCTGGGTAGTTTGAGTGAAGAGCGAGGACGGACACTGACCGAGGCGATCAAGCAGTCAAGCCTATAAGACTGATGATGGCCTTTGAATAGTCCATCTTCTTTTCATTATGCTAACCGGAAATCATCAGAAGGAAAGATAACCTGATATCTTACCTCTTTCGAACTTTTCCAGATTAGCAACTCATTTATCGAAATGCCTGACAAGAAGATTCTCATCCTTGGAAGCGGCCTGGTAGCCAAGCCATGCGTCGAATATCTCCTGCGCAACGAGGGGAACCAGTTGACAATCGGTATCCTTCTTCACTGCCCGTTCAAATCACTCTCAGAGGTAGCTAACACTCTTAAAATAGCTAGCCTAACCCTCTCCACAGCCGAAGCGTTGGCTTCTGATCACCCTCGAGCCAGCGCTATTTCTTTGGACGTGACGTCTCCGGCACTAGATAGCCATGTGGCATCTCATGACTTAGTCATTTCGCTTGTCCCTTTCGTCCATCACCAGACCGTTGTGGAAGCTGGTATACGGGGAAAGACTCATGTCGTGACGACAAGCTACGTTTCTCCGGAGGTGAGAGAACTGGAGTCTGAAGCGAAGGCTGCCGGAATCACGGTTCTGAATGAAGTTGGCCTCGATCCTGGTAAACCATGACTCCTTTCGGCACGAAAGACAATTGAGCTCATCCATTAACCCCTTAGGCATTGATCATCTCTACGCTATTCGCCTCATTAACGAAGTCCACAGCAAGGGGGGAAAGGTACAAGGAGTCAATTTTATCCATACACATTACCATTGATAGGACTAATGCACGAAAACGGCAGATCAGAGAATTCCATTCTTACGCCGGCGGGCTTCCAGCTCCAGAGTGCTCCAACAACCCCCTGCGCTTCAAATTCTCCTGGTCGCCCCGAGGCGCTCTCCTTGCGCAACTCAACCCGGCGTCTTACCTCCAAAATGGACAAGTCATTGATGTTTCTCGCGAAGATCTCATGAAGCAGGCCAAGCCATACCACGTGATGAACGGGTATTCTTTCCTCGCATATCCTAACCGGAACTCCGTACCCTTCCGGGAGTTTTACAAGATTCCTGAAGCGGAGACGGTCGTGCGTGGGTCGCTGCGGTTTGAAGGCAACCCGGCTTTCGTAGCGGCTTTGACGCAGCTTGGTTTGTTAAACACGCAGCCACTGGATTGGCTGGAGAGGAACAGCGGTGGGTTGATGTTGCGGGGGGTTCTTGGACGGGCCGTTGGTGCTGCCGGGTCTGATGAAGAGTAAGTCATCCAAGCATCCATGCTTTCAGTTAAGACTAAGTACTGATGTGTCAAAAGGTCTCTGGTTACGCGAATCGACGAGATTTGCGACTTCTCAGACGTTGCCGAGAGGAATAGAATCATCGACGGTTTACGATGGATCGGCCTTTTCTCCGACAAGCCGGCAACCCTCCGTGGCAATCTCCTGGACACACTTTGTGCGCAGCTCGAAAGACTTCTTAGATATCAAGCATGGGAGAGGGATCTGGTAATGCTCCAGCACAAATTCATTGTTGAGTGGAAAGATGGAAGTCGAGTAAGTATGCACGCCAAAAAGTTGCAATCGAGTCAAAATCGCTTTTGATACTGACCTGCGTGGATAGGAGACCATCACATCGACATTGGAGCTTTTCGGGGAACCTGGTGGGTATTCGGCCATGTCTCGGACCGTGGGCATGACCTGTGGTATTGCCACCCAGCTATTGCTTGACGGGGAGCCTGCTTTGAGTGTGCCGGGGGTGTTGGCACCCTACACTTTGGAAATCTGTGATCCCATTCGCAAGATTCTTGAGAAAGAAGGGATTAGCATGGTAGAAAAGACATTTTGATGAAGACTTGCATAGACAGAACTTGGCAGCCGATTCAAGTCCTGTCAGATTGGTGTCCTATGCGTTAATTTGAGATTCAATGTTCGATACTTCCTTGTCATTTCATCTTATGTTAGCTCTCACCAAATCCAAACATCTTGACACTATTCCTCCAAGCCGCCTCAGCGATATCATCCAAACTCAGCCCTTTCAAACCAGCCACGACGAATGCAACCCTGTCCATTGTACAACTCTCATTCCTCCCCTTGACCATGAGACCCAGCTCGAACTTGTCCTTCTTCTTACTCTGCGGCAAAGCAGACGCGTTCCCGAGATACCTCTTCGCCACCTCCGAACCCGCTGGTATCTCACCCCACGGCGCATCCGTCTCGATCTGCAAGTGCTCCAACGGGATATCGCGCACCATCTCCAGACTTTCCCTGTCCTGAAAGCTGAAGCCGTTGACGCTGATGTCGAAGCCGAGCTCGACCAGGGTTCTCATCTGAGCCGATGTGCCCACAAAGGAGTGAACCAAGCCACGGCGGGGGAGGTTGGGGAGGTACGGCTTGATGATCTCCACGAAGTCATCGTAAGCAGCGCGACAATGGAGAAACAGGGGCAATTCCAGCTTTTGCTCGACAAATAGATCCAACTGCCGCTTAAAAGTGCGGATCTGTGCTTCCTTGGACGCGTGGTTTAGGCGGTCATAGTCGAGGCCCAACTCGCCAAAAGCAGCCAACGACGATGATTTGCCTTCGGACGCGGAACTCAATGCTTCGCGGACGACCTCTACCAACTTTTTGAAATGACCATCCTCGCCGCCGTCTTCCTCGGCATCGGGCTCCGCGGCGTGATACGGATGGATGCCAATCGTCACGAAACAGGTCCCTGCTGGCCGCGACTTGGCAATGGAGAGATTCGTGGGAGCGTCGCTCAGGGACATGCCCGTGAGCATCACCTTTTCGACGCCTGCAGCCGAGGCGCGGTCGAGGACGGCATCGAAGTCTGGTTGGTGGTACTGTTTGCCTCTGTAGAAGCCGACGAAATCTTTTGCTGTTGCTGTTACTGCAACCTAGTGCTGATGGTCAGATTTGGCGTGAGTGCTTCATGTAAGAACCCCGTGCAATTCGTCGGGAGTGGACTCGGGAATCGTCAACTTACATCTGCAAATCGAAGTTTGGTTTTGGGTTTGGGCGGCGCGTTTGCCGGGAAGCCAGCAAGCAGATCCGACGTCATGGTTTTGAACTTCTCTTCTTGCTGGCAAATTGCAGGCTGGTTTGTGGCTCACTCTCACGATACAAGAGGCCTCAATTGGGCGTGAAACGATTCCATCGATATGTGTTGCTCGGTAAAGTACTAATAGGTGTCTCTCTTGGTCCCTCCAGAGCTTCCCCCGTGTTCCCCACGCTTCGGTGGGAGATAGGCTAGTGGATGCGATGGCTTGGCGGGGCCGGTCTCGGCCGGACCGGCTTTCGGCTTTGGACACTAGAACGGGGTGAGCCCAGAACACAGACATGACTATACATGTGGTTCTAATTTCCGAGTCAATCGTGGAATAGCAGTTGTGTTATGGGGACTGCTTCTCGATTTATCTTCTAGTTGTCAATTTGCTGTTTGGCGTGCAAGTTCCTCGCCCTGTTATTGCCGCAGAAGAGTGAAAATGTTGCTTGCAATAGTTGAGATGCTTGTCATTTATTTCACAACAAAACCTGACGACTTAAATGACAAAGGCAATGAATTAGGGCCAGAGAGGAGATTCTTGAGGGATAAGAATATGAAGGTGAGCACGTTTTCGTGAGCGCATTGTTGCAGCTTCAGCGGAACAAAACCTCAAGATGTTAAATCGCAAGCATCCAAGCATCCAAGCATCCAAGACACTGCACTTCATTTAGATCAGCCCTTAATCCCAGCATCTGGACAGAAAATCCTGTCATTGAATATCTACGCACATATGAATTATCGCGCCTTAAGCCAGCTCCTTCTCAAGCGCATCAGCCATCTCCCCCAACGTATCAAACTTCCAATCAAACACCTCACGGTCCCTATTTCCCATCACCGCACCAGGCCTCACAATCCAAGACGATTTCATACCAGCCTCCTTGGCCGGATGGTGGTCATGGAACTGACTCTGCGCCGTCTGCAGCACCTGCTCCTTCTCAACCCCAAACTTGTCCTTCACCTCGCGGAGCATGTACGTAAAGTTGCGCTGGTCAGGCTTATACGAGCCCACATCCTGCGCCGTGACAACAAGATCAAACGGCACGCCCGCCATTGGTCCCGCGTTACTCAGCGCAAACGAGCCGCGGTCGACGTTGGAAAGGACGACGAGCTTGTAGTACTTGCCCAGCCGGCGGAGGGCGTCGACCGTGTCCGGGAAGGCGGGCCAGGAGCCGACGGAGTCGCCAAAGGCCTTTGAGGCTTCGGCGGACGGCAGGGATGACAGGCCGAGCTTGGCGGCGATTTGGGGGTGGATGGTGGTGAGGAGCTGGGCGTAGGGGAGGTCTGGGGTTTGGGCCTGTTGCGCGGCTTCGCACTCGTGGTAGATGTCTAGGAGGTGCTTGCGGGTGAAGTCGGTGCGGTTGTTGGCTTCTAGGAGGGGTTGGAGGGCTGTTAGGGCGCCTGTTTCCCAGTCGATTAGGGTGCCGTAGACGTCGAAGGCTAGGACGCGGAAGTCTTTGAGGTTGGCCATCTTGTTTGAATTTAATATGGCAGATGATGAGAGTTCGTCGAGGAATCTATTCTGTCTTGATGTAATTGTGCGGGGTCAGATCCGATCGGCGGTCTTTAATCGATAAACTGTTGGACCTGAAATATACGGTTTTTGTCCTCTATTTAATGAATATTGTAGGTCGTCTATGTTTTCGATGTGCTACAGGAACTTTTACCCATTCGTCTTCCTCGATGATAATGAAGCTTGTGATACGCAAGTAGCCTCCACCTCCTAAGGGCGCGCGATGTCATCATGTCAATGGGAACCTAGAAGGCATAGACACGGTCCCCCGATCCGTCCGGATCGCAGTCCGGCCCGATTGGATCATCGAGTTTAGTGGGGCTGCGGCACCGGCCCGGTGACCGGATGCGACCGGCACCGCTCCAGTCTGCCGCCGTGTAAGACGCCTGGACGTCAAACCAGAGATGGGAGTTTCTCAACTGCGCTGCATATGCCTCCCGGGAAGCTTTTTCGTAAGAGGCAGATGTTACTGATCGAGGAAACCTTCTGGCAATACTGTGGCCTTATGCCACAAGGAGACATGACATATCTGAAAGCTCATGTCAAAGCTAGATAAATAGCGATGGAGAAAGCTCTGGGGATTGCCAATCTTGTGGTAAAGTCTATCTTGGTGCTGGTGATTGTGGATGGCGGCTGCGAATGGCGATTCACGATGGAGGGTTAGCATCGGAATGTATTCGTCTAAGCCTTTGACAACCTCGTTGAAATTGCCAGACTAGTGTCATTACCCACATCGTATGTGCTGCTGAATGCGTTGAGAATGACACGAGCAGATGACGGGTAGCCCCATGTATCTCTGCGACGGTCTATTTATACTCCAACGCTTCCAACGAAATTATCTGGCCGTCGTGAAATCAAGGGACCTTATGCAGACGTTACTCCCTGAGATGATGGAACCATGATCTAAGGTCAGATACACGGACCACAAGACCATTGCGGATCTTGCGTTCAAGAGGTGGAATCCACAATATTTTTATAGTCACCTCGGACTCTACTTCGTACTCTCTCTCCTTGCCTTGCCATCGCGCCTTTCAGTCCCACCAATGCACCAATGCACCAGTCAACCCTCACCCCTCACAGCTGCAGATGCCAACAGACAGCATCCCCTACAAGCACTGATAATACCACTGATTCAAAACACTACAAGTACTCCCAGCAGCACACCTCGTAGCACCGACATAACTCGACCCCCCGCACTGCCCATACTTGCTCTGCGTTGGCTCGGAGACGGGAGGTGTCGTAACAGAAGCGCTTCGCGAAGAAGATGCTACAGATGAGCTCGAAGTCGATCGGACCGTCGATATGGTCGTCGACGGCGGGACCCAGACGGTGATTGTCTCGATTACAGTATCGATTTGCGTCCTAGTGATGATTTGGGTCGTCCAGCTGGAGACGGTGACTGTCACGATGGCGCGTCTTGGGGGGGTTGTGGAGGAGGTTGGTGCGGTTGTGATGGCTGCCAAAGGCCGGAGTGAAGTCGCTTTGGGTATGTTAACATGTTTTGGACCTGTGAGGTTGGCCTTGCGAATATCTCGAAAACGGAACCTACGTGTGACGGTATTAGTTGTCAATTTTGCAAGAACCATGCTGGTCGCCAACAGCGTCGCTGTGAGAAGATTGACTGAGTACATCGTGCGGGGGAGAGGGGGGATCTTGTCTCCTCGACTTCTGCGAGGCTATCATTCAAGCTTTGGCCGAACCTCGGAAGACCACCCTCCTACGTTACGAAGTTTGCATAGGTCGGGGTTGGGAATATTTAAAGTAAGTGCGAGACTTCCAATGTGGCTTCATGGCGAGGTTTCAGGGAGAGAGTGCATCGTTTTTGATCGTGCCGACAGCATACTATGGAAGAAGGACGAAGAGGGTGCAGGAAGCGGTGAAGTTAGACCCTCAGGCAGATTCGTAAACGGGCTTGGCAGAGAGATTTTATCCAAATCCAGTCTCGAATCGATTGTGGTTGGGAGTGGAATCTCAAAGTATGATACCATAACGCATCTCTCTCAAAGTCCATTTTCCCTTTGGAGACGCGGAGTAACATGATCCACTGTGAGAATAGCCGCATCCATCTCCCAAGCCCAGAAGAGCCAGCCCATGTCTACGAACCTGCTCGACTTATCATAAGCTTACGAGGGAGGGTAGCAGCATCGGCGTGTAACCGTTAACGGCGCCTTTTAGCCTGAACGATATCATGAAGTACCTTCATGCTATTCGTTGTGCAATTTGGATCAATTACTGAAGTAGAACACGCAATAAAGGCTTCTGCTCGCCCGCTGAGATTGTCAGAAAGAGGAGTCTTGTGTTTGGGTGTCTGACAACGACGCATAACCAGGATCATCACCTTGGCATTGGTGTTGAAGATAACATCGAAGGTTACGCCAAGGCGTGTTTCCTTCATGTTCAGGGACTCCTTGGGCCCGCAAACCTGATGTGTGTTTGTGCATGCATTTGGAAATATAGAGACGTAATGAAAAGGTAGAGGAAACGACGAGGATTGAGGCCATTGCATCCCGCAAACTTGTTGCTTCAATGAGGTGCACCGCTCTTCTTGCACTCAAAGATCACACAGACCAACAATCGAAGACTGACAAGCCCCTGTAAGTTGGACCCTGCGGCTCAACCAACCCACGGACTTTGGGTTAATCTTGACGTCGCGCGAGCGAAAGCATGGCTCGTCGAGTCTCGGCTCTTAGATCACGTATGAGACTGCTCGACCTGAGCTTACAATCATTTGTAGCCTCAATACCTCCAGACCCTGGTGCCTGTTCGGCACGCACATCCAATTGTTCAGTCTGCGCGACAAGCCTTGATTTTTAAAAACGCCGCGGGGAAGTGTCGAAAGGTGTCGCAGCAACCTATTTGGGTACTGCAGAGTGGATCTTCCGGCATGTCCTTCGCACGGCGTTGCATTGTTCGGTGTGCAATACTATGCTGCCCGCATTGTCGTATGATCGAGAAAACGTATGCTCTGGAAGACTATGCACCAAAGCCTTGCCTTGTCGTCAGATTCGCATGTGGTTGAATAAAAGAGGCGTCTGGCACTACGGCTGACAGCCAACCCCTCTTCGTAGGATTCGAAGATCGACCATCCTGCGCAAGGAGAGCACTTATAACGATCTTCGGGCTTATGCTACGCGCGGCCGCAAAGCCTCATATCGGCCGCCAAGTGATTGAAAGGCAGTCCGGTTCCTCGTTGACCCCGTCTTGATGCCGATAGTACTGTATAGTGTTGCGGTCGGTCTGGTCGGAACCTGTGTGATTCGGGTGGAAAATCATCGTGCACACCACTTGAGAACAAATGGGGGGCTGTATTGTCGAAATGATGACTTGTTTGTGATTACTGTTCATCGGCAGTTCCAGCACCGACGAATCCGGTGTTGACGGCGACGATCGCAGCAGCCTTGTGTTCCAAAAATCCGGGACCAACAGAAAAGGGAAGGGTCCAGGGTTCATCTGGATCGTTGAAGAACTCGAGATCCTAGATATATAAGAAACCCTGGTCAGCAATGACTGGCAGACGCTCGCCATCCCCGCATGCCCGCCTCGAAGTCGCGAGCGGCGATCGACATGATCTGCGCTGCTTGGCTGCCAGAAATCACCGGCGCGGCGACGCCTTACCTTACCCACCAGGGTTCATCCATGGAGGAAGCTGAATATGCCAGGAAGCCACGAGGGTAGGTCCCATTTCAGCATGTCCGGGAACGAAGATGGCGATGAGATGGACCTGCAGAAACTGCAGCCTAGTCCCGTCACTGGATCTCGCAGCGGATTGATCCATAGTCGAGAAGTGACTGGCGAATGATAGCCGACAGAAACCTCACTCAGAAAAGGGCGAGCAGTAAAGAGAGAATCGAAAGACTCAATTAAGGCCGCCCCGACGCGTATGGCGACTTCTGACGGTGATTCGTGGTCGCAGGTGGCGGGATCGTTGCGGGAGTGTGAGGCGGACCGTCATGGGGTTGCCGCCGTCCGCCTCACTTTGCCTATCTCCTGCAGGCTCACCACCCCCAACCTGTAAGGTGGAACACACCCAGATGGATGGGTTCCCACCATTGTGAGAACCGACATTGCAAAGGCCGTATGTGGCGTCTGTCCTTGCATGCAGGCATTGCAGAGGCAGGTTCCGACGACTGAGAAGCCAAAGCGGTGAGGATACCGACAATAACTGTGCCGAAAAGGCAAGACAAAGTGCTCCTTTTGTCTTGCTTGGTGCAATAATATGCCTTGGGAACTCGTAATATCGACTCTGTCGCAGCGTACGAGGATTGGCGCGCCCGGATCATCGCATTGTCGGCGAAGATAAATACCTTCTTCGTCCTCCTGATCGCCAGTATCTCAGGATAACTTGCGCCATCTTGTTCATCCAATGCGCTCGGGCAGACATCTCATGTTACCCATGTCCAAGCATCTGCCATGCCTTCGTCAACAGAGATGAACAGATACTGGATTCCCCGATTGGATATCCACAAGAAGATCATCACCCAAGAACTTCCCTATTATCTTGGGCCGGATGCAACGGTCAGACCGTACACAAATGAGGTGTGAATATCTCATTCACGATGACTGAGACGCCTCTCACAGCATCTACAGGGAGAAGATGGATTTCTCATCACCACTCCAGGCCCTTGTCTGACAGACGTAAGCTTGCCGCATGGTTCCTCTACCCATTCATTCTTCTTTGACTACGTAGACTTTGTTAATCATCGTTTCTGCGTGCAGGAGCAAATCGACGATATCTGTAGGAAATCCAAGGAAATATGGGAGCGTCAGGCAGCCATTCGAGCACAAGAAGCGGACAAGCCCCTCAAAAGACCGTTGCATCAGCCGGTGGTGATATCCCGAGGGTCAAACGACTCATCAAGAAGGAGACATGATGCACACCGAAGCCACGAGCGACACCGACGTTACGACGACAGGCGGCGTGAGTGAAGTCGGGTGGAACGGTGGAGTCGACTACTAGTGAATGAGATCTCGCATTGGGCCAGGTCTTTGGATCTAGGCATTGAATATTCAGGCGTTGCAGGCGGCCGGGTTAGTCCTTTCATGCATTCGGAAGGAATTTGTGGGATTCGATGATTCGAGGCATGCGCAAAAGGTCGTGTCTCTGGTGAGGGGGATCGAGTTGTGTGGCCTGGTGGTCGCAGCAGACGGTGGACCCGACCGAACACTCGTTCTTTTGACTGGTTGGGCGTCTGGCGAAACGACGCAGTATTATAACCAGATTTTTCTTTGATTGGGACGAGAAGAGTATGTGTCCCGAAACCATCCAGCAGTAGTCTGCCATCTGGCATTTTGGGGGTCCAATGGTAACGTCAAAATCTCTGACTTCTTTTGCACGCTGCTCCCTTTTGGTATGTGTATGCGGAATCGTTGCAAGAGGCGCGCATCAGAGTGCAGCGCCAGCGAATGCCATCGGCTGGCGATTCCTCAACCAGATACCTATTTGGTGCGTGTTTGCCCTTTCCAGAATAGACAAGTTGCATTTATACCGGACCAAATCGTCGTTGTAGGCTAGTAGCACATTCATGCGGGCCGAGAATATTTGTTCAATGAAACCTTCTAGGCGATGGCGTGGCTGACTGATGCTCGGACCGTGCTCCGTTGCAAATGCTCAAAGAAAAGTCCATCTTCAGTCTCATGGTAAGATCTCTTATCCATGCCTGTTGGTTCGTGGCATGCGCGACGAATTAGACGAGACATGGCAGCCTGGTTGCGGTGGTGAGCATGACACGTCTGCCTACATTGTTACCGAGGCCAATGTCCGCGTCTTCTCAGGTCATGCGGCAGCTTATGGTAGTATATGGTGTGTCTCGCCTTTCCCAATAGGCGGCATGGATTGATCCAGACTCCAGGTCAGTCCGTTGCGAAGGAAGCTTCGTATCGCTGAAGATTGAGAGGGCTAGCGGACCAGAGCATTAGTGCCTGGACGGCCGCTCTACGTGGCTCCCGGCTCATCCCTTTGGCCCGCGTTCCCGGAGGAGAAGCCGTGAGATAGCCAACCACGTTCACCCACTCGCCGATGCGTGTCTGATCTGAAGTCATGGTACTGAGTAAGAGTTGAACGTCGACCAATACCCTAATATCGGATCCTTTGGGGAAGCTATGCTCTAACGTGAGCACAGCTGAGTGCGTAGAGTACGACGTGACACTGGTACCAATCATGTTATTATACCAATAGTTGATTCCTGTTATACGACGAGAAAGAATCGCAGTGTGCAAGAAGTATTAAAACTTACCAGCCGAGAAATCTGACCTTGTCGCCCTGTGGCCGAGACGGCAAGTCGGACAGAAGACAAAGCTGAGAAGGCAGCGGGCCTCTGGACATGGCTCAGGCAGTTGTTCGTTGCTCAGGACTCGTGCAATGTGCATCATCATTTAGCAACGTTGATTGCGGAGTTCAGTCAGACGGCGGTTCAAAATATTTAGACAACGGTCGTCTGAGGTTGACAGACGGCGTGTGCCTGAGGGACGTTGTGCATGGAATCCTCCGTAGACATCGTAGTTTCCCCCAGCCGTGACTTTCTCACTGAGGTGGGAATGGTGGATAATGACAGCTGCTGGCGTCTGCAAGTCCGGTCACAGGGGTGCATGCGCTAAACGCCCCATCGGCGATAAGAGATGGCTTATCTGGCTTCGTGGTCACCAAGGTCACCGTCACGCGGGCGTCTCACATGATCGGCTGAACCGCGGCTAAATCAGGCGGCGGCACTGTTGCTGGGCACAACCGCCGTCATCGCTTGCCCACTAAACGACATCGCTGAGCCAGTCGGGAGCTTGCATCATACCTACCTACCGACTACCTGCCTGACTCTATCTATCAGCCTTCCAACTATCAACTTGGCGACAACTTGACTTGAGCGAGCCGCGGGTGTTCCTCGCATGATATAGGAATAACTGGCAACTTCGCCTATCAGTACGCCTTCGCTAAATTCACGGCCCGTTGACGACGACGAGTGCCCGCTTGTTTCCCGTTTCGGTACCCCGCCATCAAACTTCGGTCGAGTGCCACGCAACCCCGGAATACGGCTGCCTTCGAACGATCGCTGCCTGCGCACAACCTCTTAAACGACCGGAACCCTTTCGATCTAACCGACTCATACTACCAACCCCAAAACTTTAGCAAATTCCATCATGTCTGGCGTCTGGGGCTGGTTTGGCGGTGGCGGCGGCGCCAAGAAGAAGAACGATGCCAAAGATGCAATCCTCGGCCTTAGGGTCCAGCTTGATATGCTGCAAAAGAGAGAGAAGCATCTCCAGACGCTGATGGATGAACAAGATACTATTGCAAGGAAGAATGTCAACACAAACAAGAACGGTAAGTTATCGGAGCAAATGAGATAATTGAGCGTTGGATACTGACGAGACATCGCGATAGCTGCAAAGGCTGCCTTACGTCGCAAGAAGGGCCATGAACACAGCCTCGAACAGACCATTTCGCAAATCACAACACTCGAGTCACAAATCAACGCTATCGAATCGGCGAATATCAACCGCGAGACGCTCTTGGCAATGGAGAAGGCTGGCCAGGCCATGAAGGGTATTCACGGCAAGCTCACGGTTGACAAGGTGGACCAGACAATGTACGTTTCGAATATTGCAAGCCAGTATGAAGGAAAGCTACTGACTGCAGAAACAGGGAGGATCTCCGCGAACAGAATGCGCTTAGCGAGGAAATCGTCAACGCCATCACAACGGGCCAGACCGACAATATCATCGATGAGGACCTTGAGGATGAGCTGGATCAAATGCAGCAGGAGGCTCTGGACGAGCAAATGGTGGGCACTGGCACGGTACCTGTGTCAGACCGCGTCCACCAGATGCCTGCCGCCGCAAACGGACCGAGTAAGGGAATTTCGCCCTCCGATGTCATGATAACTGTGATGTACTGACGAGATAAACTAGTCAAAGGCAAGGCGCAAGCTGTCGAAGAGGACGACGAAGAGGCCGAGCTTCGCAAGTTGCAAGCGGAGATGGCTATGTAAGGATGTCGGGCGTGAGGCGATCCTGCGGGGATGGCCGAGAACGATGGCATAGCATTCCTGGTTCGGGATGGAGCTTCTAGAGGCTTTGCATGAGAATTGCGGCGCGATGGGATAAGCAGGTCGAATACCGCAGCTGCCCAGAGGAGTGGATACTGCACGACACACTCGATATACACGAACATGCCCACCACCAACGACGACTACGTCTTCGACGCGGCCCTCGTCCACATGTTTCTCAGCTACCTGCCCCTCTTTCTCAGACCTGTCTACTGGCGTTGGCGTTTGGGGTTACGTGGGTGCCATGAGTGCCATTCGATAGGAATCTCGCGGTTGTGGAGGCTGATGGGAGGGAGTTTGACGAGCTTTTCTGGTTTGCTGGAGTGGCACTTTTTACAGTCTCCGAGTACTACGTACACCTTACTTTTTTCATAGAAGACATATTGATTGTTGTTAAGAAGCTATTGCAAACCCGTTATCATCACGCGGGGGCCATGTAAACTGCGCGTTGGCGCCGTTTTTCGCGGCGAAGCACTACTTGCGGGCTAATGCGTCGGGAGCGCTGCGGCATCGTAGCTGTGTCAAGTCCGGTGAGCAAGCGGGCGAGACATTCTCTCGCTGGCCCGCTGGCAATGCCAAGTTCGCTATCTCAAAGGGATCCCCACCAGACCGGGACCGGGACAGGAGCCAGCTCTCACGTGTCTCGGCACACCGCTAGTCGTTAGGAGTGACCGATCGCGAGCCGGAGTGTTGGAACCCCGCGATCATTCCCCCCGGTGGCACAGTTGCGGACTGCGGCGCTGAGGTGGCGCATGTCAGTATTCCGGAGGACTCGGCTGCCTCTTCCGACTCGCGTATTCTATTAGTATAGTGTACAGACGAGATCCTTGATGTGGATCCGGATCCTTATGATTGCGATCACGATGTGGGCTCGATCATCGTAAGAGGTCAAATGAGGCTTTCACATACGATCAATGCAAGTTGGACCAGCGGGCACCGGAGTCCTCTGCGGTGTCTTGCGAACGGAGGCGCCAAAAATTAGGGCGGTTGGGCTGCCAGGAAAACCTTCGAAGGCTCAGCACGCTGAGAACATAGAGGGCTGGAAGAGTGGATTTTTCCCGAGATGCTTTGGAAGTATTTTTCTGTCACCATCATAGCCAATCAGCCACGATATTGGGCTGTGACGGGGACACCGATACATGCATGCTATCGAGTTCCACATGGACTGCTTATTCGAGCACCTAAGAACAGGCTTCGCAACTTTCTTAAGAGCAAAACCTTGGAATACGCCAACTCAAGAGCCAAACCTCAAGGTCGGTCGTTGGTTGTTCTACAAGGGTACCGGGGCTTACCTAAGTGGGCTCGTAAGGTATCAACGGTTAGGGGCAGGCACGGTAGAGTCGCAGGTGTTGGCGCCTGCCGAAACTTGCACCTGCACATGCCACACCGAAATTCTCAGCGGTGAGGTAGGGACGTTAGTGTACCTATCCGTAGGTGCCTTAATGTAACAACGTCTTTCCCAACACGCCGGCTGTGACGTGACAGCGACCAATGCTTCCTTCCCGAAGAAAGTGAAACCATCTTCCTGGCAAAAGCTCGGGTCAGGACTGCCAACTCAAATTCTTCCCCTTCACTTTCTTCTTCCGCCTCCGGTCCCTGCAAACAATTTCATGGATGGGTGTCCTTCCGCATAAACAACAAAACAATCGACGATGAGCCTTATCCACCTCAATTGTGCGCCCGTTGTTGCAGTCCACGACATCAATCAACAGCTGGCTTTTCTCATGACCATGTACCCGACGATTACCTGACTTTCCTGGTAATATCAGTATACGTATCAGCCTCGGAATCGCGATGGCTTCCCTCACAACTTCGATGTCTTGCCAGCTCAGATAGGTACCGACTCGTTCTCCCCATCTGTCATCAGTCTTCGATCATCGGTCCTCAGGCCCGCTCAATACCACCAGCCAGCCATGCTGTCGGCCGTCCTCTCAGCGCCCAACCGCCGAGTCGTGTACGGCTCCATTGATTCTTTCTGTCGTGTCCAGTGGCATGTCGTCGGACCAAGTCGGTAACCCGCAGGGCACCAATCCGCACCCGGCGGCATCACTGCGGCACACAACATGTGTATTCATACGCATCTGCTCGGGCCAGACTGGGCTACTGCACCTCTCAGACACTGACCTCGGGAGGAGCCATGCCATCCCGTCCCATCCCATATCGACGTCGGCCCAACCTCCGCTAACCTCACCAACTTACTCACCAAAATTTTCGCCCGAACACTCCCTCTGGCGGTTACATTAGATGGCACAGCAAGTCGTTCCACGGGAAACTCCTTGCTGACATCGTCATCATGGCATTGTATTCTTGTATTCTTCCTCGAAGTCTCATGCCCACGTTTCTCCTCATTCCCTTGCAAACAGCCGAAAAACATAGCCCGCTACAAGCCGTCGCCCAACCCAACCCCACCACTCCTCTGCTGGTGCCACTGTCACTGTCACTGCAGTCACATCCGCCCCTCCCGCCAGCCGTGGTCCGGACCTTTGCTGCATGGATCTTCAGAGACGAGCCTCAGCCAGGCGAGCCACGTTGCACTTCGCTGACCGGGGGTTTAATGGCCGATGAGAAACAAACCGCGCTCGCCTCCAACCCCCACCGTTGACATGCCAGTCGCCGGCGAGCTTCTATCGAAGCATAGTTTCAGTCAACAAGTGGCCAAGTGCACAAGCATAACGTCTCTCGACGTCGTCTAACTGCTTCTAGCCAAACCGCGGCTTCTCCCTTGCCCACCCTCCATCTCTTCGAACAACACGAATGACAGGAAGAAGGTTGGGTTTATTACCCTCCACTACAGTCCAGGAACCACTCTTTCGTCGGCAATCGTTACGTTGTGTCTTGACAGGCGCGATGAGGACCTGTGCTTACAAGGATATGCCTGGCCCTAGTGGACCGGCCCATCGACCTTCCCTGCTCCGGCTGCCCGATGCGTGCGAGTGCACTGGGCCGGAAAATCAACGACCAGCGCAGCACAGCAGTTATTAGCTCATAGCCGCTGAGTGGAGGGATGCTTGACGCTTCATCGATCCCAAAAAAATTCCCTCTTGCTCAGAAGAATTTGGGAGAGCCTAAGCCCTTTCGAGGCCTTTCCAGGCCAAGTATCCTGCGTACAAGTACATTCAACCTCGTCAGTATCTCACATCTCTCATCGCCGGGCGAAGACTATTGGTGGATGGTCATTGCGCCTTGTTCTTTTGTGGTCTCTCAGTCTTTGCCATTGCCTCACCGCAAAGACTGACCCGTATGTATTTCGTGCCTGTGGCCTCCGCAATGATGTTGGCTTCTGCGGGTAAAAGTCAAGCGACGCACTCATCCGATAGAATGGACTCAAACGGCATGGCGGTAGCGGTATGTCATCTTGAGGCCCGGGTACGGTCCTATGAGCCTACGAAAAGGGATAAGACCATAAAAAGTAAACCACATATCCCGGGGAAAAAATCACCGACGTTCATGCCCGGCCTCGTTGAGCCCGTCTCAATATGCGGGTTGGCCGCTCGCTCCAATCCCATCGTCGTTGGGCAGCCATCAACCCTCCTCCTTGTCTCCTTGTCCGTCTGATGTCCCAAGTCCAGTTCCGTTCCTCTGTCTCGCCTCTCGTCACATCATCTATCACATCACTCAAGCTCCCGAGTTCCAGAAACCGCACTCCCCAGTCCAACCCAATTGCGACGTGGCGCCAGTGCTTGTTCCGCCTCACTTGAGCCAATGGCTCTAAAGCACGCATGACAGTGATCACTTGGACTCTGGGACTGCCAGAATTTGTCTCCATTCGTGGAGACAGCGTGGGGTAGGCCTGCGTCAGGGACCCCTTACTCCCGCACCTTGAACCCTGCCACCGACCAGTGATGCTTGTGATGTTTGGCACCGCTGGGAAAGCTCCCCCCTGCTTCTCGAGAATCTACTTTTCTCCCACAGCTTAGCCCAATTGTGCCCTCCCGGGATTGTCGTAGTCGGGACGCATCTCGTCACTCTTGGTCCCTTAATTCCCAACTCTATCCAGTGTCAAGCCGAGACAAGAAACCTGTTGCTTCCTTGTCATAACTGCCCATTGCACTTTTGTCTGTTGTTTACACCACAACACGGTCTCACAGGCGACAAGATACCTCTCAATACATACATTTGAGTCTCGCGATACCAGCCCAAGAGACTCGAACTTCTCACTCCGGCTTGGGCACCGCACTACCACAAGAACATTGAGAAGTTGTCAAGAAAAGAAATCCCAATCTCATCTCTCGCCAAAGACAGCCGTCCAAGTGCGCCACAGACAACATCAGACCATCTCCCCGGATCGGCATTGATCAACTTTTGCGAAACAAGGACCCCCCATAATCCACGAGTCCCGGAAGCATGAATTCGGAAGAACCAGTCGATTTCTGCCCCTACCGGCAGAACCTTGATTGGAACCAAGTCCAAACCCAAGACTTCTCCAACGTCCAGTATTTCCAACCATCAGACTCGGAGCTGCAAAATGGTATGTCACTTTAGATTGCGCTTTGAGTATCGCATTAGCACGCCTAACCCCCTCATCTTACAGACGGCGACGTATATGCCAATGGCGTGACGTATCCCTCACAACCTGCACAGGCCAGCAGCAGCAGCAAAAAGAGCAAGAAGAAGGCCAAGAGGGAGAAGAAGGCAGCACAATACACTTATGAAGAGCCACCGGCTGCCGCTCCTGAACTTCCCACGCCTGAACCGCCTCAAGATACCGGTATAGCCGAAGACGAGTGGCCAACAACTGCACCTTCAAAAAAGGACAAGAAGAAAAAGAAGAAGGGCAAGAGGGAGGAAGCTGTGGCACCTTCGCCATCTCCGCCTCCGCCACCCGTAGAACCCGAGCTCGAACCGGAACCTGAACTGGAACCTGAGCCCGAGCCCGAGCCTACGCCTGAACCAATAAAAGAGGAAGAGGTCGTTGTAGAGGAGGCACCCGTGTCTCCGACGAAGACGAAGGAATCCTCCAAAAAGGACAAGGACAAGGAAAAGAAGAAAGACAAGAAGAAGAAGAAGAAGGGCAAGGGCGGAAAAGACGTCGAACCGGAGCCGGTCGAGAGCTCAAGATCGATCCCTCCCCCGCCATCGCCACCCCCGGTTGAGGACGTAAAGCCGCCAAAGATGGAGGTTGTCCCAGCTCCGCCTCCGGAGGCCTTGATTGAGGCCAAGGAGGAACCGTCAGCTGTCGAAGCGGATATTGAGCCCGCTGCTGAGTCCGCTGCTGAGTCCGCTGCTGACCGGAGTCTCGATGACGTCAAAGACGACGAGAAGGCAGTGACGGAGATATCGCCAGAAGTCGCAGCCGACATTGCAGAAACAACAGAGTCTGCAGCTGTAGATCCCGCCGCCGCCGAAGCTCCCGCCGAAGCTCCTGTTAAAGCGCCGACAGAAGACAGCCAATGTCACGCGG